TTCCATTTCTTGTTCTGCTTGCCTGTGTCTATGCCGCTCCTCTGCATTTTAAAATGTATGTCCATATATGACCATTGAATGGGAAGCTCCACCAATTTGGGTTAAAGGTCTGATTTCAGATCTGTAAAAAAGGTCGCCAAGATTCTATTTCCCTCGAATCCGCGGGCGTCGCCGGAACGTAGACATTGATTTCTCCCGGATGGTGCAGCACTGAGGAATGGGGCAATGACCCCTTTCTCCTATGATCTCTTGTGCTGAAATATGTCGCGCCTTCAATGGGCGGTTCGTCGACTTTCCCTCGCATGCCTTCTCTGAATGGGTAGATCTCATAATGTCATTGACCACGTGTTCAGATCTTTCGTGAGAAGGCCTTTCTATCGTGCGCATAGTGTGCCGTTATGGATTAGAGGGCGCAGTAGAGATGTCAACGCAGTCCGCAACATCATGGAGCCGGTGGAGCTCGCCTGTGACTAGCCATAAGTATGTCAAGACATAGCCATTGAAGTGGATTGCAGGCAATAAAGATAAGCAGTTAAGTTTGGGATAGATATCAATTCTTGCGGTGCGTCTGAAAGGGCAAGCATTTATCGAGTGTGTGCCAAGAGTGGCAGTGCAGGACCCTTGCGCAGCCCTGAGGCACCGGAATTTGATTCCATTAGACTATCTATGTAGCCTATATGTATATAGGGACGGATTGGCCTGCGGCAGGCCAATTCACGCCACTTTTACTATTCTCCCCTAATCGACGACTCGACACATTGAGAAGAGCATTAGACGCTCGAGAAAGTGTGTAGCCATAAAAACTATGGTGGCTATGTAGCTAATGTAGGGGTCCTGAAAGACACAACGCATACATCATGTATTCATTAGCGCTAGCGGATCAGAAGTTGGTTCCTACTTATTCATACATATCCATGCACAGAGGAACATATATTCTTGACAGGACTTGAATCTGGTGCAATTGTAAGAAATTTGTAATGAGGCCCACCATAGCATCCCAAACACATCGAGGGACCCCTATTGTAGGCAGAATATCAGGTTTTCCCCGATGCAGCGCCCTGCAAGAATGCTGGGAGTCAGCATTGCCCATGCACAGGACGTGCATGGTGCCTTGGAAACACCTCAATCGGAACTCGGAAGTGCTGTGATCATCGGATATCCTATCATGTTTGACCGGGTTGACTCTGTGCTCAATGTGCTTCAGTTCCGTTACCTGGCTGGCAGTTAAAAGGAACAGAGATACCCATCATCCATGGTTTCAAGCTCGCCATCAACTCTCTCCGCCAAAGTCCTAGTACAACAACCCATCCTCCCAGCATAACCAGACCGCGAGTAGTCGACCGTGACTAGTACCTATCCTCTCCAAGTATCGACCTTTACTATATAACATGTCCACCGGACCAACAGGCGCCGTTCCCACAGCACCTCCTCCAGCTGTAACCTCCAAGTCAGCTGATGGCGCCTACGTACCGGCAATGCAGCAGGCAGGATACTACGTTCGTCTTCCCATATAACGACCGCGATAATGCACTAACAGACACTGCAGCCGCCCAACATGCAGCCGCCCGTGTACGTCCAGGGCATGCCACCAACCGATCTGCGCGGTATATGCCTTCGGCAAGGACATGTCCCGGTCGAGTCGTTTGGCGCCATGGGTATTGTCGCTGCTATCTGTTGCTTCCCCATTGGCATCATCTGTTGTATAATGGATCGTCGGGAGCAGTGCTCTCGGTGTGGGGAGGTTTTACAGGCAGGATGCAGCAATTAGTGAATGCCGGTTCCTTCTCTCGTACTCCTTATTGGTGTTTGTTATACCCTCGGGACTTTTAGCTATAGCTTCTAGACACGTGTGATGATTGTTTTGGATAATCAGAGTTGCGAATGTAAATTTGTGCATCAGTTAAGCGGCGATGGTTATCATACTGTGTGTACTGCCCTGTGCCGACGCCGCCGGACTGTCGAAAATGAGTCCTCAAATCCGGGAACTGCGAGCTGTGCTAGAAGTCCTTCCCTCCTTTCACGCCAGGGTCGTCGAGGTACCGCGGCGCAGTGGCCAAACATGCCCCCGTTGGATTCTTGCTATTGATAGGACCCTCCGTAGCTTTCCGTCCGGGAAAGGGCACTTGGATGGCTGGCTTTTATTTGACCGCATTCTCTGACTCCTCCCGCATACCAGCGATCACATCGTACCCAACACTCCCTCCCATCGAGTAGACCAGTAATAGCAAACCCACATGATGATTGACGAGGGCAAGCCTACTCCAGCTGGTCCACCACCAGCATATACACCGCCCGTTGGTCAATCGTCTAGTGAGTTCGTCCCTGCCTTTTGGTCTCACTCCTGACCACCTCCGCAGGACCGCGGTCTACGCCAAGTCTAATGGGTCAACCGCGGCAGCCAGCGGGTGTATACAGCCCTGTACAGGATAGGGGTGTATTCGACATGAGCAGGAGTGTAGATGTTGGGCCACAAGGTCCTATTGGACAAGGGCCATATCGGCAGTATCCAGCAGTGCGTTCTTTTCTTCCCTTCCCTCTTTATTACTGTACCTAACGGTGTAATCAGCAACCAATGAACACCCCCGTGATCCTGTCTGTGAACCCCGCCGACCCGCGGAGTATCTGTGCACAACAAGGGCACATCAGATCGACCACCTTCGGCATACTAGGTGTTCTATTCGCCATCGTATGCTTTCCTATAGGCCTAGTCTGCTGTGTCATGGACCGCAGAGAACAGTGCACACGGTGCGGGGAGATATTCTACAGCGGATGCCAGTAGGGATGGAGGGTTTTGATATGCGGTTATTCTCTGTATATTGGTAATGGTGTGACTTGTGGTGTCGAGTGTACGTTATGATCTTTATGGAATGTCTATGTTTAACTACCTACGGCGCAGTGAAGATGTCATTCCATAATGACAGAATGCCTGCGGATATGCAGTATCGTTAATTTTTGACATCCGTACACGAGGTCGCTGCCTTCGTGCTCACTGCGCCCGTCCCCAACGACAGCGACGGCTTCCTCTCCAGCGGAACTCGAGCCGAGGACAACACAGCCACAGGACCCTTGCTTCTTTTTCACACGCTCATCGGGCACTCTGCGGCGCGTCATGTGATTGGCCAAGAGCTTGGGCGCTCCGTGCCTTTCCGCACGGACGCTAAGTACAAGAGACAGGGCCGCAGAGGTGCGCAGGCGACTGCAAAACCTGGAGGTATGGACGGGGAATAAAAGGCTTGTATGTCAGGTGCAGGAGCGTCAGAAACCAGTTGCATACTACAGTAACTCACTATCAGCTAACTCAACAACACCTTCGACAAACTCATCAACTCACAAATGGTTGACGGAAAAGATACGAAGGGACCTCTTGAGGAGCCTCAACAATACGAGACTCCTGCTGGACCTCCCCCTGGTGCATGTACGCCCATCTCTTTATCCTTGGGTTTGTTACTCACATCCATCTAGCCAACCCACCTCTGGCACAAACAACTCCCACACCGGGCTACGCGACCTTCCCCGGCCAGCCTATAGACCCGAGGTACAATGTCTATCCCGCCCCTGGCCCAGATCCACTAGGCTACGTCCCCATGGGGAACCGGATCGTCCTCGACCTTCCAAACGGAGTCACCGTTGGCCCAGCAGTCTATTACTACCCTAACGTGAGTGTCCCTTCATATCATCTAAGAAATGTACTGAAGCGAAGCAGGGCCTACCGGGCATCCCTGGGCCACCTGTGCAAGACCCACGCGCGATCTGCGCTGCCCAAGGTCATGTCCGGACGACGACCTTCGGTATCGTGGGCATCTTGACTGCCATAATATGTTTCCCTATTGGGTTGATATGTTGTGCACTTGACCGGCGGGAAGTGTGCGCGAGGTGTGGGGAGGTGATGTATCAGGGCTGTTAGGTTGGTTTTTGAATCGTTTTTTTTCTTCGAACCGCGTATCTTGGTAGTGCCCTTTCAGATGTATAATTTTTGTACTAAATTCTGAATCAGCGCAATCATACTGTTGTCCCGTTTCTCTGTGCCTTCAAGACGTGATGGTCTGGCCAGACATCAGCCATTGTTCCTGCTACTGGAGGAAGTCCTTCCCTAAATGACGTACGACATCTCGGGCTGTTGTTCCAGGTGTTGCTCACAGATCAACTCGCGCAGTCCGGAGCCCTGATCGGAGGACGGCAAGTGGACTGCGGCGCACGTCCGGGAAGCGCCCAGAAGCTTCGCCGGTAATCCCTGTGCACCGCCACAATTCCCCTCTTGGTTGTCGCACTCATATTCAGCATCGTAGCCGGCAGGGCCGAGGTGCACTGCGATGGCTTGAAGAGGAAGGTCCGTGCGCAACAGGTGAACAGGGGAGCACTGCGCTCTCGGGTGACTCGCCGGCCTTAAGAACAACTCGGCCGAGAGAAGGCAGCTATCAATCATCTTCTATCAGCGTTCAGTATCGCCCATACCGTCATCAATATCAGCACACTCACCGACACCTATCATGCCCAACCCTTTCACTTCAACCACCACAACCTCCTCCTCCTCCTCTCCATCATCCTCTTCATCTAAACCAATGGTCATCGTCACGGACAGCAAGTCAGCCCCAGATGTCCCGCCACCGGCGTACGATGCGCCCTCCTCACAGGGAAGCCAGGGGAGCAGCAGCCCTCCCCCTGTCCCTGCCCCCAGCCCTTTCCCCATTCCAGCAGAAGGAGGTGCCCCCCTCCCCCGTATCCCCCCTCAAGGACGAACTGATCCTCTCCCCTCAGCACCTGCCCTAGTCGGACCAAGCGCTACTCACGGGTACGGCTATTCCACTTTTCAGCCTACTGCAAAGCAGCCCGACCCGAGGGATGTTGGGTACCCGTTTGCCCAAGTGGGGGGATACCAAATAGGGCGGAAGATGATGGTTGGCGCTCCTCACCTAGATGCGGGTAGGACAGTGTACTATTATACCAATGTGCGTATCTCCTCTTATGCTGCGGTAGTAGCTTACTGACTTGAAGCGACAGCCAATGAACGGCGCGACGATAACTTCGTTCCTCCCGCCTGACCACCCTCGCAGCCTCTGCCTCCAGCAAGGACATGTGCCGATGACGACACACGGTGTCCTCGGGATCCTTGCTGCGATATTCTTCTTCCCTATTGGTGTGGTGTGTTGCATGATCGACCGGAGGTCGGTTTGCGCGCGGTGCGGGGAGGTCCTGAGTGATGGGTGCATGTAGACGTGCTCCCTTTCGCTCTTTTACTTTATTTCGCGTTTGAGTTATCTTATGCCTGGCCTCCGTTACGTTTACGATCTGTTCCCTCTCTTATGTTTTGCAGCGGGCGCATACATGCTCGCATTTACCCAGTGTAACGTTCTAGCCAAACACAATGTGCATTACGTACGCAGCCCCGCGGCACATCTAAGACATGTTGATCGATCATAACCAATCCTCGCTCTAGGTGCTCTCACTCCTCGGCCTCAGTACCTGTTTGTATGCCGGTTTATGCGATGCGTATTAGATGGGTTTTATGTGAGGAGTGTAGTGCAGGGTGAATGTAGGAGGTTGAATCAAGACCTAGACACGGTCAGTTCAGTTCATGTTTGCAAGAGGTGCCAATCCCGTCGAACACAAACAGGAGAAGGGAACGGGAAAAGGAAGCGGACGCACATCTTATACTCTATCCTATCCTGGGACGGGACTGCGCCCTGCACCTCATACTCAATATTGATATCCAAGTCCCGGTTGTTCCTCGCGTTCGGGGCGCAGGTGAGCACACCGTTGATGCTCTCTCCCTCGGAGACGGTGAGCGTGTCCCGGGTGTAGAACACGGTCTGCTTCCAGTGGGTGTATTTCGCGTGCGGGCCAGTGCTGAACTTGACCGGCTTGTGGATCGACCCGAAGGAAATGTCGAACCAGGCGAGGAAGGCGTGCACGTCTGTGGGAATAAGGTCAGCGTGCGTGAGGATTGGTGGGCAAGAAAGCTCACAGTCATTCCGCGTCGCAGTTATTGAGAACGGTGAGGTAAAGGCAAGATCCTTAACTTGGACCGTGGTCAGGTCGATGTGCTTGATCGCGTATGGGTTGGTGACGACAGCCTTGAGCTCGACGGTATCGACGAGCGGCTCCCTCAGGGCAATGTCCTTGATGCAGCTATAGTCGAACCCGTACACGTCATCCCAGAATGCGATCTTCTCTTCCTTATACTCCTGGTCCTCGATCGCAGCGATGTACAGCGTCGCGCTGTCGGGCAGGATGAGTCCACCGGGCTTGAGGTACCGGTCCCGGGCTAGGAGGACGGTGTTGAGCATGGACTCGTAGAGCAGGAAATAGCCCATCCATTCGGAGATGAGGATGTCGAACTCCTGGATCGGGAGCTCGGTTTCCTCGAGCTTGCCTTTTACTAGGGTGATCTCTGCGGCAGAGGTTAGCGAGGCCTGGGGGAGGGGAGGAGGACGCACTATCTTTAAACCCGTTCACTTCGATGATCTTTTGTGCCTGATCGATGATGTTGGACATGTCGATCTTTGCTCCCATCAGCGTCTGTCCTTAAAATAGAAGAAAGGCGACGCACACCAACAACATGCTTCGCCCCAGCCTTAGCAGCGAACATGCTCAGGATACCCGTTCCGCACCCGACATCGAGCACCGTCTTGCCCTCAAAGAGATGGCGGTTGTTGTAGATAGCGTTCCGGTAGGAGAGAGTCCGGACTTGATCCTTGAGCATCTCCTCATGGATGCCAAAGTGGGCGTATGAGTCGGCATAGCTATGACCTATCAGAAGAGCCGCAGGGATAAGCATGTGACTGACTAGTCTCGAGAGGTCATCGATTCATCCAACGCCGGAGGGCGTGAACCTGATGCGGCCTGAGCGGCAGAAGACATGTGGCCTAGTCTGACTGCGAGTGCAAGGGGTAGATGGGGTTGTGCCAGGATGTGAAAGGAATCTGCTGTACTGATGCTGACACGGACGCCTAGGTGATAGGGACCAAGTGGACTGTATGCTGTTCTCTCACTCCCCGATGATTGTCAACCAGGAAGCATTTTTTTTCTGCATACGATTTTTTGTAGAAAGAGGAACTGATCCCGCGGACGGTCTTAAGGGGAGTGGCTGTGTTAAGAATGTGACCCCAAAAAGGGGAATTCCTCCGCGCTAGAACGTGAATGGTTGAATTCGGTGCCTTGAGAGAGGGCGGTGATGGTGTTGGGCGCGTACTGAATTACATACAGAGTTCGGTCGGAAATTGACTTGCGAGGAGTATCAGTCCAACCCCTCTTCATTCTATACGTTCACCTTCACATTAACTTTTCACTTGCTTAACCATTCCGTCTGCATACCCACCACAACATTGTCTCGCTAGCGCACATCTGTGGCGCACCGGAACAGCTCGAACCCTGGCACCGACCTCCTCTCCCACCACCACGCACGCCCAACATCCCCTACCGCACTGGCGTCGTCTCCGAAAAGCGAAAAGACGCCCGCGTCGATGCCTGTAGGAGCAGAGAGCACCGGAGAGCATGGGCGAGATAGAGACCGGAGGGAGGATGGGGAGGAGGGAGAGGGACTCCCACCGCCAGCGATTGCCTCTGACGAGCGCACGTCTAAGAAGTCAAAATCCAAGATTCGGGGCAAGACCGCCTCCCGGAAGGTGTCTGGTCCACTAGGGCGAGCGCTTACCGGGCAGCGAGCGAGTACCAGCGCGGGAGGGGGAAACAAAAAAGTGACCAAGTTCGAACATTCCGAAGGGGAGAAGAAACCATTCCGAGTCCGACTTCATGAGTTCCTCAAGGTCATCTCCACTGCTGTATCTCTTTCCGACAGCCCGATCGAACCGACTGTCGAGAGCACGGAGGCGAGCAGCTATAGGGCGAACATCCAGAGGAGGGAGAGCGACTGGGGGATAGAAGAAGACCCTTCTGCCCCACCGGCAGAGGTGAACGAAGTCGTCGTAGACGCCGAGTGGGATATGGACAAGTGGGCAGATATGTCCACTACGGGAATGTCTGAGAGCGCTGGGGCACCCGCAGGCTTGGAGAACGGATCTGCCGCTCCTGGGCAGGCTCATGCAGCCCGCGCACTGGGCAACCCTCCAGACGCTCGCTCACAAGCTGGGTTTACGAATGCCAACTCGTCAGGTATTCGAGAGCTCTGGGGGCTCACGACCATCCTCCGCTGGAGACTCTACCCACGCATCGTCAGGTTCTTCGATTTGAGCTTCTACGACGCCCAGTCGGAGGACAAGTACCGCAAGGACGTATGGTTCACGCAGAAGACACTCGCCGCTATCACCGCGTGCTTTTACTTGCTTATCACGATCCTCAACTGCACCCTGGTGGGACAGCCATTCACAGAATTCAATCATATCGGCGACATCGGCGGCGGACTTGTTTTCTCCATCCCTGTACTCTTCCTAGTATTGTTCAACGTCCCGCGCATGAAGTACGTATACGCGCCTCAGAACTTCCTATTCATTGACAGCAATGCAGGTTGAGGTACTCCTGGCCGTACCAGGTCATACTCATGATCGCCACCTGGCAGTGGGCGTGGTACAACGTCTTCGACCAGTGGAACTGCGGGTTCTTCATCTCCAGATCAAACAACGCCTGTGGACAGAAAGACTTCCAACTGACACCTTTGTGCGTTCGTTTCTCATCTTTCTTGCGCTCAGGGAGGCTGACCGCATGTATAGCTACAGCGCTGCGCTGCCTTTCCTGGCACTATTTGCTTTGGGGCAGAACAGACTTTTTGGGGCGATTGCATTCATTGCCTGGGAAATTGTCAGCTCTGTGCTTATCATTCCTGTTTACAACTCTTGGACCCGCAGTACGTTATCTCTTCTCCATGTAACATGGCCGCACTCATCTTCTGCAGACACAGTCAATAGCACCATCTGGCACATCCTCCTCCTATACGTCCACTTCACGCTCGAAACCGCCGAGCGTCGCTCCTTCACCCTCCGCGAGCAACTCAAAGACCAATGCAAGGCTACACAAAAGGCGCAAGTGAATGAGCGCAAAGAGAGCGACAGCAAGAAACGGTTCGTGAGCTATATATTCCACGAGGTTCGCGTGCCTCTCAATACGGCTTGTATGCGCTTTATTTGCTTGTAAGGCGTTGCTCATTCCCGGGCAGTGCTCGCTTCCCAGAACCTGATCGGCTCGGGCGCCATTAAGAAAGAGGAGGATGTCGAGTTCCAAGCGCTGGAAGGCAGCCTCAAGATGATGTCCAAAGGTGCCTCCATCTATCCCGTCACACTGGCGCTAGTTCTGAGAGTATGACACTTGCAGTCCTGAATGACGTCCTGGATTTCAATCGTATGGACTCGGGCCGCTTCGTCACTGTCTCTAAACCATACTGTTTCCACGGTGCGATCAGGAGCATGCTTCTCCCCCTCGAGCTGAGCGCCAAATCCCGCGGTCTGACACTGACGATGCGGCTCGATCCGAAAATCGACGATATCGCGAATCGTACGGCTTACGGCGATACAGAGCAGGATGTGCAGGCTGTCAAGGACGGATGGGTGTTGGGTGACGAGATGCGCCTCCGGCAGCTGGTGACGAACCTCACTAGTAACGCTTGCAAGTTCACGAGCGAGGGTGGGCGGGTGCATGTCGAGACTAGGCTAATCATGCCACTTTCGAGGGAGGAAGTGGCACCTTTGCCAGTGTTGCTCGAGGTCGACCCTGAGACGAGCGATACCGAGGCTGTACCATCTTCTTCTCCTGCTGAGGAACGACAACAGCATCCGCTCCAGCTTATGGAATCCATCACAGAAGGCGCGAACGGATTGAATAGAGCCACGCAGTCTATACATAACCATCACCATTACCATTTGCTAGGTCACGCCGGTGGTCCGGCGCTCTACACTCCTGCGAGCGGGAGAAGCTCTATCCATAGCGGCACGCATGGTCAGCCGCATAAAACGGGCATCGTCGTGCGTATCGAGGTGCGGGATACTGGCGTGGGGATCAAACCGAGGGATCTGGTCGACAACCGGTTGTTCAGGTGCGCACCGCTGTTTCCTTCTCCTTGCCTTCGATGACTAAGGATACCCAGTCCATATGTGCAGACCGAAATTGGCAGGTTCCAAGGCGGCAAAGGCACTGGTCTCGGTCTTGCTCTGGTGAGGAATATCGTCAAGCTCTCCGGAGGTCGGCTAGGGGTCAAATCCAAGGTCGGACAGGGCAGTACTTTTTGGGTCGAGCTTGCCCTTGGGGTAGGGCCGCACGCTGTCAAGGCCCGTGATGCGGTGCCTGTGAGGTGGGACCGGTCGCCTGCTGCTGTGCCACGTAGGTTCTCCTTGGTCTCAGTTCGAATGGGTTTTGATGATATTTCGATTCACAGCGATTACGAGCATCGATTTTGCTAACTCGCCCGTTGCGCCGCTTGACACGCCGTTGATGAGCTCACTTACTCCGCCCCTGCCAAACGAGCCCAGCATGCCGCTCAAACCGCTTGGCGCAGACGTTCACGCATTCTTGGATCCTCTCACGGAGAAGGTCGTCGTCCCGCCCAAAGTACAAGGGCCGGAGATGGAGACACCCACGGCTGTGAACGGTACCGACGCACACGAACCACCGGCAACTGTGACGGTGCAGCAGGTTACAGAGCCGCCGCAAGATGCACAGGAGCGGCCTCTGCCAATCCTGGTCGTGGACGACGACGTGCTCACGCGGAGACTCATGTCCCGTATGCTGACGCGTATCGGTTGTACAGTTGAGTTGGCCGAAAATGGGCTCGTGGCGCTGGATTATCTTATCGGACCTGGTGCGCATACGCAAGCTGTCACACCTCGAAGATTGCCCTCTTCTACCACTCCGAGTGCGCTAGTGACTCCTTCGTCCGACCATACCACGGAGCCGATCATGATCGACGAGCACAAATATGCGGTCGTTTTTCTCGATAACCAAATGCCGCTGTATTCTGGAGTGCAGGTTGTGGAGCATCTTCGACTATTGGGACGGACAACCTTTGTTGTCGGAGTGACGGGCAACGCCCTGCAAGAGGATCAGAAAGAGTATCTCGAAGCGGGAGTAGACAAGTGAGTTACTCCTAAATTTGATTCTAGACGACCTTCTGACAGTGGATTTCTTCAGAATCCTAACAAAACCGGTCCTGGAAAAGGATCTCCGGAACGTCGTCGCCATTGCGCGAGAGCGACATCGACAGCTTAAAGGGGGCGTCGATCCGGATCGAGGTCCAACAGGCCCATCCAATCCTCCGCCCTCATAGGCGACTTATCATCTTGTCAATCTATCTAGATTCTACTTCTCTGGCATCTGGTATTATCTCATTCATGTGGAGGCACAAGCACGAGGGAAGTCGCGTGATCGAGCTTCATATGGATCTGTACTCATACTTACCTTTGCACTGTACTATACCTGCATCGTCTTGTTGATCTTCTATTCTGATTGTAGCGCCACACATATAATGCATGTTTCCCTCCCTGTTATCAATTGCGCTGCGCAACGGACATCAATGCAGCATCGCCGAGAGGAGCCTTGACATGTTATTGCGAATATCAACAAAAGGGTAATTCATATACATCCTGGCCCTTGCAGCAACGGTAACGAAACACATTATCCCCTTTGAACACACGGACGTATTCTCTATAGATTATCCATTCCCTGCTGACAGCTCATGAGAGGACCGGACCAATACCCAATCCCTGGGTCTTGAAACAGACTGCCACACCGCGCGTTGGACAGGTCGAGTGACGTCAGTAACTGAATGGTTTCGAAGGTTGGGAATGGAGGCTTCTGAGGTGGAGGTGGGCGTGGGAGTCCAGGGCGTTTAGTAGGGTTAGGACCCCCGACCGGAGCTTGGGTTGGAAGAGGGGGGTTTGTTGTTTAAAGATAGACTTGGAGGTTGGCCTGGTTCTTGTGTCCGAAGGGCGTGTTGGGGTGGTCTCCCACTGCCGTTGTAAAACAAAATAGAGCCATAGAGACCTCAGATGGTTGGCTTAATCTCGTCTTCCTGTGGAGTATGGCATGAGGGGGTGGGGCCTATAGAACGAGGTTTTGACTGGAAGAAGAGCATGCAACGAGTGCAACAACAAGCCCGGTTTGGTATATAACCAGAAATGGGGATCATTACTAAAGGTGTCAGGGGTCCATACATTCAAGAAAGGTGATGCATTTTATCGGGCGAGCCTCCGCGCCCTTAGACTTTTAGGGGGAGACAGGATCAGCACAGCGGGGCATGTTCGTGCTACGTCATGGCCCCTGGCTTCTTGCTTCTGTTCTGATGGAGGATAAGCTAACGATCGCTGGTGAGGACGAGGGCTGTTCGAGCGTCTGTTGGAGGTAGAGGGGCATTGTTGGGAAGGTGTTTCCCTAAGAGTTGGTAAGGGAGAGGTGCGTATCGTGTGTGCGGTGCTGCTATCCAAGTGGAGTTATGTGAGTGTGTTCTGGAGTGGTCGAGGAAGAGGAAGCGAAGCCCCTGGAGGTACGTGCCTTGTGGTCCTGTGCTCCCGGGTGTCGCTGTCTGAATGACACGGGAGCATAGAAGCACTGTCGAGAGGGGGAGACAAAGACGTCATCGTCGACGATGTTTAATGGTTCTCTGCCTGCAAGGTGAGGTCACGGTAGGGGACGTGCGTGCACAGGAAGGAGGGGCAGCAAGCAGTTCATCCCCCGACCTGATGGGGGTCCATTCACCCTGCAAACAGGGACTCGGCATAATGGTCTCCACTAACAATCATTCATCCCCTGCTGGCTGCCCTCCTCCTCCTCTCCCCTCCTCCTTTCATCACCTCCATCCTTCCCTCCTCACCACCTCCTCTGTTGCCCACTGTGTATCGCGCATACCGAGCAACGATGCCCCCGCCGCTCTCGTTTGAGCGCAACGGGCAGCGTATATTCATCCTCAACCCTCCTGACGACTCCACAACGCCTCCACCCTCCGCCACAGGCACCAATTTCCAAGACACCGATGACGGACTCCTATCCTCGCCAACTGACACTGCTCGGGATGGGGAGTTCTTCGGTTCTAAAGGTACGCCATGCTTGTGCCAATGGAGTTATTTACTCACATCAGTCAAGACGCGGCGAGGAAGATCTACCAATGTGATGTATGCTTGAAATCCTTCACGACCTCGGGCCATCTTACCGTACATTCATCATTCTCACCCCCAAAGCCCATCCCCTGACAATTCTGCAGAGGCACGCACGCATACATACAGGGATCAAGCCACATGTATGCCCCTACCCAGGGTGCGATAAAGACTGCAGCAGGATGGACAACCTAATCCAACAGTGAGTGCCGACTTCTTTGCTATCATATATGCGTGCTAACTGTTGCTCACAGCTATCGGGTTCATGTGCCTAGAGAGGATCGCGGCCGTGGCAACTCTTTCATCCGCACCTGTATGATCGACCTGATGGCAACGAAAGCTGGATCCCCTTCCCAACAGGGCAAGGTATCCGTAGAACGTTCTGGCAACTCGCTTGTAGCTCGTAAGACTGTCGACATCGACCAGTCGTCCAATGCGGCTAGATCGCCCGAGGAGGTGACAAGGCGGTCGTCCTTCGCTTCCAGAAGTGAAGACCGCGTGCCCTTCTCACCCGGTAGCAGCCGTTCTCCAACGCTCGCCTCTCCAGCTGAATCTGCGATGAGTGGAGCCACCGCTGCCGTGATCACGTCGACAAACGAAGAAGACGCGAAGCTACTGGTGTCGCTCTGGCAGCTTCCCGCCTCCCCGCACAAGGAGTCTTTCCTTCGCGGCAATTACGCCTCCAATTGATCTATTCTGCCTTTCTGGAACGACATGACCAACTTCCGAGAAATTGTATCGATATCTCTGTCTTTCTCTCTTGGCTCTTGGTTGCTTTGGGCATCACGGTCCAAGCACGTGGACGCAATCGAACACGAATACGCCGAACACTCACCCGCCCTTCCCGCTGTTATCAATCGAAATCACGCTAGACCGTCCAAGCTCGAATGTGGTCTGTCAACTTCGCTGACTTGACCGCATCAGCGGGATAGTCAAACCCGCTCTGCTTTGTATATGCATGAACGGTCTGTTCTTTTCTGTTGTATCGCTATAGGCAACAGATGTACTGACATATGGAATACATCTGTGATGCAGGTACCAATTCTCCCGTCCTGCGCTCATTTACGCATGGCGCCACGCTCATGCTGTGCATGGGGATGTACCAACCAATTTCGACCTCTTGACGACAACGACTGCCCTCAGATTAGCAAGGACAATGTACTGCACTACGTAAGTTCCCCTAGCAGGACACTCGACAACTGCGCTCCTGTACAACCACTTCTGTTGGCAATCTTGTATCTTTACCATTCTTTCCCATGGAGCAGTCATTTGTTATAGAATGAACGGAAAACAATGTACATTAGAATTATCATCCTGTCGGCTAATGTACAACCAGCAGGCCGTCCCGGCTGCGCATCTCGGTCGCCTCAGCGTCCTCCACCTTAGCGAGCCCGTGTTTGGAAAGCAGAGCGTCCACCTCCGCCGGACGGTAGATCTTGGCAATGGGTCGCTTGGTCTGTGGGTCGATAGTGAGGGTGGCGAATTCCACTGGGGTGAGATTAAGCCCACGCCTCGATATGCAGCTGGCCAAACTTACGTTTCTCACTACTCAAACTAGTCGAGTCCATCGTCTTGCTCATCGTCCTCAAAACCAATCCAATAGCGTCCTCCAACCCGATCGTATCCTTATACTCCTGCTTGAGCAAGCTCTGCGCAGTCCCGTTGTTCGCCCCGATGCAGGTCGCCTTCCATCCAGAGTAGTTCCCCGAGGGGTCGGAATGGTACAGCTGGAATTGGTAGTGCGGGTCCCAGCCGGCGTAGAGAAGGGAGACGCCGAAGGGGCGGAGACCTGGAACAAGGGAGGGTAAGGGGTCAGGGACTCGTTCCATCAAAAGAGAAGAAGGTATTGCCCAATCCTACGGGCAGGGGGAAAGGAAAAGGAGCAATAATTGAGAAGTGGGCGCACCTCCGTACTGCGTATACCCCTGCTTCAGATCACAAAGCCGCTGTGCGAGCTGCTCGACGGGGATGTCCTCGTTATACGAGAAAAGGTGGCGCTGCGCTGCTGAACGGGCATAGTTGATCAGCGAGTTGGCGTCTGCTGTCAGTCCGGCTACACCGGCGATCACATTTCTGTATTGCAGGTTAGCGCCTATTCACACAGGGGGCTAGGGCGGGGAAAAGAAAGTCGAAAGTGGTAGCGAGGACGTACGTATTGAGCAGGAAGATCTTTTCCCCTGACCCTCCGTACCCGCCCTCTTTTGCTACGGATAGATCGAGCAGCTTGCCAGTCACTTTCTTTTCCGCAGCAAGGACGACACCGTCTGTTGCAAGCACGCCAAGGACGGTTCCGGCGTGGGAGATGGCTTCCATCGCATACTCAACTGCACGGAGTTAGGAAAGAAAAAAAGGAAAGGGAGGGAAACTTGCTTTGATATAAGCGACCTGGTAAGTGAGTTAGTGCCTGTCATCGTGAGAGAAGGAGATGTATGCTCACCTTCCGGAGAGAAGATCGTTGTTCGACCTGGGGAATGTCGTCAGCCTCGTCCATACCTACATGAGCATGAACATACTGTCGTATCTCCGAGCCTGGTATACCGTCAATTATTCAGTTTTCCTAGCATATACAAGTACTCACCATGTTGGATTTTGGGTTCTACAATGAGATGGTGGTGTAGAGAGAGCTGAAAGATGTTGGACTTGTGTAGCCTACCAGGGACGCGCGTTAGTCGCAACGCGCGTCCCTCGATCTTACAACTGGAAATGCTCCCGGCTTTCAGCCATGATCGACTCTTTCTGCAACCACCACTTTTGAAGAACATTGCTGATAATTTGGATATGGAAATCACTATGTCCTGTTCTGGTACCGTCTAAAACTGGATTGAAAAGACTTCTAGAGCTGGATCCAGCTGCTGTGCATACTACCTGATCACAACTCCGGAACATACCGTATCTTTGATTCGACGGAAATACTCAATGCGATTACCTCAGCTGGATCGTGTCTATTTGCCCACCTCTGACCATCAAGTTCATCAAACCAGTGTGGTCATCCATTTGTTAAAATGTACGTGAAGATAGACATTCAAGAATCGAAACATGATAGTGTGGCCGGAACGCAAGAACTGCTGGTTAGGGGGGTCTATTTATCGTTCCTGTTCCCATGCTGCTATATGGTTTCGCTAGGGCTTGAATACACTTGATCACCTCTCCAATCCATTGTCTACAAAAATGAGCAATATTAATTTATGGCAAATGTTCACTTGTAATGAGCGCCCAAGTATTATTATCTTTCAGCGGAGTCTGATTCTCCACCGCCTGCGCATCGCCGAGCCAAGGGTAACTGGGGGTTGACACACATGTTGCCGTAGCTCTTTATCATCGTCCCCCTTCTGAAAGCTTGTACTCATGTACTTTCACGTCGGTCAATGACCTCTCATGTACCAAGCGCCTCTCTATCTACTATTAATCTGGACTTCGATGCTGAGCCAGTATGGGAAACACAACTGTCAGAGGATGCTGAAGCGCCATCTGTGGAGGAGCACGCGACCACGAACGGGCACTCCAAGCCGAGTGATACTCACCCGTTGCTTTCTCATTCACCCGTGCTGCCCACAGCAAATGGAAGCAGCAACGGAACCGTCAGCATCGCGGAAGGCATGCCAACCCGCCCAAGCCTGCAACGTGTGCTCGAGGGGAGCTTTGGCGCGGACGGAATCGGAGATGCGGGTCTACGGGTTGGGAGGTCCAGGAGGAACACAGTTAGTGAATGGGACGAGGAGTCGATCGCGTCTGAGCTTGGATTGGGGAGGAGTCATACACCGAGCGAGCAGGAGGAGACAAAACAAGTTGTGGACTGCGTCGAGGTTATCGTGCATGAAGTGAGCTGCTCGAGTTCAGATCTCGCTTGCATCACCTCAACCGTTAAATTGCAGATCAGACCGACAGACTCTCTCGCCGGCGTCGCTCTCAAGTATAACGTCCCAGTAAGTTTACTTTCTTACCCCGCCATTGCCTCCTTACTGACGCGCATATAGCTTGCGACCCTCCGCCGAACAAACAAGCTCTGGGCATCCGATTCGATCCACCTTCGCTCCACACTATACATCCCCATCTCGAAGAAACCTTCTCGCCCTCCACTTCCGCACTCCATCACTGTTCCTACACTCACGACTTCTCTGACCCTATTGGCGATTAACGAGGATCAGCTCCCTACCGCGGTCCCGCCGTCGGTCAATAGTGTTCAGGAGCCGCGCCCTAATAAGAAGTGCAGGAAGAGTGCTGAGGAAGAAGAACGGAAAGTTGTCTCAGCGGACGAGTTGTCCTTCTTCCCTGCTCCTAAATCGAGCAGCGCACTTCTCCCCTCGACCGCTTCCCCGCCACACAAACACAAGCGGACGAGTACGCTCAGTGCGATCCCCACTCCGTCGCTCACGACCTCAACCTCACCCTCCGGCTCTCCGAGACCTCATACACTGTTGGACATCTTCCGCTCACTACCGGACGTCTCTAACATCGGGCGGCGGTCGCTTGATAGTTTAAGTTTGGGAAGCGCGAGGGAGGACGAAGCGGAGCCGACTGTCGAGCTGGAGATGGTTGACCAGTGGGGGAGGAGAGCGAACGAGCAGATGAGACCGACCAATGGAATGGTTATACAGCGAGGTGGGGCAAGAGGAGAGCAAGCGATGGATGAGGATGAGGACTGGGAATAGGTTCAGATGAGAGCAACAGGGGAACGAGGCAGATATGAGAGTGAGATTGCATGAAACAAATGTATGTATACTAGCGCTGCGATACTAGAATCCGAGATACCCTATCTATCGATACACCCACTACAGTCTTACCTCACACGCTCATCTTCATCTCCAGCTTTGCGTGCGGCTTGTACCCGAGCACCTCGATATCCTCGTACTTGATATCATCGATGTCAGCTACCTCCCTGTTCCACTTGATCGTCGGGAACTCGCGCGGCTGCCGGAGGACCTGCTCCTTAAGCGCCTCCACGTGGTCCAGGTACACATGCGCGTCGCCCATGACTAACACGAGCTCGCGGGCCTCACACCCAGTGACGTGGGCAATCATGTGGGTCAGCAGCGCGTACGAAGCAATGTTGAACGGGATTCCAAGACCCAGGTCGCATGAGCGTTGGTACATCTGGCAGGAGAGGCCGGGCTTGTCCTCCGGCGATTGGGGGAGGTGGACGTAGAACTGACAAAACATGTGGCATGGCGGGAGCGCCATTTGCGGTAGGTCTGCGCGATATCAGTAAGTTGATAAGGGTTGATGAGCGAAACTCACCTTTCGGGTTCCACGCGCTCATGATGATCCTTCGATCGGTGGGGTTGTTCTTTATCTTCCAGATACACTCTTTGAGCTGATCCACACCTTCGCCTTCGTACCTTCCCTCCACCTCGTCCTTTACGCCCTTATACTCTGCTCCAAAATGCCTCCATTGGAAACCGTACACAGGACCTAAGTCCCCTTCGCGCCTGTGTCCGAGTCCGACTTTGTCCAGGTACTCCCGACTGCCATTCCCGTCCCATATCTTGACCCCGCGCTCGGAGAGGATCTTGCTGTCGGTGCATGCGCCAACAAACCAGAGGAGTTCCTCAAGTACACCACGGAGGAAGACGCGTTTGGTGGTCAGAAGTGGGAGCACGCCGTCGCGTAGAGAAAAACGGAAGGGAGGGGGAGCGAAGAAGGCAAGCGTGCCTGTGCCTGTACGATCGGGCCGTTTCTCCCCAGTGGCGATGATGGAGGATATGAGGTCGAGGTATTGATATTCTTCATGAGGTGTGCGAGAGGTAGGAGGTGCAGGGTGCGAGCCGTTCGTTTTGACAGGGGCTGGCTCGGTCCCATTCTTTTGCTCTGGGACGAGCGACACGTCAGAAGGAGATTCCAGCGGTTGAAGCGGTGTGGAGATTCCAAGCGACATTTTGAGCAAGATATATGCACTAGCACAATGTAGTGGAGTAGCAAAGTGAACAAAGAAATACAATGCTTGACGTGTGTAATGCAAGACGCGCTCTTTGACGCGTTGCGCACGAGGGATGACCAAAGAAGAAGGAAGCGGAAGTATTGAGTTTCATCACGTGATGCTAACTGGTTCGCGAACTGAGCCGCGTCCCCATGTGCTGCAACCCAACTAACCGCCCGAGCACCAGTACTCCCGGAGTATTTTCCCTCCATCCCCTGCCTGACTGCTACCCAAAGCGACATCAATCATCTTACTTTTCTTTCACTCAAGTTTCTCATTTACCATCATTCTGCATTGTATCAATACTGCTGCGCTCTCCATACCCATCACACACCGCGAGGCGCGCTAATCACCATCAACTCTACGCCATTCATCAACCATGTCTGCGCGCCCCTCTGCCACCCCAACCCCATCCTCTACTCAGAGCTCTTCCTCGGCTCTGGGATCGCCTGCTATCCTGACTGACTACGAACCGCTGGAGATTATCGGCAATGGGAGTTTTGGGATCATCAGAAAGGTGCGGAGGAAGACCGACGGCGTGGTGCGTGGTTTTGTACCGCACATCACTATATCAACTGAAGATATTTAAATCATAGCTACTGGCTAGGAAAGAACTGAACTTTGAACGTATGACAGAGCGTGACAGGAAGCAAATCGTAGCTGAGGTCAATATCCTCAAAGAGTTACAGCACGACAACATCGTGCGGTATCATGACCGCGTATGTCTCTCCCTGCTTGTGCTGTTTATTTGCTGATTTGGGTGCAGTTCGTCGATCGTGAACACGGTATTCTCTATATCCTGATGGAGTACTGCGGCGGTGGTGATCTATCCGGTATCATCAAACAATCACGCAAGCTCAAGCAGCCCGTCCCCGAGGACACAATTTGGGCGTACCTAACCCAGCTACTGTACGCCCTTCATTACTGCCATCATCCCGGCGCTCCACTCCCTGGTGCAGGAGGCGCCCAGGGACCAGAGGCGGGACAGATAGACTGTAGAGAAGGCAAACAAGTGATACTACACAGAGATCTGAAGCCGGAGAACGGTACGTTGCTCCGATGGACTTTCTCTGATAACGCGCTGATTGGCACAGTTTTCCTCGATGCAAATGGCTCAATTAAGCTTGGCGACTTCGGATTATCCAAAGCCATTTCCAGCTCCACCTTTGCAAATACCTATGTCGGGGTATGTGTCTCACTTTGGCTAAGAAAAAGTCATGTTAACATGCTCGTTTCAAGACTCCCTACTACATGTCCCCGGAACTAATTAATGACAGTCCATACGATATCAAATCCGACATTTGGGCTCTCGGATGCTTGCTGTACGAGCTTTGTGCCTGGAAGTATGTCTATTTTCTCTCTATACAAAATCACCTCTCATCCATTTGTTCCAGTCCCCCTTTCCATGCGGCACAGACACATCAGGAGCTCGCCGTGCATATCCGGAGCGGTCGCATTCCACCTCTCCCGAAACAGTACTCCAGCACGCTTGTCGGGGTTATCAAGTCCATGTTGAGCCAGGCTGTGCGTTCCAAGCGTCATGGCGGGATGCCAAGCTTATGTTATCCCTTCATAGCCGCACGCACGCCCTAGCGCACAGATGCTTATGACTCATGAGAAGATTGTACACTCTCATAAGGTCCTGGAAGCGCAGAAGATGTAAGCTAACTAGTTCCCTGCTCTCGCTCTGTTTCTGAACCACGGAAATAGGTATCAAGTGGTCCGCAGTCGCAAGCTGGCCGTGGCGCAGAAGGAACAGCAGCTTACTCAGCGAGAGGCTGCCGTGGCGGCTAAGGAAGCGGAAATGACTGCGGAGCTTGCGAACCTGCATGAGCAGAATGCTCGCCTCGTGTCCGAACGAGAACAGCTCCAAGCATTACAAAGCCAATTCCATGTTGAGGTCCGGGCGTATCAGGAGACTGCTACCCGGTTCCAGGAAGAGGTCAAAGTGTGGCGTGATGTCCAGCAGCGAGAGCAGGACGCGCTCGAGAAGGACAGACGGGACTTCCAGGATGTCATCGTCAAGGCACAGACGGGCTTCGAGGATGCTGTCTCGCAAGCTGTCGAGTTACGCGCACAGGAAATGGTCATCGCCATTGGGAGAGAAGAAGTACTGCGTCAGATGGGTGAGGTCATCCGTGGTGAAGAACGCGAGAAGGTCGAATCCGCACTCCGTATAGAGTACGAAGCGCGATGGCAAGCGCTGCAAGCGGCCCATCCGTCCCAACCCCCTGTGGTTCCAGAGTCTGCGGTGAAGACGAGTAGGTTCTCCAGAAGAAGTCTGGGCAAGCGCGCGCTGGAAGAATTGCCCGGGTGAGCTGTGGGATCATCACTCCGCTCATATGCGCTGACCATTGCTCCAGAAATATCATGGCAATCCCTTCCGCAGTTGCCAGACGATTTAACGCCGGCGACGGAGAGACGCCATCCAGGCACGCACAGCCTCATGGGAACCACATCCCTGGTTCTGGCAAGAATACGCCTATTGGATCTAATCGTGCTGCATCCAAGAGTCTGACCGATCTCTCCCCTACAAAGAAAAAGACACCATCATCAGGCTCCGCCTCTAGCGCTCTCGAAACGCCCAACGGCGAAGCCTGTCTCCCTGGCACCCATGTCCTGGAGGATCAACTTGCGAAAATTGCTTACTGTACGGCCGGGGGCATGGACTCGCCATCCGTTTCAGCGGCGAAGAAAATGGCCCGTCGGATGACCACCACGTCCGCAATCGTCCGGCCGCCCTTACCCACCCATGCGAACACCGCTCCCACGGCCATACCGATATGGAATCCGGAGACTTTGCCTCCACCACCAGTGTACGACATGGATGACGAGGAGAACCTCCCCAGTCCATTTTTGAAGAAACTTTCAACGAAGTCGCGCATGTCTACCGGGCCGCTCTCGCAGGCAAAGAGGGGCATGCTTGCCCTGGCGGCTGCAAATGCCGCCGGGGAGCCGAAACCACCCATGACAGACAAGGAGCAGCAGGCGCCGACAACGACAGCGGGACCCCCGGCAAGCGCGGCAGCGAATAATGCTATCAAAGGTCCACGGCTGTCCATGGCCCGCGCTATCAAGGTTGGAGAGGAGGCTCGTCAGAAACTCGCACGAAGAGCGCTGTAATTGGTGAGGTGGGATCGCTCATGTATCACACGTTAGCATATTGTTGAAGCAGTCGCTGATTCTTGTTTCACTACTGTGTGTATCATCGCGCCTCCTCTTCGGCATGAATTTCTTTGTTGGCTATATGTGTCGCATGGAAACTGAATCCGCGTCCGACTCGACAGCGTGGACTGGTTGTTTTCGCGCAGCAGGACAGACTGCCGAGAGGAAGAAACGGCATGTGCGACGCCTAAGTAGTACCTTGCCTCCTCGAACTCCGGATCCGTCCGAGTGGTTGCTTTTGGTGGAAATCCTACCACCCATTCCGCACCATGGGGTAATATTATTTTCGAATACAACGGTGTGGAGGTTCCTTGTTAGCTCTTCTGCATCGCCACTCAGATAATTGTCTTCAGCCCCGATCCGTGTTACGACAGCGGTGTGTGGATGCAGACCCTTTGAGGATGATATTGAAAGGATCGTCATGCACCTGGTCATGCCCCTGGTTGCCACCTGTCAAGATTCCTATTTTCACCCGCACGGCAGACAAGCGTGCTGGAGGCCCCCTACAACCTAAGGGAACTCGGGTGTGATAAGTTTCATTTGCCCGGATTTATTAGTAAATCCGTCGTGAACATATCTTTTGCCTTAATAAGACTCAGGATACACCACTGAGTCGTCATGTGTCCCACTGATGATGGTCTATGCACGATGACCGTCTTCGTAACCTTTGGCTATGCCAGATCGACCTTCCTCCAGCAAACCCGGCGCGTCTTGACCTAAGCGACGATCGAGGCCTCGGAAAGTACGTTCTGCCAGGAATTGTCCTATCTGACGTCAGTGTTTCCCTGCGAGCGCTTAGGACGGAAGACACCCACCCCCCGCATCTGGGATGTACCCCTGTAACGCGTCGGACCGACTACGAAGCTGCAGGGCGCCCGGTTGATCATCCAGGGATGGATCTTGGTTATGCGGATCAGATATTTTCAAGGCGGGGAATTAATCGCTAACCGGGGTGGCCAACCGAGAATTTCTTCGCCTTGCGGAATTTGCCGGTAGTGAGAGAAAACATAGGTTCTTCATCTTCATCTTCATCTTCATCTTCCTCGTCCTTCAACTTCTGCGTGTCAGGCGGATCTTCCATCAGACAATCAATCAGCCACATATGGACAAATATAGGAAATAAATTGCACCAGGTCTCTGGGACGCCTCACTGAGAACTTGTTGGAAGTCCAGCAGATATCGGTTTGACCAGCTTGGCTCTGAATTGAGAGCAATTTCTAATTCGTAAGGTGTAATTATCGGCCTAAAGAAATTCTGTACAGCAATGGTCACGATGACGCTCCACAGATTACGGATGCCTGACCTTTGAGTCGATCAAGCTATTCTCAGGACATGCGACGAGAACAAAACATTCAATTTCCGCGAAGTTTGCTAATTTGGCGGGATTGAGTTTTCCTACACTGATCGTATAGCTTTTCTTCTCGGATTTGGCAAGCAACTTGCGAAGATGAGTCATCAACGGCAAGTAGGATGCTGTCTCGATTATCAAGACGCCTTCAACCGAATAACAGCATATCAGACATACCGACAGCCAATGTGCCGACGATGATGCCAAAGACGTCAGCGTCACGCGCTCGTTGCACTAGTGCATATCGTCGCATGAGAATCTTGTTCGTCCGAGCGGACGCCACGGAGGCCGACATAACCTCAGGGTCATAATTGTATACCTTTTGCGTCCCGTGATCAGTGTCAAATACAATTCTCATCAAAGACCACCTTACTTGACATGCCGCATGCGTGACAATCAAGTTCGTCAGAGAAAGGCTTTCCCTGCCGACGTAGAATACAACGGGGTTCACAGCATCTTCACCGTCATGAAATGGAGTTGTGGCGTCTGTTTTGTCAGCTTTTCGGTCGTGGGAGAAGTAGGCTCAAAAACATACAAGAATCATCCCCGGGTCCGCTCGTATGGAAACGTCGAACAGAAGGGACTAAAAGGCGATGCGAGGGATCGAGCTGACCCCTTAAGGCCTGGACGATGGCATCTACAGCACCGATTATTGCACGGAGCACCGAGGAATCGAAGGCAGCGCACCGATCGAGTATGCATAACTAACATCGTACCGCACTATGATCGATCGTGATGGGTTGTTGTCGAATGAGGATCCGGCGCTGACTAGCAGGCTATGCACGCAATGGTCGATGTCAATATTCCGCTTTCCAAAGACGTAGATGACCGGAAGCCGAGCAGTCCTGAATGGTGTGTAAAGTGCGAACTAAGAGTCACACCAAGGTGCCGGAAGCGGTGCTCACGGGCTGAGACATGCATGTCCGTAATGAACAACGACATCAGCATTCACATGCTGTGCCGCGACTTCATCTACGCAGCAGCTAAAAGAACCAGGGATTGAAATTCAGTCCAATGTGCCAAGGAACGTGGGGCCCGACAGTATGGTTACCTTCCGTAAGAGGTGTCAGCCAATACATAAAGTTCACGGTCTGGGAGTCTTGTTCGCAAGAGTCGATGCACTAAGACTGAATTGTGCAGAAGTTCATCAGGAAATTGCAGGGCAATCTTTTCTCGGTAGTGGGATAGATGATCAATCCACGGTTTGAAGTGAGAAGGAAGGCGGAACTCACGGTATGGTAGTCCCGGGAGATGATATGATCGACAGTTCGGTCGATTTCATACGCTTGGTCCAACGCGCCGGCGGACCGTGTTGGCGTGTCATCGAAGATCTGCGAAGCGACAGAAACATGTTGGTGAATAATGTCCGCCCCATCGTTTGAAAATGCGGAGGTTAGCGGAGCTGCCGGAGTTGCCGTTGCCATCGGTTTTGAGAGCCAACTGCCCAGATAGGATATGACAGGGAAAAGTAAATAGGAGCAGTAATAAATTATTAATAAGTTGAGATGTTGCTAATTGGTGAAGAATTTGAATCGCAGTGGCGGGTGATGGCAACGGTGCTGCGCGTTTGCGAAACGGAAATTCAAAAACGATATTGATTACTGGGAAAGCTTTGTCATCTATTGGGGTCTTCCGGAATATCTTTTCCTAGTGCGACATCGCTGTCGACCATCATCTCAATGTACGTGCTCTTGACACAGCAAGTCTTGATTGACATACAGGTTCCGTCTAGTCATGAAATAGTAATTTGGGACGGAAAATGAGCCATCGCTATCTGCTCCGATTCCGAGCGGATAACGGACCGAACCATTTGAAGTTGGCAGTTTGAGAGCGAAATCTCAACCCCTGGTTGCGCTTACATGCATGCCCGAATCTTGAAAACACACACAATTAATACGCCCCTTAATCTCTTACGTTTGGGTCCGTGAACCATCCGTTGCGCAAATGGCGTAGACTCATACATGTCGATGTCTGATGTTGTACACACACTTCCCTCTCTCCTGCTAAGGGTTGACAATGGAAGATGAAAATTTTCAGCACATGTTTGCCCTCCAAATGCGGACCACCAACTCCGCAAACCAGAACCAGGCATGCAATATTTTTCATAACATGATCTAACACCGGTGTATTATCTTTGCATAGATTCCGCTCGTGAAACGCTCACTGACCTCCCATTCCACATCCCGACCCATCTTCCGTGTCAAGTAGAGACTTGCCCGGCTCGTGGGTCTTGTCCTTACTGGTCTTACCTGACGCATGATTGAATGACGGTCCGCCGGGCTGTGCTTTACCCTCACGAACACATGCACACGCTCACCCTACTAGGAATGGGAATGTTGTATTGCTTTGTGTTGTCTGCCATTTTCTTTCCCCTCCCGCCCTCATCGTGCTACCCCAAGTCTTCGCCTCGCTCCGCCGTCTTGCCAACCCCTCGGCTTGATTCGGTGCACATCTTATATAGCATCACACCGCCAGCTTCGGTCAGGGCATCTCGCTCAGCCTTAACTGCTTGCTTCTGCTAGTGCCTTTCCTATCCTCAGCCCACTCCTCTCACTTCAGCTGACCGACCTGCTGGTCCGTGGCAGGGGTTTCATCTCCATCTCCGCCCCCGAGATATCTTGCGCGCTGCCTCGGGCCTATTCACTCGGTTCTTCTTTCACCATCGCTATTCTCTCGTATAACCGGATTGACCTGACGAGGGACTGAATTGCCGTGGGCACCTGCGGCCTATAAAGCCTCCTACATGTCCTCGCTGCAAGCTCCTTCTCTAGACAACTGTGCACTGCGACGACGGTCCTATCCCTTGGATATTCATCTAGGCAACATCGAAACACTCGATCCCTGTAACCCCATTCTTGTAACTCGAACGACCTGCACTCTGTACACTGCGTCAATATGAATATGAGCGACTCGCGCTGGGCTCGTGTTAGTGCCTCTCCTCGTTCTGCCTTCCTCCTGCTCAGATGAGGTTGCGGTTCCTCCAGGTCTCTGACAAGTTAGCCACTTTCCACGGATTTCTTGCCGCACAGCGTGAGCCCCACCCTTTCCGTCTTCTCGCGGGGTTGATTGCTGATGCTTTCTGATTTCCTTAGTTGATGCGACCTATGATGTTCGTTGGCATTGTTGGTCACCGTCGAAACGGATAACTAAAAGCGCGTCTAGCTCGCGGACGGCACGTTCCAACGTCGAGGCATGTCCCTTCAGACCTTCATCAGCGAAGTCGCGGACTTCAAGCGACGTTAGTCTCTCAGTATGCGTGCTATGCAATTGACCAACTGATGCCTGAAACAGAATTAGAGACCCATATCAACACTGAAGCGGTAGGCTTTGCAATCGGCGAACCCATGCAATCGTTTACTCATCACCTGCACAGCGGCATATCTACCCAATGCTGGCGCAGCGGATGCCGGCATTTACGCCCGGCCAGCGGCTTTCAGGTGCACACGGCGTAGTGCGCAGAGGTACGCCGATCCGTTTACGTCCTAAATGCGCGACTTCTAACAGGGGGGTGAATTAGGCGTTGACGGCATTGAAAGTATTATTGCAAAGACGACGGCGAACCCAGCATCATACAATGGCGGAGAGCTGAGGCAGTGTATCGATTCATTCAGAAGTACACTCTATGCGCTGTTTGCCGATGAACTGTGGGTTGATTTCGTGACCCAATTGTCGGATACGTTCTGACATCGCCTTGACATAGACGGGAACTTCATCCTGCAAACATGCAACGCTACTGGTCCTTAAACGAGGTCATTGCATTGCCCGTTTGATGAGATCAGGAGCGCTGCTCACATTGTAGAATCTCTCCCCAAGCCTTTCGCACTGCTCACGCTTCCTTTCGGCACTTGTATTTATTCCCCAGCATTGCCACATATCCACTGATAGTAATTCGGAGACGACTCAGGGGGCGCTTCGCGAGCTGACACGTAATGTGTTGTAGAATACTGCAGAACTGAATTCAACTATTTATTACCGAAACTGTGGGGACGTACGGTAAAGGAACGGAGCGTGATCAGAAGTCGGTAGCGCGGCCGCCATAACTCCAGTCGTTGTGCCTAGTCGGTTCTGTCTTGGGACCCCCGATTTCACCTGTCTTCGGATTTACGTCACCCTCGAAGTCGTTTTGGGGTTTCGGTCGGTAATCTGGGTGCAAGCTGCCGTCCTCAGGCTGTCCCATCGTAGATCCCGATTGACCGGTAGCGGCACGGCGGACGAGCTCCTCAAATTCACGTTGCTCAGCGGCGGGTAACGGAGGAGGGGAAGGGCGGAAAAGAGGGTCCCCGGCACGGTCGTCAAGGTCCCGATTGAGAAATTGGGAAGTATGAATTGGGCGGGAGGACGAAAGCGATGTTCCTAAACGTGGGGCGGTACGTGCAAGGAGGTGACGAGTGAATTGGGCGGGGACAAGGCGATGAGCCATTGAGAAGTACTGAGAGATAAAGGGTCGTGCTGATACGCCGGGTGCGATTTGGTGCGTTGGAGATTTGAAGGTTGCTGAGTCAGACTGTGCAGAACGAGACTCGTGGCACGATGGACGATAAACAAAGTAGGAAAGGCAGGAAATTGGTCGGGAGGCGAAAAGAGCGGTACCGACAGGTGTAGTTGATCTGTAGTCAGCGTCGTCGACCGTGAAAGGGATGAGCGGTACGGCCAAGCGGATGGGGGGGGGGGAAGGGACGTTACACAGAGCAGGGATGATGCCGTTATCCGCACGTCAATTGCTACGGAAATATCGGCTAACATTTATTAGAATAATACCAACCACGACACTCTACTACTTCCGCTCAATGTTAACAATATGTTTTTCAACCCCTGAACCGGGTACATTCATTGTTCTTCTTCATCTTGTGTCGTCGACTTATCAACCGGTCCATTTATTTCCATCTACAAGCACCACGGCTGACCACTTCCCCGGCCGCGCGTGTGCGATCTCGTGAGATCCGATATAGCCTCGCTCGTGTGAATCGTCCACATCTTTAAGAACCAACGTAATTTCAATTCCCATCAGGACCAACCGATCAAGAGCAGAATACGGGTAGGCACTTCCGAACAACTTCGAGCGTCCGGAACAACTGGGAATGCAATTTCTAAATTCAAAAGACGAATATGGTAGAGTAAATATGCACAGACTGGTGCGCGCATGAATTAGCAGGCGCCGGCCCCACGTTTGGGAAGAACATCGCAGGCATTGTTTCATACCGATCGGCCGTTACACCGCGTTGTTTACGAACTCTGTTCATCGATCGTCTTCATAATCCAAGGCTCGCTTGCAACAAACTGAGCACGGGGAACACCGAGTTCCAGGAGCTCGGAGAAGTATTTGGAGAAGCTTGTGAAAATTCCTGTCAGTCGGGTCAAAGCGCTCATGTAGTCAGAGTCACGCACTCGGAGAAGAACTTGTCGTTGTCGCCAGCGTACACCTTGACCCATTTCTTGAACTCCCTGTCTTGTACGAGAGCAAAGTCCGAACTGTGTATGATGGGTCAGTCTGGGGTGACTCTCAGCCACGTGACGACGCATACGGAAGCATCATAAGGGTCTTCGTCTTGTCCTGGAGCTGCTTAGGTCCATCCCACTTGCGCCAAGTCCACCTCTCGTTCATCAAGAGAGTGAAGTAGTCGTTGGTGAAAGTAGTAGGCGAGAAGGTCCAGGGACCATCGAACCCAGATCTGACGATACTCATCAGCCCAAAGAGTCAAACGAGAACATTAAGAAGAGATCCTCACCGGTTACGGTGGCAGCGGCCGAGGGCGTGGGCACCGGACAGAGCAACGATAGCCTGGTCGTCAAAACCCATGCGGTAGAAGATCTACAATGCTATGTGAGCACTGGGATAACGCACGAAATGGACTCTCTGCTTACGTTCCGGAGATGATCAGCCGCCTTGGAGGCGTCGGGAAGGCGACCGTCGGGAGTAGCATCCTTCGCAAAGCCGTCGATACGGCCAGGCCTCCAGGGAATCTTTGGGCCTTGCATTTCCTGAACAGCGCAAACACCGCCGAGAGTCCAGAGATCGCCGTAGGACATCCAAGGATACTTCTGCTTGATTTCCTCAATTTTGGTACGAGCGACTTCGAGACCGGCATTCGCGCCATGACCAGCTTCAGAGGGGAAACGCATGGTCGCGTAGTTGCTATACGAATGGTGAGAAATACTTTAAACTCTCATAACGCGTCGGGCTCACCTGCCGCCAGTGTTGTCATTCTTATCGTAAGTGCCCGAGGAGTGCCAGGCAAGACGAACAAGAACAGGTCCGTAAGAGCCATCTGCAACGTCAATGAATAACTTTCCATATATGGAACTATACCCACTCACCATCGTAGTCGTTATCGTCAAGGAGCTCGGCAATGTCGTTGTACACCTTCTGGTAGTCATCCTTGGTGGGGGTGAACTTGGTCGCAGCCTTGACAGCCTGGCTTGCAGACTTGACGGCACTCTCGGCCTCCTTCTTCATAACGTCGGTGGAGCCAGCAGCGTAGTACCAGTACCCACCTCCGGCGGCGGCGGCGGCTCCGAGCACCCACAAGAGCGTGTTGCTGCTGCCACCAGCTTCGGTAGCATACCCCCGCGCACGGATCACGTTACGAGTAACAGGGGCGACCGCTGGCATACGGCCAGCGGCGCCCACGAGGGGGCGACGAAGTTGGGTGCGAAGGACGCTGGCAAACATCTCTGCCGTTGACGGACGATGAGAAGAGAGGAAGGTCGAGGAGAAGGGGGATGAACAGAAACCGCGGACAGAACACTCGTGGAACGGTCGCGCACGAGGCCAGCGATTAAGTCACCTGGCTGAAATAGACTCCGCGAGTTGCTTCCGACTGACCAGTCCGCGGGTTTCCTTTAGTGGAGGCCTTCCCACTGATGTATGATTGGATAATCTTTTTGTTCGAGACCGCGGAGATAGGAAATATGCAATGTCGGGTTATGGGAACCGCGGACATTGACCATGGGCGCGTGCATGTCTGGAACAGGAAATTCATCTGTTCATTGTGTTCGTACAAGGTGTGTACAGTGTGATAGTGTATGACCGTCGATATAAGTGGGGTAAGACATGAACACACGCGCCGTCAGAGAAAAGGGAAAATATGAAGAATAGCATAGGATGACGACGTGAAGGCGGACGCCCGTCCTGCCGTCTCTACCAGTCGAACTCCCTGCAATAGTCAATGAATATCACTCGGGACAGATAAGAATTATCGGTACGGACCCTGTGCACTTGGAAAAGAGGTAGTCTTTCCCGTTGATATGCATAATCCCGTCCTTCAGAACACATTTCCATTTATTTTTGACGCGTTGGACCTGCATCAGAGGTGACTCGGTATCGCCCGGCACATGGGGAATATCGCACCTTATCATATGTGCACAGAACACTGTCTCTACCACCGTCATCCCCCTCCTCTTCTTCACCAAGTTCTTCGTCGTCAGAGTCATCTAGATCGGAGCCAATCTCTTCGTCATTCGTCGGCAAAGGCTTTGCCTTCGGCGGTTTGGGAGGTTTTGCTGTTGGCTTCTGCGGCGTCGGGTGGTGTGCGGTGGCCTCATCAGAATCCGAATCATCTGAGTGCTGTGAAGGATGATTCCCATTAGGAGTAACCTGCGCGAACATGTTATCAGAACAACATCACAGGCCGAGTGGCACGGTGCTTACTAAAGCTCCGTTCCCATTTGTTGCGGGGTATGGAAGTCTTGGTTGTTGGGCACCAGGAGGTCGATTGGGTATATTGGAAGAAGCGCCGTACAGAGCAAAATTATCGTTCGGTTCTGTTTTAATATAACCGGGAGGTGGGGGAGGCGGCAACGGTGGAAGACGTTGTGGTGGTGAAGGCGGCGCCGGCTCAAATTGAGCGACACGCGAGGCAACTACCTTCATCTCCCACCGCTAAGCACAATCCAAATATGACATCAGACACTTCTCTGAGGTCTAAGCCAGTTACACAAGCATACATTCTGGAGTTCCTGGATCACATCGTTCTCCACGCCAGCGTCCTCGAAATCGGTCTTGATAGAGGCAATGACCTCATCAATGATGTTACGATAAGTTGCGGGCTAGGCAGGACCATTACAGATACGTTACAGAGCACGCATGTACCGTGCTCACCACAATTCTATTGGACATTTCGACCCAAACCGAGGGGAGGCCGGGCGATGGTGGTGGGAGAGTAAGGAGGGGAGGGGCTTTTATATGAGAGGGGAAGAGGTGCGAGGGAGGGCGGTGGCGGTGTTCGGAGTTTCAAAATGCACCCGTGGTCTGTGCGCTGGTAAGTTGAATAGGGCCGGTCACGCGCGAGCCAGTCAAGGGTGACTTCCCGAAAGGTGGCGGACTCTTTGATCCCGTGCTCGATTTCACATCTCTCACGCCGTTTGTATACACACTCGCTCACCTTCCACTACCACCCCTCCTTAGTTCACCATGTCTAAAGAGAAAAAGAACTCTACGAAGGGAATGGGCGAGTCTGTAAAGTACGCTGAAGGTGACATTGTCCTGGGCAAGATCAAAGGATATCCGGCATGGCCCGGAAAGGTGCGCGTCTCTTCCTCTTGTGGCCGCTTTTGAGACGCGTTTTTGACGCATTTATCGTCCTATTTCAGATCTTAAGCCACGATGAGGCAAGTACGGCGGTGAAGAAGGAGATGCCCCAAGTGAAGAAGGCAACCTTCTACCTTGTCCGGTTCTACCCCACTGCCGAATTGTACGTGACGTGTGTCACACCAAACCATCCCAGATTTTATTAATTCCCCATGTCAGTGCATGGCTGTTCCCTAAAGACCTTTCCAAATTACAGAAACATGAGATTGAGGCGTTTATCAATGAACCTCATCGCAAGAGCTCAGACCTCATGGAGGGATATCGCGTCGCGCTGGACCCGACTGAATGGGAAGAGAACTATAAGAAGAGCAGCGAAGAAGCTGCTGAAAATGAAGCTGCTATACAGGAGGATCAGCTTGATGAAGATGAGGAGGAGGAAGAGCCCGAGGAAGCTCCCGTCGCCAGCAAGAAGCGCAAGCGTGAATCGGCTGCGGCGGATAAGAAAGCTAAGAAGGCTAAGCTCGAACAATTGAGCAAGCGCAGGAAGAGTGATGTCAGTGGCCATAGCCGTATCGTTGACCCACCTTTTTCTGACCGCGCTTGACAGTCAAAAAAGTCTGCTGATACTGTCGAGTCAGAGGATGATGGTGCTGCGGATGAATCCAAGGTGGAGCCGTCGCACACGGCACCAGAGAAGGCAGTCAAGGCCGCGAAGCCTCCGAAAGGCGCTGATGGTGAAGATGAGGGCGAAGATCGTACGTTGATCCTGGGTTTTGAAGAGTCATCGGTTGCTAACTTACTTTGCAGACGCCCTTTCGCATGATCCAGAGGCAATGAAGGTCAAGGATTGGCGTCATAAGCTGCAAAAAGCCTTTCTAGGCAAGATCGGACCCACCCCTGCCGTTAGTTTTGCATCCGATGAAGCACTTGGCAGCTGACGATGAGATCAGGATATGCCGAGTGCGGATCAACAGCTGAAGGCAGTCGAAGAGTATCAAGGATACACCATCGAATATCTGCAGGTATGATTGGAACGTTCTGATATTCTTCACTCGCTGATTCAGTTTTCAGTTTTCCAAAATCGGCAAGGTGATGCGCAAGATCGCTGGCCTAACCGAAGTTCCCAGAGACGACGAGTTTCATTTCAAAGACCGCGCGGCAGCTCTCGTTAGCCGCTGGCAAGATCAGCTGTCCGGTGCTGTCCCTAAAGTCAATGGCCTTGAGACTTTGGAGGAACCAGCGAAGACCGAGGACGTTGAGATGAAAGATGCGAATGGAGCGCCGAACTCGGAAGCCCCTACCCAGGACGAGCCTGCTGAGACGAGGGCGAATGACGCGCCGCAGGCGCCTGACGTCGCACCCGTGGTCGAGCCTGAGCCTGCAGCGGCATAATCGTTGTTGTTCTGCAATTCTGCATTTAACTGGTGTCATCAAAATTCAATGAGTTGTCTGAACGCGGACCGGTGGAAAGACGAAGACCTTTTCCGGGATCCATGGGCTGTTTCTCTCTTCACTCATTTTTGTCCTTTCATGTGAGTTCACAGCAGGCTGTTTGTACATACTGTTTCTTTCCTGCTACCTGTTCTACAATGTGAAGGGTAATCAATAGTGTATGTCTTCCCTGTAACTTGTTGCTGTATTTAAGAGCGTTCTCGGACCCGTTTGTGACGCGACGCGCTTCGCTCCGTTCCACCACTTGAAAGTCAACGGCTCGCTACAAGCAAAACACATTAAGAATGCCTTCATCATCCAAAGAATTAACGAAAGAGGAGGAGGAGGGGATACGTGAGGAAATCGCTGAGCTAGAAAACGAACTTGGGTAGGCGCATATATTTATTGTTCTGCCCCCGGAGACGTTCAACACTAATCGCGTCTCCAGCGGGAAGGATCCCGACGCGGCCATTAAGGAGCATATAGCCCTTTTGCATCAGTATAACGAGCTAAAAGATGCTACCCAAGTATGATTTTCTGGTATGAGCTGTTCCAGGAAGTGCTGACTGTACGAAAGATTATGATAGGAAAAGTGAGCTGTTCGGGATTCTGACCATAACCGAGTTTGAACCCAGACCAGATGGCCACGATGAAAGACACAACCGTCCGCAAGTTGCACGAGGACTACGGGCTGACTTCTGATGACTGAGGGGACATGGGGGTCAACTGTAAACGTGTATCATGATCGCATCGCACCTGTGTACTAGGCACACATTCACGACTCGCTCCAGCCCGATGCACCATTATAATGAGACTGAAACAATCAATTTCCCTTATATCCCATTGAGATACAGTTTACACAGCAAAAGAGAGATACAGCGATAGATGATAAGACGCCCTCTAGGAAGATGGATGGGTAGTAAGTTTACGTATGCTGATATACAGTTTGCCGACGGGGCTCTCTATTAGGTTCGGTTTGAGACAGGAGATAGATGGATCATTGAAAGATGTGGCGGAGCTGGGGTTTCAGAATGTTGTACAGTAGAGGTTATAGAGCGCGAGGAGCGTTCATCTGTAGAGCGCCGAGTGTGTTGCTGTGATGGCGATGACGATCGGCGCCCGAGTCTCCGTTAGCGATAGCATTCAAACGGTTAGTGAGCGATGCATGCTCCACCCGGCGGACGAGGTCGGTTAGAGAATTCTCGCTCCTGGATCGTTCAAGTCGCTCTGCCTCATCGTAACTGGGCAGTCCAATTTGAGCGGTAAGGGGCACGATGCCACCGCCGAGGAAGCCCCTTGATGCGATATCGTAATGAGGCACCTGGGAGAGCGGGTCGAGGTGGTGGTGAGGTGGAGGGGACGGTGCGCGGGAGGTAGAGGCCCGCCCTGCATTCCGCCGCCGTGTTGTCGTTGGCGATGGTCCGGGCGCGCTACCGTCGGGTGGAGTAGTTGCCCTGCTCTTTCCCTTGGGGTTGAATGAGGTAAGCGGCTTGATTGATATTGGGAGGTGGAATAGTCCTCCGCCTCCCCGCGTGGTCGAGTCTGAACCGAGGGTCGTGGTGGAATCCGATGGGCCCGGACCTCGGTCATGTGGTTCAGGGCTGGAGGCGCGACTTCCCACACGGCTGGAAGGACGAGAATTAGGCCGGCTCGAGTTACGAGAATCCACAGGTGTGTGGACATGCGAGCCGGTGTGTGATGAAGAAGCAGACGACCCGCTGAAGGCGGTTCCTAGAGACGAGAGCAGCTCGCTATCCGCAAAGCTGGTTCCTGTGGGAAAGTACGACTCTTCCGCAATTGAACTGCGAGACGGCGTATGCGACTCGGTGAAACGTACACCCGGCTCGTGCCCTACATCTGGCAACGGCATCGGGCCCAGGCGGGGTGATGTTGCGGGGCTTGTATAAGCTGAGGCGGAGATCGGAGCCACAATCGTTGATTCCAGGGCTGCGTTCGCTATCCGGTCGCGGATGTGCTCCGGGTAGCTGGGCAACTCGATCACTGGCTCCTCCTGCTCCGCATTTCCAAAGAGGAGATTGCGGGTGTTGCTGGTTGCATTCCAGGCCTCTTCCGCACAAAGGGATGAGAGAACGTGAATTGGTAGAGCACAGCGCAGTTCAGAAGTGTGTCCATCTAAGTTTGAAAGCATACAGCACCACTAATGCCGTGTGAGCACCGAGTTGTCATTGCTAATAGGGAAATGACATACCTTAATCTTGTGCGAGATCTGAACCGGCTTGATCGAGTGCGTTGGCGTCACCCAAGCCGGTATCAGCACTTTGAAGGTAGTGTCGATCTCCCCATCTCCGGCACCCAGATCCATGTTCTCCTCCTGGTGTCCATACGTGCCGTTCACTCCACTGTACCCATTCACTCCGTTTGCTCCATTGATGCCGTTTGGCGTATTCTCTAGGGAGGGGGAGGCAGTGAGAACCATTCCGTTCGGTGGCGTTTCGGTGACAGGAAGGGCAGGATGAATCGACAGTCCAGGGAAAGGTGGTGGGAAAGCCGCTGCTTCTGCTGCATCTAGAGCTTGCTGTGCTAGGCCCGGGAGGGATGCAGTGGAGCGGGATGTTCTCGGACCTGCGGCCGCCTGGAGAGGGATAGGAGCGGTCGCCGTCCTGGGGAGGATGGAACGAGGTGTGATATCCACTGCGTGCCCACCCTGGAATTCATGCTTCGCCGTCGTGACCGTTCTTGTAGAAGATACCGGGCCCGATTTTGTCGTCAGCGTTGCGTACTCTTTGATCTCCGTCGTGATCGTCTTGACTTGCACACCCTTGGTGAGCGGGGTGAACTTGACCGATACGGGCACCTCGGTTCCGGCGGCGTGAGCGCGATGCGGGATCATCTAATTTCAGAAAATCAGCTTCATGCACCCCCAACACCCGTTCCTCAACTCACGATGCTGTACATAACCTTCCCTGGCCACGTATTCTCCAGCTCGAGCGTCTGCGTATACTCCAGTGCCTCGTTCGTAAACGTTCTTACCACGTTGAAGGACTTGACATCGGTAAAGTTGGTGGCGAACGCGCCTCTGATAGCGTTTGCGCGTATCTTGTACGAGATACTCGCGTTGCCTCCCATGGTACGCAAGCTGGCCGGTGCATTCCCTTCAAACTCCATCTGGAACGGGAAAATGTGCCGGCCAGCCTTGATTGTATGCATGTGTCGGCGATCTCCGGGGAGGAAGGACCACTCGTGCTCGAGGATGGATACGCTGTCCGAATGACTGCGGCTGCTTGTGCTGGCGAAGGTACCGGGAGGGATGAGTCAGTCCCTGACCAGGAACAACGGAAAAGAAGGAAGAGGAAGTTGACGCACGAGGCATTGTCGTTGTAATGGATCTTTGCCTTTCCCGATAGGTGGGCCGTGATTTCCCGGATGTTGGTCGCTTCCGCCAGATTGAGGATAACCTCACCCTAGATGGGCGATCATGTCGCGAATCAGCACATATTCCTTAAATGGGCCACGAGGGCGGTAAAGACCGTAGACAGGGACGCACCATCAACAGACAGGGCTCGAAGTCTCCTCCAGCACCGCGGATGAACAATGTCGGTGGCATCGAGATTTCGATCGAGCTGTGCATAGGAATCATCGTGTCACTCGTCGAGCTGCGTGAGGGTGGGGGGAGGTCGGCGAACTGGACTTCCCGCGTCCCGGACGAGATTATATGTTCCCCAGAGTTCGACCGGGGGAGGATCTGCATCTCGTCCGAGTTGTGTGAGTGGGTCGAGTAGTGCGCAGAGGACGGCGTCGATTGTAGGAGCACTTGGGAGGAAGCACTCGAAGGGGGGGTGTACGCTGGTGTGGGCACGTCGTCGTGTATCCCCGGTCCGTAGAATCGTACCTGCTCTGGGGAGTGGTGCGGTCCTCCGTCACGGTGGGAATGGTGGATGAGGGAGGCGAACGCCGCCATGGTGCGAGGGATTGAATTGGATTATGTTGTGAATCGGTGTAGGAGAAGAAGGCCAGGGTCGCAATACAGATCCGGAGCTAGACCGTTCTATTCTTTTTTTCTCCCTCCTGTGTGTTAGGGAGTAGGAACACCTGTGGCGTGGGTTTCCAATGCTTGGGAATAGATTGGAAAGATTGTCAGCGCGGATTGCCGGAGGAGAGCAACAGAAGGCACTGGCAGGGGGCCAGACCGGCTTGATAGGAGGATGTATGGATAGTTTGCTTTGTCCCAATGCTGGCGTGTGTGCGCTGGTAAAGCGTCTAGAGAAATGGCTGGCAGGGTGGTGGGTGTGAAAGAAGCAGGAGGGCGAACACAGGCGAGAGATGAGGTGAAGGATGTCCGAGGCCGCTTCGGAGACGAATTGGTCAAGGGCTAAATGTTAAAGGCGATGCTCTGTCACCTTTGATTGTACCTTTCTTCGAACCGGTGCGGTCAATGGATGCCACTTGCGTGAGAACGTGATGTCACCCCCTCCTCAGCCGAGAGCGAGACTGCCCGGCCTGGACCGGGTTGTGTTACGAAGGACACTCACAGGCGAAGGGAGAAAGGAGAAGGCAAGAGGCGAGAAAGGAGGATTGGAAGAAGAGGAGTTGGCTCTAAACTGTTCCTACCAGATGGAGTACCTTTCACCCACTTCCCCTGGGCGTCAGTTTCCTACCTGTTAACGTTATTCCCTCGGGTCGGAGGAGGTGAACAGCCATCGATCGGCCGGTCCACTGCACACGTCCCTTCTGCGCTTCCCTCCCTCCCATACAATTGGTCCTGCGGAGTCGCGATAAGTAAAACTAACCGCCCCGCCCCGTTGTTATTATCTGTGTTTCCGAACTATGTAGTTCCTGTATCGCCGGAGCTTGAGATGCCTTCACAGCAGCAGTCAGCACTATCATCACCGTATGGTCCCCCCGCCTCCCCAGGCGCCCGGTGTGTCCAGCCTTCCCGCGCCGTACATGAGCGCCTCCACCGCGCCGCTCTGCCGTTCCGCTTCCGTCACTTCCAAAGGGGGAAATTCTCCTACCGGCCCTTCACTTCCGGCCATTCCGCCGATCCGGGCATTCCCGGAACGGCAACTCATTCGGTCATAACTCCCACACCGGCAAGCTTTTTCGAGCAAGAGTCCGGTTTATCTATTCTGTTGCTCTTACGCTAATACTCAATTGCTGGCTGTGGCGGCCTGGCCCGGATGTAAGTTTATCCCAAAGCTGTGGTGTAAGCTGCCCGTGGCCGGGCCATCTCAGCCCAGCATGCATGACGCAATCAGTGCTACATTGCCCGATCCAGTCGCCCCTCGGTCCGATCAGATACGCGGCAAGATATGGCAACTTGCGAATTAAAACAACCCAGTCATCCACTCATACAGGATTTTAAATTTAGCAATCAAGATAACGAAAATAAACTTCGCGACGCGCGACCGTTTTGTCTGTTTTTCCGCTAACGACGCTATCTTCGCGCGGACGGACCATCGGCGACACGCCCGGGATTACAAAATTATCAGGCCATAAGAAAAAGATAGCCAGCCTCGGCGTTGTTTGCTGGCTCGTTGAGGCCTGGCCAGATCGAGCCGAAATTATCCCGTGTCCTCGGCCCCGGCGGGAAGCTTGTTGGTATTTTCAGGGACATCCTCAGGCTTCCAGGGACAGAAAATAGAACACAGTTGCACATGCTGTGGGATGGCGCAGGATACGGACAGGGTGAGATGCAGGACGAACGTGAGATTCCGTAGGTGCACTCTGTTTGGGTCGAGATTTATCTCGACCCGTCCAGGGATCTTACTCCAAATCGGGCTTCTCGGCCGGTATCCAATCCAATGTATTAATATTAATACACAAGAAGCAACACAATGGCTCTTCATCACAGGTGGATCAGAGAAGGTGGCAAGGAATCGGAGGAATTAAGGTCCAGAACAACCTGCCACAATTGACTTTGGTTGCCCTATGTCCACTCGCCACGTCCCTTACCAAGGTCCCCCACTGTATCGCAATCTATGAAACCACGAACGTTCCGCGCCATCCGCCGCCCGTCCACCGGCCTCCATCCCGAATCACGCGAGGTACATCGTATCGAGGTAAGCGTTCGCCACTTGGGTCACGAGCGCCGGGCCGATGGCAGTGGACTGGCCCAGCCCTGAATGGAGGTCAACGATAGGCAACCTGTTAGAGCGCAGCGGTCATACCGTAGAGTGCTACCATCGTGCCCTTATTCTTCGACGGGTTCGCCTTCACTTCGGCCACAGCGTCCTTCAAGTCGGCGATGAACTGCTCAACATTCGGGACCGTGAGGCGCTGCGGAATTGATTATCAACACATTTGATGATAATCAGATGCCAGGATATCGACTCACTGTGCAAGCGATGTGCACCGCGGGAGGTCCGTTCAGCGCATTGAGGTGCCAACCCCTCGTCCCCATCGCGTCACCTACTTCCATCGGGCTGATAATATCGGACGTGAAGGCGACGACCGGCCCGCACGGCTCTCCCAGGACTTCGAGCTCGGGGATATCGTCCCGAATCGCGAGTTCGATCTGCCTGCGACAGCCGACGATTTCCTTACATGACTTGAGATAACCGCTATTGTGGAGTTAGGAGGTCCGTGTTGAACGGGTTGGGGAACGCGCACTCTTGCCCCATATATTGCATCGCCGCCCAGCATCCAGCAAGAACTGCACCACCACTGCATACGATATCAGCGCAAGTCTCTTGTTGATGAAGTATGCATTCTCACCGGGAACCTGCCATAGATGGGCTTCCGTACAGCCCGCCGGGCCAGCTCGGCATGCTGAAATACTGATATGTCCTCAACTCAGCATCGCGATACATGATCACAGAAGTTCCCTATCAAGTACTTCAGCGTGCTGTCAACCACCAGCACAGAGATTCGCTAACCTTCGGTGCAAAACCATACTTGTGCGTGTCGCAAGAAATAGCAGTGATGCCTTCCAGACGGAAGTCGAATGGATCGACCGGATAACCAGCCCTAATCATACAGTCAACATTCGACTTCCACACCTGTTCTGCGCTTACTTTTCCAGGAAAGGCATAATAAAAGAACCAAGGCAGCAGTCGACATGCATGCCAACCTTGTGTTTCTTCGCCATTTTCGCCAAAGCACCGATGTCATCCATACAGCCATCAGGGAAGTTGACTGCCGAACCGACAATCTGGAAGAGCAATAAGGACGGACCATGAATTAGGAACTTCTGAACGGACCAGCACTGTATTTGGGTTGCTAGAGCCGGGGGTCAGTTCTTAAACCAACAGCATTCGCATAACGGCTTACATTGCTCTCCTCACACGCTCAATATCGACCTTTCGCGTTATAAGATCCACGGGAATCATTTGCACCTTCATCTTGAAATAAGCGGCGGCCTTGTAGAAGGCAGCATGTGCAGAGACAGGGACAACGCTGTGAAGCATTATCAAAGAAAGCCAGGAACAATAAGAACGATATACATCTCGGGATCTTTGATACCCTTCACAGCCCGCCCCCAATCACGATGTGCCTTGCAAGACATCAAGATTGATTCTGTGCCACCGCTCGTGGTGGTGCCTGCACCCGACGGATTGTTGTACCTGACAACACCATGAGCGAGGGTGCCAGCGATTATTCACGGAATGCTTACATGCGAAGACACATGGCAACGATCTCTGCATCCATTCTCCTGATGGCTGAACGGCATATAAGAACAGTACGCGCACGGAACCTCGCTCGACATACTGGGGAAGACATCCGGGTGCAGGGGATTGCTGACCACAAACTTCTTGAACGCAGCGACAAGGAGATCATTCAGTTCCTCTCCCCCATGATAGATCCCGCCAGACATCTTGCCCTCCTTCCATATATCACCGCGCTCCTGTTTGTCCATACGCTCCATCTCGTCTTCGATCCACTTTGGTGTCTTTCCCTCCAGCGGTATCGCCAGATGTCGAACAATCCCAGGTCCCCGAGGCGCGATCTTTGCTTCGATATCATCCCGAACTTTTGCCATCTCTTTGTCAATCTTTCTCTTGATTGGCGGTATGCGAAAGGCGATTTTCGTGAAGAGCTATACGAGTAACAGTGTGAGAAAGCCATCGCTATAAGCAAGGGATTGCCGTGAATGCGCACCTCGAGAATCCATGTTTTCGCGTCATCTGCAACGCCAGCAAATCCTTTTGCTCTGAGAGTCCAGAACGCCCTCACGAGTACATAATTCCAAAATACATTCCAGAACACCGACGACTTTGCCTGGTCGTAGATCTTGAGCGTCAAGGCAATAGCCTTCCAAGGTAGCTGTGATGTGCGGCGGACGACTTGAGACGACATGGTGGTTGTTAAGCAAGGCAACACAGGATCATGGAATGATTGTGGGCCAGATAGAAGTCGTTGCAGCTTGGCACGGCTGTGATGATGATCGCGGCACCGGCGAATTAAGATAGCCCATCGTGGGTGGCGGGACAACCAAGAACAATCAGGAGACCCGGGTAATCGGCATTCCCACATGTACGTAAATGCGTGTGCCTCTCCCCCTGTCACGTTCAACATTTTCGTGACCTAGAAACTAACTCATCACGCGCCGTCGACTGACTCAATTAACAATGCGTCTGGTCAGTATGCTCTTGAAGATATTGATGTCCAAGCTCATGGCATGGACAGCTCAATCAGGAGGACGAGGTGGACGAATCCACCGAGGTCACATGGGGTCAGCCAGTCAGAAAACCCAAATGAAACACGTTTTCCAACCTATATCACAGAGGATCAGCAAAGAATCAATACGTTCTCCAAACTTAACCAGAGGTTTCAGGATGCTGAGGAGTTACTAAAGAAGAAAAGGGTACCCAAACGTTTGTTCGAATGATTAAGCACATGTCTGAGCCATTGGTAGACGGAGAAGGAATACCTGGATGATGTCGCGATGGAGCTCGAACTGGTCGACGAGGACGAGCCTGTCCTGTAGGTTTCTCCAAGTCATCGACCACTGGCCGTGTTAACATCCATCCAGGTACAAGATTGGCGAGACATTTGTGCACATTAAGCTGCAACATGCACAGCAACTACTAGAGAAGGAACACAAAACGATTGACGCTGAGGTCGCGAAGCTTCAGAGTCAGGTCGACGAGAGCGAGAATGGAATGAAGGAGCTCAAAGTTGTCCTCTATGCCAAATTCGGGAATGCGATTAACCTAGAAACGAATCCAGCATAGTTGATGGGCATGGATAATGTACAGTGCACCTTAATCTGAGGATGTGGTCAAGCAGCACGGGGGGTATGACATATCACGACGATCAAAAGAGATAATCCAGCAAGTCACAACGTGGCTCTCTCATGCGTGATTCCACAAGCTCCGACAACGCTTCGAACACCTTCGTGCGTTGTCTGAACGTCTCTTCATCTGGAGCACCATTCGTGTTGTAAACGAGTGACCTCGATGGAGGACATTCAAGCTCAGTACTATCAATCGGCTCCAAGATGTATTTCATCAGCGCATGATAGTTGGCAACTTCTTCGGCATTGCCTGTGCTGACTGTGGGAGCAACATTGTCCTTCAGGAATGTTAACGGTATTTGAGCGTCGGACGTTTGCCGGCACAACTCTAAGAACCTACGCAAAGTCGGACTTAGCATTTGTGTGAGGTACGTCAGACACCGCTTGCCGTTGTTTTCGTAGTATGAAACGACATTTTCGGATCGCTTCATCAGAAGAAGGGCTACAAGAAATGTTATAGCGTATTGCCTGTCCTCACGAAGAGTCCGTACCTTCGCAGGTTCATGCTCCATAGCCCATCATTCCCGAACAGGTAGTGCCGGTTCGATTCTCCATCATATACCACATCGAAGGTGCCCTGCTGGATCCCTTTGCACGCCGACTGGGAAGAATCCGTCGGTCTGGTCGATAAGAGGGTTGCGTCCTCGACTTCTGTCTCCAACACTCGCCAAGTTTCCCAACTGTCTCCTAAACTCCAGACACTTGGGACGCGGCTGGCAGAGCGTGGGGGAACAAATCTAAGTGGATTGAGCACGAATCCTGAAAGTAGGAGCGACGCTGACATACACTCGTATTTCGCCGATGTCCCCGTGCAGGATGCTTGCTTGGCATACGCCAGGAGCCATGGGAAGCTTGGACATGCTTTCAATCGCAGGGCTTGCTTCTCCGGACGACAATCTTATCGTCCATATGTCGGCCAGTTGAGCCCCGTCACGAGTGCCACCAAACGTACACAAGGTCCTAACACTGGAATCAAATACCAGACCGTGATCTGGGTAGAACGTTAGGGCCATAGCATGGGAGATCACACTAACGCACCCGTTCGCGACAGGAGTGGGCCCCCTCGAATCTTATCGTCGCTTGGGAAGAATCAGCAAAGAGGCATAGCTAATGTACCACAATACATGACTCACAATATCATTTTCCACGTCCGTGCTGCGATGTCATACCGATACAGTCCCGAATAAATAGGTGCTCGCTGCTTAGCAGAGATCTTCCCCCCAAACACGTACAACATTTGCGAATCGCTGTCAATCACTGTGCGATGGCCGGATAAGAGACCAGGGCCGCCGTCCGCCTTTATATAATTAGTGACAGGGCAGTTGGAGGAATGGATTCAACTTACCAACGTGTCCATGCTAAGCCTTTCCCATGTAGCCTTCTTATATCGGCAGTGCGTGTATCGGAAGAAATCAGGGGGGACGGACACATCGCTAGCTTGCTCAGCATCCTTCTTCATCTCGGAACAGCGATTTACGTCAACATGCCGTCCGAAAACAAAGATGCTGCCTGTACGAGGGTCGAAATTCATCGTATGGCCAGCTCTCGCTCCAGGTCCACTCTCCTTATGGGTGTCCGCGCTTATTAGATGCCATTGCTGAGTCACGATGTCGAAACGCCAGAAGTCGGAGAGTTCCGTTGTACCATTACATCCTCCAAGAAGATATATGTGTTGGTTGGGCCCTAGCACTATGGCATGCCCTCTGCGAGGGCAAGGGATGCTGGAGGTGCCAGTCTTCGAAGCTGGATCGAGTTTTCGCCACAGAGCACGTGGATTGGACGATCTGAGACATGAACTGAAGCCACCCTTAGCAGCAATATCTTCAACAACGAGCTCTGCAGCTTCGTAGTCCATGTCATTGACCACAGTGCTGTAGAGCCGCGACATCACGGGATCTTCGAGCGGAACACGCGTGGCTTTTTGGATACGAGAAGTCGCATCTTCGAGACCTCGCTGTCGCAGAAACTTCATGACAATTCGCATACTTTCACGTTCTTTTGTCTATCACCAATCAGTCTCCAGGTGACGAAACAAACGTTCAGCTCACTTCCTGCAGTGCAGTATTCAACTCCTGGATTCGACCAGCATCATCAATACCGCGAAGAACAACATTCCATATACTGGCATTGAACTTTGGCGCATGGGATCTGCCAAAATGGTATTAATACCGAGACCACTGCATTGAAGGATCAACTGAACGACAGTGGAACAATCTTGACGAATTGGCATGGTACGCTCTGTTTGGAATACGTTAGTTTCTCGTCAATTGGCATGTGCATTCCTCACAGGAAGAGAGTGACTGCCCTCCTCATTGTGCAGAAAAAATATTTCCGCCTCATCGTTATCTTTCAACTTGTCTCGCAACTGGATTTGGAATCGATCCTGAGAAGAGCCGGTCCACACCTCAAATTCGTTGAGGTTACATGGGTGGGCTAGAGAAAAATGCTTGGTTCAGCGTAAAGCCATAGCGTATCAGAGGTACATACGTTTATAATACTGTGTCATTATATTTAGCACATCTCAGGGACAGTCTGATCACTGCTTACCTTCCTGAACGTGATCGAAGCTTCCGATATGTCGATGAGCCTTGTCGTTCTGCGCAATCGCACGTTTACTCACCAAGTAGGCTTGGGAACTTGAGTTTTAGCACTATCCAAGTCTTCCCAGGACTCTTGACCTCTGCACTCCATCGACTAGCAGGGTCATTAGGATTGTCTTCCAGGATTCGCTCAGGGCGGTATGGGTTCGCGTGAGAGCTAGCTCCGACGACAGTGTACTCTAGCGTGTGTATGAGGGGATCATCGGAGATCGTAGATGCTCGTTGGCTACCCGCCATGGAGGGTTATCGCACACACTGTGGGAACGACCGTGGACTGCCTGTAGATATCAGGTCACGAAGCAGGTTCACCAAGTTCCGACTGTGAAACCAGGACACAACGCGTACGTCGCGCGAACGACAGACGTTTTCCTCCGCGTTACAAAAGGATCTCGGAATAGAAGGAATCTCGGGCTCGGTTCCGAAATCTCGCTGGCAAGGCACAATCTGTGTCACCATCTTCGTTGTCACTTGCAGGTCCGCTTGATTCTGCCAGAGACCTAGAGCATCCTCCATAACCACTATCGCTGTACCCTTTCGCCATGTATCGAAGCATTATTCGTGCGCAGTGAGATGACACCCTGGCTCTCCTGTCGTCGAGGATCTTCTTGTTCATCGCAACCTTTGGACATCTCAGTACTCCATTCGGTCATCTTCACATCTATTTGTAGACATATCTCCGATCTCGATCCGCTAAATGGGCATTCATGCGTTCCGGGTAATTGTTGCTTTGTGGGGATCAACACGTGCAGTCTGGCGCTGCTGGGATCGCGCCAGCTCGATTCTTCGCCCGACCCCAGAGCCCTTGACAGCGACTCATTCCCATGACCTCCATGAGCGTTCCCGAGATGCCAGCTCATCATTTCTCTCCATCTTTCGCGCCGTGGGGTGGCATTGATGTCCAAGCAGCGGTGTCGGTGTCGATCTTCAACAGCGCAGTTCCTTGCACAGTCGTCACATGCAGAGCTGATGCCCTCTCCTCGCATCATGAGGAAAAATGAATTCCGAGTCGCTGATTCCGAGGATCTCAAAATGTCGCCATGTTGCTTGTCTCTCCAAACCCGAGCGATCACTGGAATGCTTACTTAACAATGTAATCTCCTGCACCGTCAGTCATTCTGACCGAGAGGTGGTCCAATCCAGTCAGCGCAATCCCTTGACGTTGACGTGTTGTTCACCATGCAACGTGGATTTGTGCAGAAGTGATCTAGATAAGGTATGGGCCAGCCAAGATCTCCATAGGGTCCTTGGAATGCATCAAGAATCATCCCGCGTCTTGTAAACACCGCTTGGAGACAGGCGCATGCCATTTGTCTTCTCCCACCCCTTGACATTCCCCTTGCCTTCTTGTCACCGTTCTTGGGTCGAATAAATGAAAATAGATGTCGGAAATGATAGACTCTTCAAGAATACCGAGGACTCTACGCCAGTTGATCTTATATGGCTTGTTGTGGCAGTCGTCGGGCACCGGGTACCCCAGCCCATCCCCATCCTAGAACATGATGGGGGTCAAGGTCATCCTGGTGCTGTCCTTGGCACTTTCCGCGGCTGCACTGAGGGCTATTCCGAACGCATACTTTGTGGAACTTGAGCCATCTAGTGAGCTGACACCCCGTGCCACAGTATGTGTCCCTCAATTGAATGTTAACGCTATGACTGATCGTTTCGAGTCCCATTCTTCTCTCTACTCTGATCTTGATGCGGCTGGTGTAAAGTATACTGTGAGGACGGAGTACAATATTCCGGATCTTTTCGTCGGAGCTGCAATCGATTTGGCGGTGAGTGCCAACAGCAGTTGTTTCAGCACGAAGCGCTCAACAGCTATGAAAGGATGCGAGCCACTATGCAGGATTGATATCCGTTGGCAGCGTGAAGAGGGTAAAGCCCGTTCACCTCATTCCTCGCCCGGAGCCTGTCAGTGTGATGATACCAGATGCTCCGTCACCAGAATTGATTGCAAGAGATGGATTCGACGGTCGCTGGTATCCACCATACCTGCCGGATACGGAAAGCACACATGTAATGACAGGGGTCAACAAGCTGCATGCTGAGGGATTGACGGGGAGGGGGATCAAGATTGGAATCATTGATACTGGAACGGACTGTGAGTTTCGTTTTATGTCGCGAAAGGTGCTTTGGCTGACGCCTGGAAGATACGAACCCTTGGCTTGGTGGATGTTTTGGGCCTGGTTGCAAGGTTGCTCTTGGGTGGGACCTCGTCGGCGATGCATACAATGTTCGTATATGCAGACCTCTTCCCTTCAATTCGAGATCCTGAACTATTTCAGGGCACGAATACTCCTATGCCGGATCCGGACCCCCTCGATCAGTGTGCAGGTAAGCCTGCTGTTCAGTGCGATGATAGTATCTCACCCGGATTGTAACCAGGTCATGGATCTCATGTAGCCGGCATCATTGGTGCTAACCCGGGAAACGTGTATAACATTTCCGGGGTCGCATATGACGCAACTCTGGCTTCATAGTACGCGTATAGCAAGAATGACGGAAGTCAGCTGATTACGGCACAGTCGTGTATTTGGATGTGCGGACGATGCTGGAGAAGATGTCATTATCCATGCAATGCTCATGGCCTACGACGCACACTGCGATGTTATCAACCTCTCTCTCGGAGGTGTCCAAGGCTGGACCTCGTCTTATGCTGGTGTGATTGCAAGTAAACTAGCGGATAAGGGCATGGTCGTCGTCATTTCTGCCGGTAATGATGGACAATACGGTGCTTGGTATGCCAGTGACCCAGCAGACGGACAAAGTGTCGTCGCTGCAGCTAGTGTTGACAAGTATATCTTTTCTTCAGAAAGACAGTCATGAATACTGACACGCACATTCAAGCGTCGTCACACCCCTACAGAATTTCACCCTGTCCGATGGCTACGGTCCTGTGGTACGTGCGCGCTGTGCTAATGACGTTTCCCTCTGACGATATTCAGCCATATTATCAAGCGGTGGCGTACGCCATTGACGGGCCAATGAAATTCTACGTAACTTCATTCAATACCAGCAACACGACCGATGCGTGCAATCCTTTGCCGGATGATACGCCAGATCTGTCTAACTATGTGACGCTTGTCCGCCGTGGCACGTGCGCCTTCGTTCGTACTTTCCTGCACTACGTGCTTCTCCTCTCCTGATAGTATGTGCATCTAGCTCACAAAGGCAGCGAATGTGGAAGCTAAAGGGGCGAAATACATACTAGTCTACGATAAGTGAGGGCCATGTTGCATCTTCGGAATCGGTGCTGACGCGTATGTGCAGTCTCGACGAGAGCAGCTTGATAGGGATCACAGGACAGAATCAGACGATAGCAATGATCTCACAAGCGGCCGGTGTCCACGTGAGTGATATTATAACGTAATAAATGTAAGATGTTGATGGCTAGTGTCCAGATTGTCAATACGATTGCGAGTGGGGTCAATCTGACAGGTACACTGGCCATGCACTCTGCTTTCTATACATGGGCTGACACAATGTACACAGCAACATTCCCGCAGAATACGCTGGCCAATTTGCCAAATCCTTCTACGGGCGGACTGATATCAACCTACAGCTCCATTGGACCAACCTATGACATGTTCTTTAAGCCAGCCGTTGCTGCACCTGGAGGAAGTGAGTTCCCTGCAGGCGAATTGTCTGTGTTGCTCAACTTTTATCCCAGATATCTTTTCAACATATCCTGTGAACCTCGGCACCTTTGCAGTTCTATCTGGAACCTCCATGTCTTCACCTTTTGTCACGGGAAGTGTAGCCTTATTGATTCAAGCGAAGGGCCGATCTCCCGCCACAGCTGCTCATGCCCGAGAGTTATTGGAGACCACCAGCAAACTTGTCCCTGCGAGCAACAATAATACATCAGTTTTGCAGACAGCGGCCCAGCAGGGTGCTGGCTTGATCAGCGCTTATAACGCTGTTCACTATACCACCCTGCTCACGCCTGGAGAGCTCCTTCTGAACGACACGGCCAATTTCAAGGGCGAGCAGTCGATCAAGGTCAGCAATGCTGGTTTTGTGAAGCAAGTATACTCAGTAAGCCATGTTCCGGCTGCTACCGTGTTGACTTACAACAATGTAAGTATCGTGTGCTTGACATGGGATGTTCCTTAACGTTCAATTTAGTCCCTCGCTATTGATAGTCCTCTGCCTTTTAGCCAAGCGGCCGCCAGTGTCCACATTACACCAACCACATTCACGTTGTTTCCAGGCGAGGCTCTGGACATCTCTCTCAAGTTCACACCCCCTAAATCGGATGATGATACCTACCCTGTTTATTCAGGTTTTATCGTGGTCAAAAGTCACGTTGGGGAGGAGCTGCACAGCTCATATATTGGCGTTGCTGGTTCTCTGTCGGCTGCTCACATCATCGATAATACTGACACTTATTGGGGTACATAGTCCGTTCTTACCAGTGTTCTTGGCTGACAAGGACACCCAGGGCCGGGTTACACTTTTCCACTCTTAACTGATGCTAACGAAAATAACATCAATTACACGGACTTGAAGACCGAGTATTTCACAATGACACCGGACGACCAACCAACACTGAACTTCCGGTAAATGTCCACTCCAGTGTTCTCTAATAATGCCCTCACGTTACCACTAGGTTCTTGTTCGGAACCGTCATCGCTTATGTTGACCTTGTTTCTGCCTCGTTGAATTTGCAGAGGCGCGGGAAATCTTCGTTCCGGGGCTTACCACTGTTGGGGAACATCCTGGAATTGGATGACTACCCACGGAGCTCATCTGCCACAGACGGTTTGACACATTGATTCATTCCCCAATCGCATATTCTCAAGTGATGTACAGCGCCGGATAACGGGTATTATCCCTTTCAATGGAATGGGACGTGCGCGAATGGGAGCTATGCCGCAAACGGCGAATACAAGATGCTATTACGGGCTTTGAAGGTGACCGGCGATCCCTCCAATGATGCCGACTGGGAGGCTTGGTTGTCGCCAATATTCGGTGTCAACATCACCACCGGTAGTCTTTGATATTCCGGCTCAGATAGCATTTTCTCTAAAATCAGAAATATCAGTTGCGAATGTTCGAGGCGTGGTTTTGTGTGACGCGAAACCCTGAATGCGTGATGCGACGCGTCTGACCATTACGACAATTTCTTGTGCAACGACATCGAAACGATGGCTCAGCCGGACGACTATACACTGAGATTAACAGCACCATCTGAGCAACAAACTTACCGCCTTATTGAGCTGCCTTCAGAATTACTGTCCATTGTCGAGGATAAAACTGCCGATTTCTCGCTAACTATCAAGGGGAAGCAGTCGGATGATGCCGTCCTCTGTTCATCCTCCTCGACCTACGCGCTGAAAGCCGTCCTTGTCTCTAATTCTTTCCTGATTATCCAACCTCCACAAGCGTATGATGGAGGATCTGATAACGAAAACATCTTGGAGATTACTGGGCAAGTGAAGGATATAATTGAGGTGCAAAAGGCGGTGCCCAAGCTTGACCGTCTGCACGGCTTGATGAGAGGCAGCGATTGGACCGCCGATGATGATGAAGATATGGGCGAACAGGGGGTGAGCTATGATATGTTTTATGTGGAGGGTTTGAATGAACATTTTGTAGGCAAAACGACGTCGATATACGTACGATCAGGTGTCGGGCGTCGTTCAGGCCAGTGCGGATGAGCTCGATGAGGGACTGCGGGCAGCCCACGTCCTTCACATTGCTGGCACGTGCCTCTCATCATTACCAAATCTATTCTCACGACTTTGTTAGGAGAGTTACGCTCCTTGTTGCCCTCTCAGCTATCGAACATTTTAGAAACCATCCTCACCAGCATGGTAGCCAGATCTTTCTCTCCGAAACACGTCCCGCTAGACAATTTCCTTGATGCCATGGAAGAAGATCACGAGCTTCCACGTGAAGTAGTCAGAGGCGTGATTGGGTGGTATGGAGATGTGAGCGAGGAGCGGTGGAGGGCGGATATGGCAGGCCTGGTGCGGGAAATCGGACTCGGGCTGTTGTCGGAATTACGGGTGTGTGTTTTAGTTCAGTTATGTTCTGATTCGCTCACAGGTATTGTCCACAGGATAACCCGATGACTGAACACGAATTCGTTACCCACTGGGAAAAGAAGGTGGGCGACAGTTTTACGGGAGAGATCACGATGGAGCTTTTGCATGGCCACTATCTGCGCCCCGAGCCGCCGAGCAAGCACCTGCTCTACTTCCCGCACACGGCTCTGCCGTCTGCCCCTGCAGCACGATTCGCCGATCTCTTCCTTGCACGCCCACGTTGGCTGGGAGATGACCTGGAGCCATTCCTCCGGGGGTTACCAGGCGGGGAGAACAAGTCCGTCCGAGACGCGTTATTGGTCAAGTTTGCCAGGAAGAGTGGAGGGGAAGACGGATGTATTTGGTGGAGTGCCCGGGCGAATTATACATGATACACTGACATAGTGATGATACATGCAAGCGTGTTCAATCAATGTACAATGTTGGGGTGAATCCAATATCACCCCGTACGTATCACTGGCAAATCCAAGGTCAGACACAACTTGCAATCAACGCCGACTTTTGTGTGGCCTGAACTCATTTTCGTCCGCCCTGGCGGCCTTCCGCTTTCTGCTAACCGAGCTGGTCTCTTCCCTGCTAGGGACGTACTTCGTCGGGACCTTGATGCTCTGAATGTAGCTCCACATGAACTTGGTAACGCGGTCGTTCATGCGGATATCCTTGAACTGCTTGCGCGTCTCAAGGCGCAGCTGCTTGATGTGATACGCTTTGTCCTCTGATTTGTAGTCTTTCATATACCCAAGCAGGAGCCCAATCATTACCATCTCGACGGGCGAGACGCTATACGTTCTGTCAGAGGATTGTTTTCAAGAAACAAAGCCAGGACGCACCGATCCCCAATCCCTTGAAAACCGTAGTAATATCGTGGGTCTGTTGCGAGCGCGACGTAGTTTGAAAATATCTGTAGCACCTCGAGTTTAAAGGTCTTTGTTGGCACCTCTTTCTTCTTCAAGAATTTTTCGAGCTTTGACAAACCAGGCCAAGTGAAGTTGGGGAGATGATATAGCTGCGTGAGGGTATTATGGACGGACACATAGGATGTGGAGAAGGGACAGGCGCACAGCAAATACAATCTGAGCGACACAGGCGAAATCTACCCCACGTTTTTTCTGCCACTTGATCGCATCGCCCAACGTGCCGTCGGCATCGATATACTGCTTCTGTAACTGACGCACAAATGCGGCAAAGGGGGAAGACATGCCCTGCAGTTTCTCTGTGTGCTAAGTTAACGCATGATGATGAGAGCCGTGCACAGATATGCATACCTGCAGGAGAGAGGGCAACACCAAGTTGCACACGTGCAAAGATCTCCCGTTCGTCATCCTCGCTGATATCCTGGTATTGAACTGTGGTCCGGTCAATCCATATTCAGTATGATGGTTATGTAAGGGACACACTGCACGAAATAGGCTTCCCATCGAATTCGCGCTTCAGTCGATCAGGAAGCTGCTGGTTGCGCTTGGTCTCGCCGTTAGGAAGGTTATACCAATATTTAATGCCGTTTCTACGGGGCTTTCCATCAGTCTGCATACCTTACTGTGTAACCGACGCGCGTACCCGTGAATATCTGACGTACAACTTCAGTATATGATGCTGAGATGAAAGAGAGGGACACACAAGGTATTAAACCGTCCATAAAACGAACCATGCTCGTTAGGCGCTGCTTGCCATCCATACACACCCGTCTCTCCAGTTCCATTCCCTTTTCTTTGCTCCATTCTTTCCGAATGGAGAAGATCACCTGCATACGGTCAGACTTTGACACGGATAATCACGCATGTGTGTGGCTGGCGAGAGCAGAGACGATGTAACGTACTGCGGGTATATAGAAGTTGTTTAGCATTGAATCGATTAACATGATTTGCTTCTTTTCGGGCCAGACGACATCTGTGCGAGGTATGATCGTATGTCAGTATATGCGGTTGAATTATCACAAAAGGGGAGGAGACAGGCCTCGTTGGTACTCGGGCTCGAGGTCGATGAAACCGTCGTGAATAAGCGCTGGAGGTGAGTCAGTCATCACTTTACTCCAACCTCCCGCGTCCCCACACTCCGCGACACCACACCCAAGCAAAACGAATGTCTCTCACCATGTAAATCACTGGCGGTCATTCGAATAACGTCGTAATCCGCCAGCTTCTGTCCAAGTCTCAACTTCCCATAGTCCCGCCTCACTCCATCCGGGTCCCTTCCACCCTCTCGGAGCTCCTTCGATGGTTTTTTCTCCCGATTGTTGCCATTCTTGTGTACTGCGGTGCTTGTAGACGCATGGAATGACTCGTCCTCTGTATCGTCATCTGGGTCCTGGAGGATCTCCTGCAACACCTGATCCTCCTCTTCGTCTACAGGGCTGATAGGCTGTCCAAGCGAACTCGCGAAGGAAAATGCAGGATCTGTAGACGCGCTACAGGCAGACCAGGAGGCAAGGGAGGTGCCTTGGAGAGTGCTGGAGTGTGGGCGAGAGGGCTCGCCGTACTCGGTTTTGATGTGCTGAGGTCTTGAAGTAGTAGCGGAAGAAGATATGCCGCTCTTTTTGGGTATCCGGTATAGCGTTTCCATATATCCTGAGTATCCGATGTATAATCCAAAAAGGTTTTATCAAAGCAAGCAGAGGAAGGCAACAAAGAATATGAGGGGAGGACGAGACCGTTAACAGTTTATGTTGTGTGACTTGCGCGCGGAGCGTGTTGAGTTGGAACGAGAACCCTGACCTCGCTTCCGGTGGCTTCGCCGTGCTTCTTCATCCGTGTTTATCTCTGGGTTTTTCCAGTACAGGCCGGAGGGGTGCTTTGGACTCGATTAAAATTATTGTGAAGTAGTGGGAGAGAATAACACGTCGAATTCGAGTGGTGGGATACTGTCAGTAGATCTTTCGGATCTTGCAAAATCCGAAAATGACACCAAATTCAACATATGAATTTTAGACGCGAAAGTGCAAAAATGCCCGCATTTGTGTCCTCTTAAACGAGTACAAAGAGAGTGTTGTTGAGCGGGCTTGATATCATATGTGCATACTGGGAACCCGTTGCTCGAAGCCCAAATCAGACAGTACTAGTGCGTACCACTCCGGAATATAGGAGGAAGAAGCACCTGAAAGCATGGTCCTTGTCTTCCAAAGCAGCTCGAGGTGCTTTTCCCCGAAGTTTTGCGAAACGTGATGGTCCGGAAGTCAATCACTAGATGCTCTCCCGCGAGTCTCTTTCTCCGCCGACGATCGATTATTCCGATAACGGCAGCGGATACACCGCCTGTCCTGGCAATTCATCTCATATCACGTGAACGGGCCGCGTCTAAAAAGAGAGTCGCAGTGATGGGCAATGCCAGCAGAATATTTCCAGCACTAGATTCAGCCTCTCAGACTCGCAGGGTCCGTATGATACACCTGATAACCGGATCATTTCGAGTCGCCGGCTTGTTTTCCCCCCCAACCAGAAATGCTTTCGGCCAGCAATCCTCCAGAGGTCATCGTGGGGAAAAACAGCATGTGTTTCGGCGACACGGGAGGACCCTTCCGGTCGGCAACACGGATGCAGGAACAGACAGTCGGTGAGCCAATCAACGTTCAGCGGAAGCAGAAAAGTCAGTGGAATTTAGTCATGCCCGACTATGTGCCACCGTGAAATGGGAGGAATTGTATTCTGCCAAGCAAGGGATTGAGGTGTTGAGAATAATTAGCTTGTTATAAAAAGCCAAGTGAGGGGAAAGACAGAGAAGAAAAAGAAAAGTTAGGTACGGCAGAGCGGAAGTTTTTCAGTCACATGGTCCGCCCCGCAGACCCCTGCGCAGGTGATCATCGGTGGGGGCCACAAAGGGGCGGATATCCCAAACGGGTGCACGGGCCTGCCTTCTTCGGTCTCCCAGCCGCCCATTTCCCTGTTCCCATCCCGCCCTCCGTCTCCTCGTCGTCGTCTTTGTCGTCCTTCTCGTCACCTTCCTCCTCTGTAATATTTTTCTTTGCCGTGTCCAACGACCACTTCCGACCGTCCCTTAACAACACTCTCCTCTCGGATCACTGTACTGTCCAACAACCCCACTAATCAGCCCACCTCTCCGCACCTTGTTAGCACCAACGATGTCCATCCATAATCCGGCCTCCACATCGCCCCACTCCGTCACCACAGTCGGCACACCCCACTCACTCACTGGCCTCACCCCTTCCCATCCTTCTCACCTTTCGCACCCCGCTAATGTCCCCATTCAAACACTTGGCGTCCATCGACTCTCCGGGTCTCCCGCCTCACCAGAATCGGGCCTCTTAACCCAAGGCATGGGAATGGGAATGGGCGTAGGAGGCCAGATGGGGATGCACATGGCCAAAAGGCAACGGACGGATGCCTACGACCCATCATCTACCAGTCCCCAGAGTATGAATGGTCAAAACGTAGTGGTGAAAACGAACGGCCTCACACCAGAGGGAATGGCAATGCAGGGTGTGCAGATGCACGCGTTCTCTCCGACCCAGCCACAGGGGATGCAGACCCTTTCACCCGCATCCCACCAGACTCAGCAACAGCAGCCTGGCCAGTCTTCGTCCCAGTCACAACCTGGTCATCATAGGCCCCCACCCCCACCCCCACCAATCAACACCGGCCATGGGAGCCACACGTCTCAATGGGCTGCCCAGGGAATCCCGCCCGGACATATTCCCAAGAGGGGAAGTAGGGCGTGCACGGCCTGCAGGAAGGGAAAGAATAGGTGTGAGGGTGAGGTGCGTTACTTTTTAAAGCACTCCTGTGTAGCCCATCGCTGACTGGTTTCTGGGATTTGTGTTCGTCTTGATGTGGGTGTCATATCGTGCGGGATATTTCTGACGTGATCTTGGTTGTAATGTACGTTTGAATGGTGGACCCCGCATACAGAACCCCTGCCGGAGATGCCAGATCAACGGCACCGTCTGCGTATTCGAAAAGCCGGATCGGAAGAATACACCCAGTCAAAACTCGGCCCTCGCTGCTGTTACACCTGCTATTGAGTGCGTTCTTTACCCAGCTGACAGTTTTGAACGCATATATTGATGTTTCTGTTCTTCGTTATGCAGACGCGTCTCACGTCTCGAAGGCCAGATCTTGATGATGCAAGGGCAGTTCATGGGCATGCAGTCCTCTTTAGATCGGATCTTGCAAGCCATCGCTCCTGGTACCCCCAGTGCTGGTGCATCTATAGCGACACCTTTGACTCCCGTTGCCCCTCAAGGCTCGCAGATGATGGTGGGAGGCATGCCCCTCTTGCAACAGGGCCAGCAGGTTCAACAGATGGGCATGCAATTCGCCCAGCCCGTCCCTCAGCAGCCACAGATCCCCTTCCCTCAACATGTGCATATGTCCTCGGCGCTTTCTCAGTCCTCACACGGAGCTGGCGGGAGCGTCATTGGTGGAGGCTCCGTTGCGGGCGGTGGCCCGGGGTCCGTGGCAGGTGGGAGCGTCTTGCTCCACCGTCCACCTAGCAGCAATTCTTCCCATGCACCTAGCATGGGGGACATGCAATACTACTCCACTGCGATGTCGCAGGCACATTCCCACTCACATGCACATTCGCACTCTCACTCCCACCTATCCCAGGTAGGACAGGTGGGCCAGATGCAGGTGCAGGGTGTACAGGGGGGAGTACAGGTCGCGATGAGCGTGACAGATGCGGGTAGTGTGAGAATAGGGGAGAGCCCGTCGGAGGTTAAGAGGGGAAAGTTTCCACTCCTGCCGGGGTTCGCGCCGCCGGTATGTCCTTATCATTAATTTATCTACCTATTCATTTTCCTTTCCCACAATGCGACCGCATAACTGACAATGTGGTGCTTTCTCATAGCCTCATAAGTTCGCAACGTACGGCATTGTACCTTCTACCGCTCCGTCCTCAGACGATGAATCAGAGGACACGCTCCCGCGGGCTTCCTTGACCGCGCCGATTGAGGCCCTCCAGGGACTAGCGAACGCCGCGGCTGAGGCGGCGGCGCAATCAGAGAGTAGTCACATGCGCAACGGCAATCAGTCGTAAGTATTTTTCTTTAGCTAGTTAGGCAGAGATTATAGAACGGATATTGATTCATTGTGTGAGTAGGAGAAAGAAAAGAAGACGCGTGGAGCCCATTCCGTTGAATTTTTTCCCTCACGTGTTGACCAAGGTGAGTTTTGAAAGCGATTCAATAAATTGTGCTTCATAGCTGAACGTGAGCAGGGCCTACTGAAAGAAGATGAAGCGCGGGAACTGTACACTATCTTCTTTTCTGGATGTCACCTGTATATTCCCATCTTCGACACCTCGTACGATACATTTGAAGGCCTAGCCGACCGGACTCCTTGGTGCTTTGACTCCATCCTAGCTGTTGCCGCCCGGATTCGAGCCGGGAACAACCCTCCTGACCAGGCCTTCTACACCTGCCTAGAGGAGGCACAAGGGATCGCACGCTCAACCCTATTCGGACCCGTTGTGCGCAAAGAAGCCGTGCAAGCGATGTTTGTACTCGCTGCGTGGAGCCAGAGCGCATGGCTCCCAGCGGGACACGCGGTCCGCATGGCCCTCGATCTAGGCCTACACCGCGCCCTCGACAAGCTTGCGGAGCACTCTGTCCAGACTGGCAGGCAATTCACAGACGAGGAGGAACGTGACTTGGTTATCTCGGCGCGTATTTGGTGTGGTCTGTACTGGTACGACCACCAGATGTCCCTCGGTACTGGGAGGCCTATTATCCTTCGGGACGATAGCTCGGTGCACCACTGCCGACTGCTCCTAAACCACCGGTACTCGACCGTCACGGACCTACGCCTCATCTCCATGGTCGAGCTGATCCGTAAGAAACACCAGATCAATGACACTCTGCAGCAGATGGACGGGCGTATCGACCGGAGCACACTTTCCTTTGTCGAGAACGCGAACCGTGTGCTGGACCTCTGGTGGCAAGAAGCAGACGAGCTGCATAAGGGTCGTCTAGATGAAGAGAGCTTGTTGCGGAAAATGCTCACCTCGGAGCTCTGGTATGCCAAGCTGTGGCTCATTTGTACCATCTTGAGGGGCGTGTCCTGGGACAAGATGACGTACGAACAGAAGGAGCTCGCCTTCCAGGCCAGACAGGCTGCGTCGAACTGTTTGACGACATTCTTGACGTCCGAGGCGTACAAGTGAGCCGGTCCTTTTCTTCTAACCAATTGGATCATGCTAAAAGCGCAGTAGAATGTCTCTTCAGTATGCGGTGCAGGACATTCTGGTGACGGCTGCATTTTCGGCGCTTTTTCTTCTCAAGATGGCCAACATCTTCCCCGTCGAAGTCGATATTGCCACCATCATGTCCCAAGTAGCACAGCTCGCCCAGCTCCTGCAGGACGCGGCGTCGGACCGATATGCGCTCACCCTTCGTCTCATGCTGTCAAAGCTGCGGCGAAAGATGGGTCTTGCGAGTGGTACAGTGACCTCCATGCCATCGCCGAACAGCATGTCAGTGCCGTTACCGTTCGACTCTTCGGCGAACTCGCAGTCAACTAATGGAGCGTTGCCCACGATAGATGAGCCCGGGCTGAATGGGTTTTATGACGATATGTTCAATAGCACGAGCTTGCCGACATGGCTTCAAGGGGTGAGTTTCGGCAACGTCTAAGTTGCCGGCTGTTGACATGACGTTGTGCAGACCGACCTCGGCTTCCCTGGAAATCTTTCTGACGATCTCTTCCTCCCAATGGGCGGTGGCGCCCCTATGTGGGGCGGAGGAACCGCTGACATCTCTTTCCCCACCGCGTGGTAATTACACCCATATACCCCTCCGCTAATGTCACACTTCTTGAGCATACATTCACATTTATATCTCTCCTCTCATGTTGTCGTCTCACTATACTTTTTACTTTTGGTGTACTCCAGTAGATTGGGTATGTATAATACTGGTGGATATGACGAAAACACAATCGATTTCTTGACACATCGACGCTTCATCGATGTCGATTTGGCTCGCTAGGACACAGGTATGGAACAAGCTGCTAGGACGCCTCACTCTATCGGTTGCTCTTTATTCCTCCTCCTCGCTCTCCTGGTCCTGGAGGAACTTCACAAGTGACTCAGTGACCTTCAAGAAGTGCTGCCTCCCCTGCGGCTTTGAGCCCTTCTGGTGCCAGTAGATGACAGCCTGATCGGACACACAATCTTTATTGTACAACACCTGCGTATCATATGAGAAGTCATGACCATACAGACTGACGAGAATGCGCACTTTGAGAATCTGAGGGAATGACTTCATGAATCTAGGATCATCATAGCAGTACACTTGTACGGTATTGATCAGGGAAACCTGTGTCCTAGGAGCGGTACAAAAAGGCTCAAGGATCTGGGCGAAGTTCTGGGCGCAACCCAAGTCAAACTAGTGTCAAAATCAGAGGCTGAGAGACGCACCGCAACTTCCTTGGCCACGGTAGAGTCGATTACTTCAGTTTTGGCACCCCAATCAACCGATGACATGAGGCCATGCCAGACGATCTGGAGGAAATCTGCCTCGGGCATCGTCGATTCCGTCTGAGCTTTTTTGATAAATTCAATTATCTGATTTATGTTAAGCACGTATTTCAATCGCAGCAGACGACAAGCCCGCACCTCCGAGGCAGGGTCCTCATTATCAAGCATTTCCTTCAAGCCTTGGGTGATGTTCTCCTTGGCGGCAGCGGTTTGCCGCTTGGAATACCATTCTGCAATCTGAGGAAGGTCATTCGACTTAAAATGACCTTCCACATTGGCGGCGGTACGCTTATTGTTCGGGAAGAAGACAACGATGTCCCGAACTCCGCCGCGTTTCAGAGTCGTGAGGAGGTGATCGATCGACTGCTCCCGCAAGTACGCTTTGAAGACGGCGGTGACGAATGTGAGCGCCATGTCTGCACGACATTAAGTTGAGGAATCTGCGCAATTCCAGGTGATAACATACCATCTTTGAGCAGATGGTCTTTCGAAAGACTCTGCAAGCCGGTGGGACTGGCCAAGCCTTGAGCCATGAGGAGACCGCAAGCCACCGCCAGCTTCTCACGCTGGGCGGGCTCCCATTTGTTGATGTATTGTAGTAGGGATGGAAGAGATGACTCTTCAAGGGGTCTCTGGAGGTATTTGTACCTGTTGCGCATTTGAGCAAATTTGTATCAACCGAGGAGATATATGCGCGCCTGCGAATAAGTTTGTTCAACACCTCAGTGTAGTTCTTCACATCGTCAATCTCTACGGGTTCCTTGGCGTTGAAAATGGCGAACGGAGAGGGCGGCGCCCCATCTTCGACATAATTTCCTCCTGGTTGCAACAGTCTGCCAACCAAGAGGAGTTCGAAGAGGGTATCCGCATACTTCAGATATTCAAGAGATGCTCCAGCGTTAACGAGCTTGGTGGTGTACTGATCGAAGTCACCAGGTGTAACGGTTTCCAGCTGTTTGTATAGCTGGTCGCGGAAGACTGCACGCAACGAACTGCGTGGTGAACAAGGGTTGATCACACGACTGGGAAGAGTGCGCACTAGTAGGTTCGTGCTTTGCGTGCGCTTTGACGGCGCCCTTTCTAGCTTTGATCTTTACGCCCTGAAGCGATGGTTTGGCAGCGGTGGATTGCTGAGACATGCACAACCGGACAAGGTACTTCTCCTTAGGCTGTGGATGAACAGGTGAGAGAGTCGTGGTGAGAAAGAAAGAGTGGAGGACCGACGAACGCGGTGCAGGACGTCGCGCCACAGGGCTCAAACGGAAAAAAGTAGCGCGCCCTCGCTGTCGGGCAACATACGACGTCTGCTGCTCTTCATCGGATCAGCAGTGATTCACCAAACCCTCCTTCATGTCCAATGTACTGCCAATCTCTATAGCTGAATTTGGTCGAGCCCTCACCGCGTGTCGACCTCCGAACGGATGGGGCAAGGCGCTTACCGTTGCCGTTTCTGGAGGCGCTGATTCCATCGGATTGCTATGGCTGCTCCGGTCGTTATATAACGAAGCGGGCATTACCGAACCTCGAATAAACGGCATCACAATTGACCATGGTTTTCGACCCGAGACGGCAAAAGAGGCGGAGGCTGTTGGCGCCTTTTGCCGGGATATTGGTGTTGAGCACCAGATTATCAAAGTTCCGTGGGGCACCAATTCCTATCCGAACCACCCGGAGCCGGCACAATATGAAAGCTCTGGTCGCTGGGCACGCTATTGGATATTATTCCATGCTATGCAAGAAAGCGGCTCGCATGCGTTATTGACCGGACATCAAGCGAACGATCAGCTTGAAACTGCCATCATGCGAGCTGAGCGAGAGAGCGGAGTACTGGGTATGCTGGGTATGCGGCCGATTCGACGATACGGAATGGGAGGACCGGCCCCATGGCTGAACTTTGGGGAGAAAGGCCTTCATGCCTTCATGTGCCGACCAATTCTAACATTTTCCAAGGTGAGCAACCACATCGTTCATAACGTATCTGTGTTTAGAAAACAATATCAGGAACGTTTAAAGGCTACCTGCCAAGCCTCGAATATCCCTTGGACCGAAGATCCATCGAATCTCGACACAAACCTAACGGTAAGAAACAGAATACGCGCCACGCTTGATCAGATTCAAAGTGAAGGAGACGTATCCCCTTGGCGTGAACGCCTGAAACGCTTCGATATCAAAGAACAATCGATCGCAAAATTGGCCAATATTCTCGACGGTGTACCCCCTACAGCTACCGTCGACGAGATTTCACAACATATGGTCTCTGAGTACGAGAAATTCGATACCGCAGGTACCCGAATCGAGTCCTCGAGTGTCACAAAACACTAACCCAAAAGTCTTCTTTGTTCCAGTGAATGCTTTTCTCTCATCAATCACGACCGTAGAGGCGGGAGCACCGATGTTAGTCATCGACACCAACAAAACTCCCCCATCTCAGGATATCGCATATGGTGCCGTTCTTCGCATACTGCGCTATGTCTCTCCGAAATGGTGGGGCCATCCCTCGGCCGAAGCTCTACGGAGGAAAGATAGTATCCAACGAATCGTCGAGAATTTGTGGTACAGGGAGCCATCACCAGTGGACGGTAAGTATCGCGCTGTTCCATTCGTAGCGGGGTCGCATGTCTTGTGGACACCGAGTGAGCAGCAAGCCCAGACTCCTTACGTTTCTTGGATGGCGACGCGCGCACCTCCGAAACGGGATGATGCACCGGCCATGTTTCTCGATTTGTCGACAGCAGTACTGGAGGCGGCAGAATCACGCAAGAGCCCAGAACCGATCCTATGGGATAACCGATATACCGTCTGCGTTCCAACAGCTTTCCCTCGCCATGTTCTCGATGGAGTTCGAGAGAACCAAGGCCGCGTAATTCTTGGACCGCATTCCAAGTTCTTCTTGCCCATGATAAACTATGAGTCTGACGAGAAAAACTCCGTGCTGGCAGCGCTGGGCACAGACGGACACATTCACTCATACCTCAGGCCAGGTGGTTGGCGTTTCGAGTGGATACGACCATTCAGCGGTCACTAGATGAAGAGTGGAAGAAGAGGGGGAGATGTCGTTGTGTATTTTGCAGTGCTACACTAGTAATTCTAGGATAATGGAATCTCATTTCGACCTGACTCCAACGCTCATCGAAAGGTCGGTGCTACTTCTGTCCAGTAAGGACTCTCTATGAGCATTCGATAAGTTGGGTATTACATCATCAAACAAGAATCTCGCTCTCTGTATGGATGAGGGAATAATACATTGTCCGTCCCGGAGCTTATGTACTATATTACAATGTCATTAGGTCCAGAACAAGTAAGTCCATAGCAAGATCGTGAATAGGAGAGGTGGCCAGGCGGCTCGCCATAAATCACGCAGGAACCTTTCCAAACGGGACATGCTTTCCGGCGATGCTTTCCGGCGATTTCGGGGAAAGATCCTGGGTGCATAGGCGGCGAGAAGCGAGGAGAGCAGAGTGGGCCATGAGTGGGGGTCGGACAGACTAAGCTCGTCTTTTTCCTTTCCAACCCAACGGGTGTAACCGCTTCCTCGTCGCAGTGAGGTCGGTTTGGATGCTGTGCCAGGCGTCGACAGGCCATCACCATAATCGGCGAGTTCCAGGTCGATGGAGGAACGGGTATTGTGACCGTTCAGCGGTGCCAAAGCGAATTCTTCTGTGTCTGGTAACGGCGTTGAAACGGGAGACACAGTGCGGCTGGAAAGCTTTGCAGTTAGCTTCCCGAATGATTGTGGTGCATAACCGGGTAATATCGATGTGAGGTCATGGTGTCTAGAGCGGTGTTGATGAGCTGGGCGGAGGAAATGTTGCTCCTCTTCGTCAAGGACTGTTGCGCCCTTCCGTCCATTGAAGATGTGCATATATGCAAGAATGAGGAGAGAGATGATGAAGAGCGGGAGGTAGGTACGAGTGTAGATTCCTATCTGATCAGGCAGGAGACACTGGGATTCTCCATGTCGCGGCGCGGCTGGAGGAGGGGCGATGGAGAGAAGCTGGAAGCCAGGGCGCTTCACGCCCATTGCCATTGAGAAAGACTTGACAGTCACCTCGCGGACAGCCGTCTTCCCTGTGGAGGCGGGGAGTGTGTGCAAGTACTCGCAAGCATCGTGATCGTCACCGCTGCAGAACAATCAGCCCCGCGCCGAAACCTATTCAAGAAATTAAATACTAACCTGAAGATGAGATCCGGTTTTATACTCTCTAATAGGAATTGGGTGGTCTCGCGACCGAGCAAGTTCTGGTAGCCTATACCCGCCCCTCGGTGAATGGTGCCCTTTTCACGTCTCGGCCCGCAATTAGCGCCCTCCGGCCGAGAGAGGGGGATATGACTGAATAGTATGGTAGGTTCTAATATGGGATCTGAGGCAGTAGTAAGCTTCGTTGTTCTTTCAAAGGGTTGCTTTGACATACTTTGTTTGATGGATTGCACGAACTCGATGGACCCGCCGGCGGTGGGGAGCCACGAGGCGAAGTCCGTCTGGGCAGAGTACCGTCGGTAATCTTCTTCCACCAGGCCGGGCGCATCGATCAGCACGAGCGAATGGTTCGACACCTCAAGCACCTGATTCAACGCGCCGAAGTGCTTCTGGTACCTTTCCCGAGCACGTGAAGAGAAGGCTTGGTTGTAGCCAAGCCTTGGCAATGGTGAGCCTAAATTCTCTTGGGCGGGGCACCAGACTTACCCCACATCATGATTCCCCGGGATATAGTATGATAAAATCGAAGATGGCATTGAGAATATGGACTGAAACCGGGCGAAATACCGCGCATATCTGGGTAAGGGTTCAGCATGCCGTAAGGGAGCCAGCAAAGAGCCTCACTCGTCCGGATCTTTTGCGTACCGCCCACCGTCCATCATATCCCCCAGAAAGACGACAATCTGTGGTCGCATACGAAGGGTTGCACGCCAGTTCTTCCGCAGATTCAGATCGACGATGAACTGCGTGAGGCGGGTAAGGACCCAAGGGCGGCCAGGGTAGGACCGTCGATCGAGGATCTGTGGGTCGGAAACGATGAGAATGCGTGTCGGTCGATTATGCGCGTCGACCTGGAGTAATAACAAATAATGAGTCATTGTAGAAGGGAAGACAGCAATAGTCCGTACATATCGGAAAGCCCTGTCCGGCCAGCTGCACCACGACACGCTCGCGTAGAACTTTCCAAGCTCGCCCCATAGGATGATGATTATCCATGAAGCACGGAGGACATCGATGGCGCCTGCTCTTCTCCATCTGGGTATGCGGCGCTCTCTTAGCATCCAGGCCATGAGAGTGAGAAAGGAGGAGGAGGAGGAGAGGATGAAGACGTGGAAGGGATAAGGAATGTGCTTCAGATGGCTAACGGCACCCCTTAGACTATAAGTTTACCGCTGATGATCAGCACGTGGCGCTTATTTCTGCTCCCGCTGGGCGCCACATCTTCAGTAATCCAAGGGCATTGACTCCAATCAGCTTTCGGTCATCCCACCACTTGACAATACAATGGCTTCGGCCAGCTGTAAGTATTTAATTGTATATATGCACCATGTTCATACTGAAGACCGTTATTAGCAATTGGAAAACTCTCGCGTGAAGACTTCCGACGACAAAAGGACCTCGATGCAGCGCGAAAAGCTGGCACTGCACCCGCAGAGCTAGACGACAAGGGTCGGCCGATCAATCCCCACATCCCGCAATACATCTCCAAAGCACCATGGTACCTCGACACGGGGGCTCCGTCGCTCGAGCATCAGCGTCGACCAGACGAGGGACCGGCTACGCGTCAAGAGGAAGGGTGGTATGCTCGTGGTCAGCGAGCTGGACCTGCAGCGACCAAATATCGTAAAGGGGCCTGCGAGAACTGCGGTGCAATGACGCATAAAACGAAAGACTGTCTTGAGCGTCCGCGAAAGAAAGGGGCACGTTGGACAGGGAAGGATATTGCTGCAGATGAAATAGTGCAGGATCTCCAGCTCGGATTCGCCGCGAAACGGGATAGGTGGAACGGGTATGACCCAGCAGAGCACAAGCGGGTATATGATGAATACCAAGCGGTGGAGGAGGCGAGGCGAAAACTCAAGGAGGACGAGATTGATAATCAAACTACGACGGACTTATCGGCGGTGAAGAAGGTCGCCAAGGCCAGCAAGGAAGGAAAGGAGGATGCCGAGTTTGGGTCGAGTGACGAGGAAGATGAGGACGAGGAGAAATATGCAGAAGGTGCCGACCAAGTCGGTCAGAAGCTCGACACCAAGACACGTATCACTGTTCGCAATCTGCGAATACGCGAGGACACCGCCAAGTACTTGCTCAATTTGGATCCTGAGTCAGCATATTATGACCCGAAGACCCGATCCATGCGCGAGAATCCGTTAGAACATCTGAATCCCGAGGACGCAGTGTTCGCGGGAGAGAATTTTCTACGGCAATCCGGTGAGGCACCGGAAGTTCAGAAACTGCAGCTCTTCGCCTGGCAAGCCGAGCAAAGAGGAAGGGACGTCAACCTGCAGGCAAACCCCACCCAAGGAGAGCTTATGCACCGACAGTACAAGGAGAAGAAGGAAGAGCTCAAAGATACGACGAAAACATCACTTCTGTCAACGTATGGTGGAGGTGAATATCTGGAGAAGGTACCGAAGGAACTGCTCACCGGTCAGACAGAAGAGTATGTAGAATACTCTGCCAGTGGGCAGGTCATCAAGGGCCGAGAAAAGGCAAAAGTCCGGTCCAAGTATGCGGAAGATGGTAAGCGTCTCCCACATGGAGTTGATGCACGTACTGACGATTACGTAGAATATGTCAATAACCATACCTCCATCTGGGGCTCATGGTATGACCTCTCAACATCCTCATGGGGCTTCGCATGCTGCCATTCTACGATCTATCAATCCTATTGCGCAGGATCAGCAGCGATCGAAGCTGCATCGGCTGCAAGTGTGCAAGCTCTGCTCGCGCGCCCACCGGAGGAGGCGGAGCCTGCGAAGTCTCTGGCGGAGGAGCACGCCGAGCGCTTAGCCAAGGAAGGGGAAGATATGGGACGCAGTGCGGGGAAGGATTGGTCTAAGAAGCGATTGGGCGAGGGAGATTTGAAGCTCGATCAGGACAAACTGAAGAAGGCTATTCAAGAGGAGAGGAAGCGGAAGGACAGGGGAGAGGAGGAGGAATGGGAGGGTAAGCGGAGGAAGACGGGGGACACGGGAGACGTCACCGAGGAGCAACTGGGTGAGTTTTGGTCAATTAGGGAGGAACAATGACTCATTTTTGGCAGAGGCATACCGGATGAACCGCCTACAACGGGAAGATCCGATGGCGAATTACAGGGACGAAGAAGACTAAAAGGCGCCTCCTGCAGATCGAGATCATCGATGGTCCCTAGATCGGCACCGGTATTCCTAATTGTTCTTATTTATCTGTACGAGTACTGGTACCCTCGCGCCGCATGTGTAGCACGAGGCCAGCGAGCCTCTTTCTTCTGGTCTCTCGCATCATTGCATTGTAATGTACCACTGGCATTAGGCTGCGCACTGCACTGGACAGTCACAATACTCACCGCACCCAATGTCCATCACAACCTCGCTTCCGATTATCCTCTCCCAACCGCCGTTGCTTGTACTGTACCTAACGCAGCCTGGCTGGGTCCTCCCGTTAGGCATCCTCGAAGGTTCTCTGCTCTACCTCTACGCCAACTGCTATCCGTATACAGTCCCTCTCCTTTCGGCGATCACTCTTCTGCGCACGCTCCTCCTCCTCTTCCTGGCACACGATGCGTTTCTCGTCGCGCAAGTGCTGGCGGGAGTGGCGGGAGGTCTGTTCTGGGGAAACTGTATTGCGGGAGAAGCGGGGGATACGTGCCTAGGGTGTTTGGCGATGAGGTTGTGGGATGGGAGAAAACCGAGGCATGAGAGAGAGCGAGGGCGACGAGAAGAGGCGCGTGACTGGGAACAGGAACGAGAACGTGCAAGAGAGGGAATAGATCGAGAAAGAGAGGCAGAAAGAGACTGGTCAAGAGGGAGCAACGAAAGCTCAGCAAGAGAACTGGAGTTCGACTGGACCTGGGACTGGGGTTGGGCAGAGGATTGGCTCTTCCCCTGGAACTGGGAGTGGAATTTGAATTTGGGATGGGAGTGGGGGGAGTTGGATGCCAGTGAGCTGGATTCCCAGGTTGGGGGGAGCGTGGTGGAGCCGTATTGGGTGACTGATGAGCCGCTTTGAACTCCCATTCTGGCTCAGTTTGAGCGACTTGTACTACGTACTAGTAAGGAGGTTGCTGCGGTGTGCCCGCTGGCATGCGAGAGGGAAATGGTTGGTTCAGGGTTTTTGTCTCGGACGGTGAGCTGGAAGTGTTGAGACGATCATGACGCACACGGACGACCCACATGTATATATATAGGACGTTCACGATCCCTATGACACCAGCGCGTACTTCTCCATGGTGGTCCGTCCCATCGCGTCTGCATGAATATGAGATTAATTTCGTCTATTAGATCCTCCAGCCACTCCCGCCTCCTGTGCCACGAATGCGACCGAAATTAGAATACAAAAAAAATCAGAGATCCGCCTTCCCCTCCTCGTTTGTATAACATGGCGGGTATGCATGTATGTAGAATTGATACAAGCTGCAGCATAAGCGGCAGTCTATTGGTGTCCGCTCGTATAAAAGTCCTATACCGCTCGTGTAAGAAGTTCGTGGCCAATTTTTTTTTAAAAAAAAGCTCGTATGCATGTAGATGCGAGTGATATCCCAGGTCAGGAAGAAAGACGAGCAAGGCTAGGACACGACGATGGTCACCAGCTTCTTTTTTCCGTATGCTGGCAGTGGGTCGTGTGAGTTCCCCCTGCCCATCGAGACGTCCCTGACAAGTCTCATCGACGGGTTCCTCGATACGTCTAGTACCGTATAAGAACATGCACTATTGAGCAAAGGGAGGACCTACCGGCACTCTGGCTTTCCAACTCCACGTCCAGCGGACGCTCGGAATACGGTGGAGGCTCCTTTCCTAGCCCCTTCTCCCTCTGTGATCTCCTCCATCCCCATATCGCCAGTGCAATCAGCACCAACCCCGCTATGCCGCCCACGACGCTGCCAGCGATCACGCCTCCTGTGCTGACCGTATGGGTGGTGACGCATGAGAGAGGTGGCACAGGTCCAGGAGCGGAGGGGTCGAAGTAAACAAAGCGCTTTATCGCGAGGTAGCCGACGAAAGATGGGTAGCCATTCGTCACTACTAGCGTATGTGCTCCGTCCGGGATGTTGGAGACGTTGAGGAGGGGATAGGGATCGCAGGGGGTTGCGGAAGGGTAGGGAGAGGTGAGGTTGTCCGCGATGGAGAAGTTGGCTAAGGGGGAGCCGTCCAGCGTAAAGTTGTATCCACCTGTTAGGACAGAGGGGTCCAGCAGGCCATAGACGATGATGGATGTTCCTGTCGGTCCACATGCTTAGTGCTAGAATGGTCAACGGCGTAGGGAGTGCGTACCGCTGAACGCTAATTGCGCTGCGCTGCCCTCCGTAGCGGTTAAGATGGTGTCGTTTGGTGCGTGCCCCTCGACACTCCACTGCCCGAGATAGGACACAGACTGTCCATTATACTCCACGGCGATGTCATATCCCGCTGCACGTGTGGTGTCGAGCTGGAGGCAGAGGGAAAGGAGGAGGGGTAGAGGTAAAAGTCCCTGGAATGCAAGTTAGCGTCTTGGCAGGGCCAGGGATGAGATTGAGCTCACTGTCCGCATCTTTGTGGTTGATGGTCGTGTACTGTAAGTTAAGGTGGGCCGGACGCCCTTGAGGTCGTGGTTGTTGTTGCTGTCGATGCGTGTGCTATTATAGTAATGATGTGCTGCGGTATAATCGTGAAAGTAAAGAAGAGAATTGAGAAGGTGGTGGTACGGTGCAGTGATGCCAGTCAATCGGAGGCACCGAATATCCCGGGGAAATATATGGAGGGCCGAAGCTCGGCACTCCGAGGGGCTGTCCATGATCGGACTCTCCCATTTCGGCCATCACACCACCCCAAAGTCGGCTGCATCGCCACTCCCATACATCGGCACAAAGTCAGCCTCATAGCCCAGTGAAACGTGTCGCTACCATAATTCGCTTACCGATTTTTTTTTGTCATTCAATTTCCTGATCAGTTTCGGCCTTGACCTTCTGTATCTCTTGGGATATCGGACGAATGCGTTGAAACAGTACTGAGCGTATATATTACCATTCATTGCTTGGCCGAGACCTAGGAATGGGATGTATGGAAAGGTCATGGAAATGTATTGCATAGGGCAAACACGCGGGTAGGGAAACTTGATGCAACATATGACCGCGTTCCAAGGGATTGCAACCTCAAATGTCAGCATTCTTGATCAAACTAACACATGCGGTAGGTCTCGCCAAGAGGAAATACCGGGCGCTTAAAGACTGTGCTCTTATGTTCACGGGCGCTCCGTGCGGCAGGGGTCTCTCAACTCTACGCAACATGGACTGCGCCCAGCTCAACATCAGACCGTGGGGCCTGCGATCCTATCCTGGGGATATCCTCATCATGCACCCCTCCTTGGACGACTTGTACACGACCTAGGAGGGTATGCATGCTACTGCTCGGGTTTCCTACTCCTCGTCCATGATGAGATCATGGAGACCGCAGGAGATGGACCATACACGCCTGTTCTTGGTGCGAATGGGCAATGTTCTCCACGACTTCTCCATGGTCATTGGCCCTTTATTGTCGGCTGATAATACCAGCATACATAAGGCAAGGCGCATCCTTCGTCTCCAGCATCTACGACTGCCAATCGCCGTCAACATCCGCTCTTTCTTGTCAGCACACTATGTCGGTCAATCTAGCCAGCATCCTCTACCACCAATGGGTCCCGCTCCCGCGTGTCTCCTCCTTTTCCCGCCCTCTCACAGGACGTACCGTCATCCTTACGGGTGGCAACGTCGGCCTCGGGTTCGAAGCTGCGAAGCATCTCGCCTCCCTCGGACCTGCCCGACTGATCATTGCCCGCCGTTCTACAGCCCGAGGGGCAGAAGCGGTAAAGAAGATTCAAGAAGCTGCGAAGGGCAAGGTCGGGAAGGTCGAGTGCTGGGAAGTGGACGAAGCGTCTTTTGCTAGCGTCACTGCCTTCGGCGACCGGTTCGAGCGCGAAGGCGGGGGGAAGCTCGATTTGCTCGTGCTTAATGCCGCGGTTGGGATGTACGAGCGGCAGGAGACGGCAGATGGGTGGGAGCTGATGCTCCAGGTGAACCACTTATCCACCTGCCTTCTCGCCCTCCGCCTCTTGCCATTTCTATCCAAGGCCAGGGCCGATCCGCCCCCTCCTAGGATAGTCATCGTCGACTCCGGAGCCCATCGCTGGATTAAGGACTTGCCAGAGGCCAACACGGACGCACCCAGCATCCTTAAACTGCTGAGCAGCAAGGAAAACTGTGCTGAAGAGGGGAAGATACAGAATTGGTATCCTCTCACCAAACGTACAATGTGGTGGTACATTTCCATGCATACAAGAGCTGACAACTTGCATAGTCTTCAACGTATTCTTCTGTATTGAGCTCTCCGAGCGTCTGTCCGCCGACTCTGCCATCAGCATGGCTACGGTCAACCCGGGTTTCTGCCGCTCCTCGCTAGCCCGACACATCCGTACCTGGGGCTTCTGGTTCATGACAGTTCTTTTCGCTCGAACGACCGAGATGGGCTCTCGCACGCTTGTGTGGACATCCGTGACGAAAGACTTGGACGGAAAGAGCGGGAAGTATACCGAGAACTGCATGGTTACTGAGCCGGGTCTTTTCGTCATGAGTGAGCAAGGGAAGAAGGCTAGGGGCAAGGTTTGGGTGAGTGCTCGTATGATGTGGCTATCAAGGTTCAACTGAGCTGACAATGTGCTTCTGAATAGGATGATACAATCGAACAGCTTAGTCTGGTGGACCCGGAGGTCCCAAAGATTGTCAAACAATACCTACGCTGGGAGTAACATGAAGTGGGGCGTAATGGGTTAGGGTGCATCGAATATGCGTAATACCCAAATGGAGCGTCGCGTATTGTGCGGTTGTTGCCTGTCATGTTTGCTTCAAGATGGATATTCAATCATGTCCTTTGGGCCGATACGGCACGGCTCCCTACCATGGAAATCTGCTCTATAATACAAACACTAATGATGGGAATATCGTCCTCTCAAGAGCAATGTCAACTGTGAGTAAAGTCCGTCTGTCCAAAGCCGATCCTAGGTCGCGGCTTGCGCGCATCAAACACAGCGTACACCCGTTTCAAGAATACCTGTCCACGATCCATGACTATCAGCGCTATCGTAGTGAAGATCTAGCCATTCACTTACATCGCCAAGTATATCCTGCTTGTTGCTCCCTCTGCTCTGGATTGGCCCGAATGAATATCCCTTCCTATTACAAGGCGCGAACATCAAGTCTTGGCCGGAAATGCCGAAATATCGATCACCGCATGCAAAATAAATCTCGGGTGGTTGCGAATCCGAAGGAAGAATATAACCGCCTTCTTGGTGGTCGAGCGTGGCGCCACGGATCTGGCTGTAGATGCGCTGCACCGCTTGGTCATCGATAAGAATCCTGTAAGAGGTCATGTTTATCCGGCCGGGGCTGCAAAAGTCACTCACAACGTCGTTCCTGTGTCCTGTGACGCTATGAACATGTAGCGTCGATATGTGTTGAAATACTTACTGCGATTGCTGTATTCCCTGGTGGTCTCGGGTACTCTTTCTTTCCGATCATGATTCCCCTGCTCTCGAACTCCCACCATCCGTTATCGGCTATAACGTAAGTCTCCCATATGTCGACACCGGGTCGCAGCACATTCCCGTCCTATAATACCTTCAGTAGTCGATGCACGGGGTGACCACTCGCATGTACTTACGACGTGCCCGAATGTGAAGAAACCTGCACTGTCTCCCTTGTCCAACTTGACTGTAAATAGTGGCTAGTGGATATCAGCTTACAGCCCTGCACTAAGGCGAAGTCTGGCACCTACTCTATCAAGAAGATGCTGATCTATCATCTGCTCAAATGGCGTCTTCTGTTGGTGCGGCTTGACCGTATTCAATCTGCCTTTCTTGAGTATAATCAATCCTTGGGATCGCAGCTACATACTTGGGGAATCCTAAACCTAGAAGACCGTCGCTCGTTGTATCGTTCAAGAACGACCCGCTCAAGTTTGTAGCCGCTTCGATAGCTCGTCCTTGTATTTTTACCCCCTGAACCATGATATCATCATAGTAGACGATTCCATCTGCACCTCAAAATGAACTTGTACTTCCAAAGATGTCTGATGTACTTACGGGCCTCGGATCCATCGGCGTATTCGATTTTCCAGGATAAGTCTTCGGCCTTGCGGGCGGTATGAGACGCTCCCGGGTGAAATATTGCTCTATTCTTGGCCTTCCTGTGCGTATGAGAGGACCACACCCATCTGAATACGGCGTTAGTCAGAGTCCTGTATGCATCTGTGTGTTTCTCACAGATCGGAGCTTCCTGTGTGTATCACAGTGAGCCAACACTTGAGAGACGGACGAACGGCGCACCAGTGTCAAAATCGAGATTGAGCATCACGCCGGGGTTCCCTATGGTGACTGGAACCACATATTCCGAATCTAAGAAAAGTCAGCTGTCGGCGGTATTATTCTGACAGATACAGCGATTCATACCATTTTCCACGTCTTTGGCTGGAACCTGAGCGGTATCTCGCATTACTCCAGGAGGGCCGACCTTGCTCTGGCGTTTGGCCGGATCATGCATCCCGAAAAGACCAGTACCGGGATTGTTTGCGCGGTCGTTCAGAACCAGCAGAGCTCCCCTGGTTGGATTTGCCATGCTCAGCTTGTGCAATCCATGCTTTTCAGACGTGTCTGATCCCGAACCGTGATGGGAATGTTGATCATCATCTTCGTCTTTCAAGGCACTCCCGATCCGCCGCATCAGCTTCCCACCCTCGAGGAAAAAAGTAGCCATATCAGAGCATTTTATGTGCCATCGCATTATTGCTCTTTCGATAATGAGCCAAAATCGCGAGAGGAGCAAGAAGGTGTAATACTTAGCGTAGCTTCTCGCTCCGTTAGGTACATATTGAGGGTTGGTCCCACAGTTCACTTGAAATCCTGGCGTGGGCATGGTGTACAAAGATGTCGTATAAAACGTTCAACAAATGGGTATATGCACAAAGGAGAGCATACGAGTGAGAAAAAAGTGTTATCCGATCATTGTTGACAAGTAAGACCTGGGGTTGATAAAGAGACGCGTGACGCAACGCTGTCTTTCGGATGGATTATCGCGGACCAAGGGACATGACGTCATATGACTGCCAAAGCTGTCGTTGCCGCCCATTCCTTCATTGCGCTTGTTCAACTCTACACTACTATTATTTTTGGGTTCTTTGTTTCTAGCAATACCACAGTCTGTTGGGACTCGCCATAACAATACACGTCATTTCCCGAGCCACGCTTTATGAACACCAGATTCTCGCGCTCCTGAAAAGCTGGAACCACGGTCCCTGGCCTTTCCAATCTTCTGTATTGGCAGGGTGCCAACTGTTGGCATCCCTTGAAGTAACCCTCTCCGGATGCGGCATCATGGCTAGCACTCGTCCAGCAGGTGTGACTAAACCACCGATACCACGAGGGCTACCGTTCGGATTCAGCGGGTATCGTTCGGTTGGTGCGCCAGCATCGTCAATGTAGCGGACAGCAAGCTGCCCAGCACTTATGACCGATGCTATATCTTCGGGCCCAGCAAACGATGCTCGTCCTTCGCCATGGGCAACTGCGACAGGGAGCTTCCATCCTTGCATGTCGCGCAAGAAAACCGACTTCGAAGACACTTGCCCAGGAACAACCTCGACCATCGTCACCCGCGCCTCGAACCTCCCGCTCTTGTTGTGCTTGAACAAAGGCCACGGCCCCGCACCCGGAATGATCTCCTTGAGGTGGCTGAATAGCTGGCACCCATTGCACACACCCAGCGCGAAAGTGTCTTTCCGTTGGAAGAAATCGGAGAACTCCTTCCGAGTGGTCTCGTTGAGGAGTATCGACTTCGCCCACCCATTCCCGGCGCTAAGGACGTCACCATACGAAAAGCCGCCACATGCTGCGATACCGCGGAAGTCCGATAGGCTTACTGTGCCGGAGAGGATATCCGACATGTGCACATCCACAGCGGCGAAACCGGCGGCAGTAAACGACCATGCCATCTCCATGTGTCCGTTGACTCCTTGTTCGCGTAGAATTGCTACCCTAGGACGAACGGATAAACTGGCAGGTATGATAGGTTGTGCATGGAAATTGACTTCAAAAAAGAGTCCTCGTCGATCCTCAGAGATATTCTCGAACTCTTCTTTTGCCGTTTCGGGGTTGTCTCTAAGCGCCTGCATTTGGTATGATGTTTCTGACCAAAGCATCTGCAGCTCTGCGCGTGACATTGACAGAATGGCCTGTCCGCGATGAGCCACAGTGATTGTCTGATCATACAGGTCCGCGTTTACGCTGCCGATAGCATGCAGGTTGCGGGTTGGAACGCCATGCCGCAGGAATGCGCTCGTAACTATTGACAAATTTTGCTGTGCCACCTGGAAGACAGCCCCAAGCTCTTCGTTGAAAAGGGCTGCTATCGGATCCACATCCGCGCCGAGAACATCGAGGTTGAGTGTAACTCCGGTACGCCCTGCAAACGCCATCTCAGCTACGGTGGTTATCAAGCCACCATCCGATCGATCGTGGTATGCGAGCACCAGACCTGGGTGATCCGTCTTCAGCGACTGACATGCGTTAAAGAAACCTTTGAGCGACGCAGGATCCTCGACATCAGGTGCTTCGGAGCCAATTTCTCGGAAGACCTGAGCCAATGCGGAAGCTCCCAGACGCTGTTTGCCATTCGCGAGATCGACAAAAAGGAGCACAGTGGGGAGAGACGTATCGGTGTGGAGTTGCGGCGTCCACGTAACGCGAACGTCGTGGACAGGGGCAAAAGCGGTCACGATGAGGGAAAGCGGCGCAACTACCTCCCTGTCCTCGCCTTCGGGTCCTTTCCATCTCATTGCCATAGACATTGAATCCTTGCCCACAGGAATGCCAACGCCAAGAGCAGGGCATAACTCCATTCCGATTGCTTGGACAGCTTCATATAGTCCCGCACCCTCACCGGGCTTGGAGGAGGCACACATCCAATTGGCACTGAGCTTGACGCGCGAGATGTCTTCAATCCCAGCCGCAACGATGTTTGTCAGGGATTCTGCAACAGCCATACGTGCGGAGGCACCTGCACTAAGAAGTGCCAGAGGTGTTCGCTCCCCCATCGCCATTGCTTCACCGGTAATGACATCGAAACCATAAGATGTCTTTGTGACGGCCACATCTGCCACTGGGACTTGCCATGGCCCAACCATCTGATCGCGCGTGACAAGACCCGACACCGTACGATCGCCGATGGTAATAAGGAAGGATTTTGACCCCACGGAAGGAAGGCGAAAGACCCTCTGTACGGCTTCGATGGGTATCTCGTATTGTGACTCTCCCGTTCGGCAGAAAGGAAGGTAAAGCTGCAGACTTGAGTCGAACGGTATGCGCAGTGTTTCAGAGGTAACGTCCTTCTTAGAGAGCTTCGGCGGTTTACCGAAGAGTGTCGGCATCGTGAGGTGGATGGGATCGCCTCCAAGAAGGCGATCGGTAAGGATCAGCTGTTGTTCAGACGTTGCCGTGCCGACCACGGAATATGGACAACGTTCTCTCTTTGCAATCTGCTCAAATAATGGCAGATCGGGTGGATCCACAGCCAAAACATATCGTTCCTGTGACTCGTTGCACCAGATCTCCATCGGAGACATACCCGTGTCGTCCACCAGCACATCTCGGATTTCGAATCTTGCACCAAGCCCAGAATCGTGCACCAGTTCGGGAAGAGCGTTCGAAAGGCCACCGGCACCAACATCGTGAATCGCCCGAATGGGATTATGCTGGCCCAAGCTGATACACGCGTCGATGACCTGTTGGCACCTCCGCTGCATTTCCGGATTCTCTCGCTGCACCGAAGCGAAGTCGAGCTCTACCGAACTGGTGCCCGCAGCCATAGAAGAAGCCGCTCCGCCACCTAGTCCAATGAGCATCCCAGGACCACCCATGACGATGAGCTTCGCGCCGGCGCCAAACCCATGCTTCTTGGCGTCCTTCAGGCGGACATTTCCCAGACCACCGGCGATCATGATAGGTTTATGATATCCCCTAACCTCGTTCTTCATCTTATGCTCTTTGCCTGCTAAGGAAGACGGCAAGGGTACGGGTACGGACTCGCAGAAGGTGCGGAAGTATCCTCCGATCGCCGGACGCCCGAACTCGTTGTTGAATGCGCTTGCTCCGAGCGGGGCTTCGAGCATGGTATCCAAGGCTGAGGCGATATGGGCTGGGCGACCGAAAGATTCCTCCCATGGTTGTACGAAATCGGGGATCATGAGGTTCGAGGTAGTGAAGCCGGCGAGACCGGCTTTCGGTTTGGAACCTGTCCCAACTGCGCCTTCATCGCGGATCTCACCGCCTGAGCCTGTCGCAGCACCAGGATAAGGAGAGACAGCAGTGGGGTGATTGTGTGTTTCCACTTTGGCGAGCATGGGCATATCTTCTACGATGAAATCGTAGATGTTCCCGGTCTCAGCAGACGAGGCAAAGCGTGGCGCCGGATATCCCTCCAAGACAGCAGCGTTGTCCGAGTAGGCCGAGATCGTGTACTGTGGGCTCACGCGCTCCGTGTTTCTAATCATTTGGAAGAGACTTCGCTCCCTCTTCTCTCCATCGATCGTCCAATCTGCATTAAAGATCTTGTGCCTGCAGTGCTCCGAGTTGACCTGGGCAAACATGAACAGCTCAACATCGGTGGGATTGCGCCCAATCGGGGTTGGCCCAGAGACGAACGCCTTGACGAGGTAGTCAATCTCGTCCGGAGCAAGGGCAAGACCAAGCTTCTTGTTAGCCTCCTCGAGCCGAGTGCGGGCTGCGTCGTACGAGATGTGATCGGCGGCTTTCAAGTCGATTGTGCGAAGCTGGCCAGGCTCACTGTGGACAAAACAGTCCTTCTCCGTAGGTGGCCGATCATATAAGATTTGCGTCATCCGATCATGGAGGAAGTGTGCGATCGTGTGCAATTCGTCCTTGGTCAGGTTCTTGCCGTCGGGAGTGGTGAAGACAAATGCCGTTCCACGCTCGATACGCTGAACATGATCGCTGAGTTGGCACATACGCGCAATATCGGTTGCTTTGCTCGACCAAGGGGAGATGGTTCCCGGTCGTGGAAGTGCATATATGACCCCTTCTTCAGTCGGGTTTGCGAAACTCTTCTCCGTTCCCGGAAGGGTAACGTCGTCCCCATACATCAACAGCTCCTGCAGCACCTTATGTTGTGGTGAAACCACATTCTCCAGTACACGTTCTGCCTCGTCGGATACCCCCTTGACCACATGTACGTAGACGGCGTCGACTGTCTCAACGCGTACGCAGATCTTCCGGATGTTGTGCAGCAGTTGAGCGCGCTTCGCGTCATGGTAGACCGACAGACCGTAGAGAAGTAACATACTGGCTGTCCTCAAGTCAGCTCACGTTTCGACCGTTTCAAGCTTTAAATACTCACAGGTGTTACAGGTGGTGTCCCCAAGGAGCTGTTCAGGTCGCACACCGGAACCCGCCGTCCGTTAAATTTAGAGGTAATTCCTGCATTTTGCCTACAATGACCTCTCGGGCGCAAATCCCTGAAATGACCCCAAGGCCTGCCCTAAGCAACCACGGACCTTCCAATTAAGGAACGTGGTGGTAGCAGTTCAAGATGCGCTAGGGTCCGGTCTCTTCGTGTCGGTTTATAAAGCATGTTCCGACGATTAATTCGCAAGCTTTGTTTTGTTTTTTCATTAGTTATGTTACAGTAAATATCAATTTATTTTGCATGGATGCCTCGTATAATAATTCACCGATTTTCACCATCCTAAACATAGGTGAGGAAACACCGCACTTTTACAGCAAGGCAATGAATTTTGCAGCAGTTCTTGAAACTAATAGATACCATACACAATGCCAACCAGCTTGTTTTTTGAAAAAGGTCTGTTCTAATAGCAAAACATTCACAAAACGCGTTGTTGGATTGACCGGAGGCACGTGCTTCTATTACCACAGCCACTACTTTCCTTATTTGGTTACTTAGGGCAGGCCTTGGGGTCATTTCAGGGATTTGCGCCCGAGGGGTCATTGTAGGCAAAATGCGCCCGAAAGGAGGAATTACCTCGTTAAATTTAAGTTGGTGACCTCACAGTAGTGGCAGTGCTCTTATCAGTACTAGTGCTCCTTGACGCCCAACATGCAAGAACATGATCGTATCAACCTAGTTCGCCTGGTCAGGCGGCTTGAGTTACCAGCCAATCAGCCATCTACCTCTGAGCAAGACGCATATACTGCTTGGCTACAAGCGAAGAGCCAGTTGCAGGTACGTGCGTGGTATAGACCTCAATTCCCTCTGACACTCAGCAATAGAAAGTCGCGAATGCAAGATCGTTATGGAAGAATCTCACAAGGTATGAAGAGTTAGATATTCTGTTAACAAAGTTTGAATAACAGCATTTCCAGTGATGGTCAGACGTTGAATCTGGATGATCTGGACGCACGGATCGACAAGTTAGAGAAGCTCGCTGCCAAATCTGTCGATGTGCGTTTCACATACGACGACACTTCTACCAGACTAACCCAGCCCAGGAACACCCTGCGCCTCTCCCGCCAAGAACGTCTTTCCTCGAATTGCTGCCAACTCCCAAGCCTCTGCTACCCATATCTATCCTGCCGCCGCCCGAGGCACTCTCCGTCCAGACCAGCGCAGCAGCTGACACCACCGCTGAGCTCACTACGTCTGAACCGCTCGAATCCTCGCTCCTTCCTTCAGAGCCACTCCTGCCAGAATTTTCCTTCCTACTTCAGCCATCATCTAAAAAAGACAAAGAGCCGGAAGCCGAATATCAGCTAAACGCGATTCAACAGGAGTTGGCAGACCAGCTCGCGCATATGGGCCACCAGCTCAAGTTGAACGCGATCAACTTTGGAGAACGGTTGGCCGCGGACGTGGGGGTGGTCAAAGAAGCTGAGGAGAAGTTGACTGGGAACTTGGATAAGATGAAAACGGAGCGAGGAAGGTTGAGGGACTACTCGAGCACGGCGAGGGGGACAACATGCTTGGTTATTACTTGCATTTTGGTGGTGATTATTGCTTGGGTGATGATGTTTGTTGTGATCAGGATTACCTAAGTACGGAATGATGCATCTTCTCGGAGCACTATTTCTTGTCACGCAGTTATTGCGAGTATGGATCCATTTGCTAGCTCGCAGAATATGGCATGAGAATCTACGATATTTGAAGTCTAAATCTGGCCTGAGTGGGGAGCCTGAACATCTGGTTTCATGGCTGGGAAGAGCAACACCTCTTTGATGTTAGGTGAATCGGTGAGGAACATGACCAGACGGTCAACGCCAATACCCCACCCACCGGTAGGGGGCAAGCCATGCTCAAGCGCATCCACGAACGTCTCATCGATTCCTTGAGCCTCGTCATCTCCGGCAGCTTTCTGCGCTGCCTGCTGCTCGAACCGGATCCTCTGCTCGAAGGGGTCATTCAACTCGGTGTAGGCGTTGCAGAACTCCTTGGTGCACATGAAACCTTCGAATCGCTCGCAAAGGCCGGGGCGGGAACGGTGGTACTTGGCAAGGGGTGACATGATCTGCGGGTGACCAACTATCGATGGGTCAGCTCAACGACCTAGACCGAAGAGTGAAAACTCACCGATGAAGCTGGGACTAATGCACTGTGACTCGATGAACTCTCCCACGAGCTTGTCAAGCAAGCGCGCAGTCGTCTTCGGTGCGCCACACTCGATATTATGTTTCTCGCACTGCTCGCTGAGCATCACCCGAGTCGCGTCCGAGTTCCACTCATCTCCAACGGGCATTTTGACACCCAGCTCCTTCTCGAGCGTCTCGCACATGTCGAACCTCTTCCACGGCCGCTGGAAGTTGAGCTTGTATTCCTTCTTCCCCTCGCCCGGCCCTTCAGGATGGAATGTGAGCTTGGACTTGCCTCCAGTGAGATACTTGACCATCCCCTCGACCAGACCCTCGGTCATGTCCATAATGTCGTACATGTCTGCGTACGCCATATAGAATTCGCAGATAGAGAATTCAGGATTGTGCGTCAAATCGATGCCCTCATTCCGGAAGACGCGACCAATCTCGTACACGCGGTCAAGACCACCGACGACGAGTTGCTTCAGGTAGAGCTCGGGGGCGATACGCAGGTAGAGATCAAGCTTGAGATCATTGTGATGGGTGACGAAAGGCTTGGCAGTAGCACCACCTGCGATCATGGACATCATGGGTGTCTCGACCTGCATGGACGTCAATGTGCTTTCTCGCCATTCCGAAGGTGTGCCTCACCTCGATGAACCCTTGAGAATCGAAGAATCTCCGCATGTAATTGATCACCTTGCTACGGGTAATGAAGATATTCCTCGTATGCTCGTTAAGAATCAGATCCAGATACCGTTTCCTATACCGTGACTCTTGGTCCTTTAATCCTGTATGCTTGGGTAGCTGATGCAAGTTGGGAGAAAGCAGCTGTATATGCGTCGGGGAGATGGACAGTTCTCCTGCTTTAGACCTCGCAGGGGACCCTACAACACCGACAATGTCACCACGGCGGAAAGTGTCGTGTGTCTCGGTGAACGGCGTGGTGGGGGGCTCAGTGCCTGCAGGGGCGTTCGGGTGCGGTTGTGGCTGGTGGAAGTTGGCCTGCGCCAGGATCTGCACCTTGGCCCCGTCCGCGTGAAGATCGTAAAACCTCAAGTTCTGACCCGACGAGCGGATATTCTGCACCCTACCACCGAGTGCAACAACAACACTGTCGTCCCGCGAGCCATTGGCAATGCGCCCCGGTGCACCGAACTCTTTGACGAAGTCGGGCACGGACATGGTCACCTTGAACTTGTGAGGGTAAGGGTGTGTAAGGGGCTGTTCCTTCAACTTGTTGACTTGACGAGAGCGGAGCTCAAAGTATTGCTACTTACGCATCAGAATGCATATCTCGATGATAAGAGCAGGTCGAGCGTACACTAGGATCGAGTTCATCCTCATCAATGCCCGCCTGCTTGGCAGCCTTGGGCTTGGTAGCTGATTGTGCTGCAGCTGCAGCCTGAGCGGCTTGCTTTTCAGCTTTTTTTGCATCGCGCTCCCGTTGTTGTAGACGACGTTTGAGTTCGCTGCAGCGAGTCATGAATATTCTCACACGCGCCAAAGGACGGTGCTTACCTTTTAGAGATCTTTTCGCCGGTCAACGGGTCGACGCTAGAGGGCGCTGCTGGCTCGTTGGTCGGTATATCTGCCATTGTTCTAAAGATAATACGAGAGCAAGATGGTGGTTTTTGAAAGGAATGTGCGATGGGTCGAGTCAGTCGCGCGAGAATAAATCTCATGCGTGCACCAAAACGCGAGAAAGTCAGTTGCCATCAATGAGGCGTTGTGGCGGCCATGTAGGACCCCTAGAGTAGGTACACCGGGGTCCCTGGTCGCTGGGCGATAGTGCCCCCGACCCGCTCACATGAAGTGAGTCGCATCCGTTCAGCGTTGTCCATGGGCAAGCGCTCTCGCACTCTCTCCACGACCAGCGACAACAACGACACACCTGCAAAGCGTCCTGCTCTCTCCCATACTCGTCTGCCCACTCCAAACTCCACTAGACATATGTCTGACGACGCAATTTCCGACTACTACTCTGACGAGGAGATGGGTAAGCACCTCCACCTCCTATCGTGCGACCTGGGGTGTTCACTTGCATATCTATCGGTTAGAGTACAACTACTCCGATCCAGAGCAGGACGGCGATGACGCAGATCTAGAGAACGAGGAGGAGGAGGACTATGCCCAGTTCACCCCTGCTGTCCTGGGGAAGCGTCCTCTTCCTTGGGAGGTCGAGTACGAGAGCCTCGAACCCGACAAGCTCCGCGAGATCGTCAACAAAGATGTCGAGCATGTTGCTGGGATTTTTGGTGTTGAGGTTCATATTATTCCACTTATACTCGCTTCACCGACTGATGATACCCCGATAGCCTGAGATCGCTCGAGCTCTTCTGCGTCACTATAAGTGGAACAAAGAGAGGCTCATCGAGCAATACATGGACGGTCCTGAACGAGTCCTCGCCGCTGCTGGTCTTCCCGCTCAGTCTGGATTACCATCGTTCTCTAACTCTCGCTCTCTCGCAGCAACGAAGAAGCCTGCAACCAAATCCAAGTCGTTCTCTTGCCCAATCTGCGCCTCTACCCAACCAGGCGAGTCAGCTATGGCTCTCCCATGCGGGCACACGTTCTGCAGCGAGTGCTGGGAGATGTACATCACCTCCAAGATCAAGGACGAGGGGGAGTGTGATGTTCGATGTATGGAAGAGGGTTGCGCGATCCGCATTCCGACCGCGTGGATGAAGAAGTTGCTGGACAGTCATACCTATGCCAGGTACGAAGAATGCAATCTCTAGCAACAACGAGCCTGACTCTATCTATAGGTATCAAGAACTGCTTTTGGCCGCATATGTGGCCGACAACAGAAACTTCGAATTCTGTCCCTTCCCGTCCTGCGACCTTACAGTCATGACACCGAACTTCTCACCTACACCCTCTGCACTCTCCACCACCGTCCCAACAGTGCACTGCGGGCACGGGCACACTTTTTGCTTCGGCTGTGGCGAACAGCAGGACCACCGTCCGCTCATCTGTGCTGTCGTCAAGATGTGGCTCCGCAAGTGTGCGGATGACAGCGAGACAGCCAACTGGATCAAGAGCAATACTAAGGAGTGCCCCAAATGCGTGAGTACCATCGAGAAGAATGGAGGGTGCAAGTGCGTCGCGAATTCACCTCGTGGGAAAGTGTATGCTGACACGTTGCTAGCCACATGACCTGCAAGAAGTGCAAGCATGAGTGTGTTTAGACTGAATTCTGATAGACCCCTATACTGATGTATTTCGCAGATTCTGCTGGGTATGTATGGGACCGTGGACAGAGCATGGCACAGCATGGTATAACTGCAATCGATACGACGAGAAAGCTGGTGTAGACGCGCGCGATGCCCAATCGCGGAGCCGTGCGAGTTTGGAGCGGTACCTTCATGTGCGCCTCTCATCCTTACTTGTATACATACTTTCTCACATCAAATTCCAGTATTATAATCGTTACGCGAACCACGAGCAATCCGCTCGCTTAGACAGGGAGCTGTATGCTAAGACGGAGAAGAAGATGGAGGAGATGCAGATTGCTTCTGAGCTGACGTGGATTGAGGTGCAGTTCGCCAAGCGCGCTGTCGACGAGCTCGTGCGCTGCCGCACTACTCTTAAATGGACGTACGCGATGGCATTCTACCTCGAGAAGAATAACGAAACGATCATGTTTGAAGACAACCAAAGGTGCGTAATCAGAACGTTGTATGCTCAAGGACTGCTCATTTAGGAATTCAGGGATCTTGAGCGCGCAGTGGAGGAGCTCTCTGAGCTACTTGAGAGCCCCATCGAGCCTATGACTATCACCGAACTGCGATCAAAGATGACCAATTTGACCGTTTATGGTACGTTACTGCTCTCATCATGCCCCTAGCAGTTCTGACCATCCATGCAGTTCAGAAGCGGAATGAGATCATGCTCAACGATACCGCTCAGAAGTACCAAGATGGGGCTTGGATATGGAATGTTTCAGTGCGTATTCTTCTTCGCTGTAACGTCAAATTGATACTAATTCATTACTTACAGGTTCCGGACTTCTAGATCGGGGGTGTATACCTCTATTTTACCCCTAGCACGATTATTCCACGCCCATTGCGCAACGCCTCGGACCCGTGCACATTTCCCTTTCCTTTCCATCCTTTACGTTTCCTCTCATTCCCTTCATTTCTCGTTCCGTATTTACCTTCTTTCCTCCTACCGCATGCCACACTAGCCACTCCATCCACCCCATCCACCACCGTTCGCACAACGTGTATTGTCCACTGGAATATAACAAGTCGGAATCTACGGTCCCCGCGGCACTGGCAGGCGACTCCACAGCAATCGATGTTGCAAGCTTTCAGCAAGCGACAACCTGTCGTTGTTGCCGAGAGCACCCACCAGCACATCACGAAATCTTCTGAAGTGTGGTGAGAAGACAGAGTATGTGCGAATCTTCCGTTTTATCTCTCATCTTTTCCATCATCTCAGTAGGGCCTAGATGCTGGCAGCAGAGGTATTGCGGTGTTTCGTAAAGCTGATCTTATAAACACAATCGCACATCAAGCCGAAGATGACAACGGGTTTCTTGCGTAGAGCTACGGCTGAGAATGGGCCGTCGCGCTCAAGCCCTCAGCAAATACTGCTCGACAATCCCTGGCACCTCTGGATCTATCAGACTGAGCTGCTCGACTGTGTCGGCCTGTCCAAAACTGTCAGCTTTGCATGATGCAATCTCTAGCAACACTCGCCCAAAGTTTTTCCTTGATCATCTTCCCCCGCTCGCTCCTCGCGAACGGGCTCGGTTCACAAATAAAGCAGCTCTTGATGTACTTTCCGATCTTCCCATCCAAGTTCTTGCTGACAGTGGTATAGGGGAGGGTGCGCGAACCTGCTTCTGTGGATGGTGCAAACAATTGACTGAATATCCAGAAGCCCCAGCTGCGCACGTGTCGCAAGAGCTGAGAGTGGCAGAAACCGGGATCGACGGTATTCATACTGACGGTGAGCGTTCGAGGGAGTCGTTCAGACAACGCGACCGTGGAGAGCACGTTGAATACTACCACTTGTCAGGTCTTCGTAAAAGCAGAAAACCCACACTCACACTTCGTGAGTGAATACCGGTTTTCTATCTTTCCCTTCTGCGCGCAGTCATGATCCTCACAAATGCAGTCACTCTTCGAACTGGATATCCCGACGAAGATATAGCTTAAAGCTATCGCGATCTGGATCGGTTCTAGGCTCACACCAAATACTGTTTGATAATATGAGGCACCTCCGGATCTACTAAACTGAGCTGCTCGATCGTATCAACCTGTCCGAAACAATCAGCCTTACACGGCGCGATCTTCAGTCGCACTCACCCAGAGCTTGTCTCTAATCGTCTTTCCCCGCTCGCTCCTTGACAACACGCTGGACTTACTGATGAAGCAACTCTCAGAGTACTCCCCGCTTCTCCCATCCAAGTCCTTGCTCACGGCGGTGTACACAAGCGTGCGCGAACCCATCTCCGTCGTTCGCGGGAGCACCTGTTTGAACACCCAATAGCTCCAAGTGCGAGGGACGTTTCGGGCAAGCTGGGAATGGCAGAATCCAGGATCGAGGGTATTCACGCTCAAAGCGGACGTTCGAGGCAGTCGCTCAGATAAGGTGAATGTGAAGAGTACGTTGAAGACTATAAACTGTCAACTCCCGGTGATGGTCATAACACGAATAGCGTACGTTTCGTGAGCCGATACCGATTTCCCATCTGCCCTTCCTCTGCACAATTCTCCTTGCTGCTCAACAGTCGTAACATGCTCGGTGTAGCCGCATCAGCTTCTGGCACGTCTGGGACCCAGAGATGCAGGCCCGAGTTGAGGATCACGACCCTCGGCGTTGGCGGGTCTGCTTCTGCCTTGGACAGGAACGGGAGCAAGCGAATCGCGAGCAAGCAGGTCGACAGGTGGTTCACTTGAAGCATGAGCTCCCACCCGTCTCCCGTCTCCTGCCGCTCGCGCAACGCAGCACCGGCATTGAGGACAAGCAAATCGAGCTTCCCGCCTCCTTCCCGCTCAAACCGATCGCAGAAAGCCTTCACGCTCGCAAACGAAGCCTGATCAACCTCCCAGCACTCGACCTTCCCGACCTTGCCCTTTCCAGCTTGTTCGATCTCCTTTACCGCTTGCGCACCTTTGGCAGCTGAACGGCAAGCGATAATAAGCCGCGCAGGGCCGAGAGCTGCGAGATGCTTCTCTGTTTCGAAGCCGAGACCGACGTTGCCCCCCGTGAGGATGACGGTGCGCCCTGTTAGTGGTCGGGCGAAGGAAGCGACCGACGGGAGAGGCATCCATTGGTAGTACAATATCGAGAAGAAAGAAGTCGTCATCGCGCTACCCGAAAGCCTGCAAGCAGTCGGAAAATGAGCTATATATACCACCAGTAGACAAGAGCATTTGAACACCATCTCATCGTATCGTCGAACAATTCCTCCCAGTGAGTCATGGACGATCATGGATTCCGCCGTTCACTAGCGTCGAGGAGTTTCTACGTCGTAATCAACCTACGAAGTCCACGAAGCGCTCCATGGAAATGCACGTGATCCAGGAGCGTCTTTACTCGGTATATCACGAAGCAAAGGAATGCAGTCATCTAGATGTGGGGCGTTGCAGTGACAGTCCGTTGGAGTGGATCCACACTGCCGAAGCTGGTGGGTTTGACTCCTACGGCGAAGGACCGGACGGGACGTTCACATTATCTCGTTTCCGGCTAGACGGGCACTGGTGTCGAGGGTTGGCTGCGGAAGACGACTGTCTCCCATTCCAAATTGTTCACGACCTCGTGATTGCACGAAGCGTCGCGCATGCATGTACTTGGTCAAGTCAAAAGACTCTCCTGCTTCTACGTCCTGAAGCTGTCGAAGGTTGCATTCAACACGTACGCTCCGCATATACTGTACACACGAAAAACAACCTCTCCCCTTGTCATCAAGTATGCCTGGTATCTGCACTTGTCGTTCAATCTACGCTCACTCGAGATACTGCTTGATGATCCTCGGCACTTCCGGATCGACCTCTGAAAGGAGTTCAATCGTCTGCGCCTAGAAGCAATGAGTCCCTCTCCGCGCGTCTCACAAAACCGACTTACCCAAAGCTTATCGCGGATCATCTTCCCCCTCCTGCTCCTCACCAGAGCACTCGGCGAGCTCACAAAGCAGCTCTCGACATACTCGCCATACATATCATCCAAGTCCTTCCCAACCGCAGCATGCACGAGCGTGCGACTGCCCACCTCCGTAGTGCGCGCTACGAGCTGCGTGTAGAACCAGAACCGCCAGGAACGGACGTTCCGCCCTAGGGAGGAGCGACAGAACCCGGGGTTGACGCTGTTTGCTATGAGCGGGTTGGAGGCGGGTATATGCTCCGAGAGGGACTTGGCGAACATGACGTTGAACACTGGGGGGATGGTCAGTCAGTGCCGTCATGGTGTCTACATATGTAGCCAGGGAATCGAGCGACCCACGTTTGGTGAGGGGATACCGCATCATCATCCCCTTCTCCGTCTGGCAGTATTTCTTACTCGCGAGCAGCTTGAGCCACCCATCGCCCGCTTCGTCCACCTCCTGCACACCCGGGACCCAGTGATGCGTCCCGGAGTTGACGATGACGATCCTTGGTGTTGGTGGGTCGGGGCTCGCCTTGCTCAGGAAGGGGAGCATGCGGAAAGTGAGGAGGGCAGGAGCGAGATGATTAACCTGGAGCATGAGCTCGAGTCCGTCTTGCGACTGCGCATACTCGAGCTGCGCAACACCGGCATTAAGCACCAACAAGTCGAGTTTCCCCACTTCCTTCGCCCATCGGTCTGCGAAAGCAGTGACGCTCCCAAACTGGGCTTGGTCGATCTCCCAGCATTCGACGCTCCCCACTTTGCCCTTCCCGGCAGCTTGGATAGCCTTGACTGCTTCTGCCCCGCGGGCGGCGTTGCGCGAGGTGATGATGAGTCTTTCTGGACCGAGAGAGGCGAGATGCTTGGCCGCTTCGAAGCCGAGGCCGACGTTACCCCCTGTGAGGAGGACGGTGCGGCCTGTAAGAGGACGGGCGAAGGAGGAGACGGAGGGAAGAGGACAGTATTGCATCCATAGGTAGGAGGAGCGTGTTGCTGCCATTGTGTAGCGAGGGGTTTTGATAGTTTGGGGGCGAGATGGAGGTTGGCCTCAGAGGACGAATGGTATTTATACACCCTTTATCGACGTCTGTCCATGTTAGACATCCGCCGTCCTCACGTCCAAGGTCGCACATCCCAAACAAGACAGTCACGGTAACCAAACATCGCCCAAAAGAGACAGTAACGTAAGCATGGACAGTTCAAATCCACGCTGCGTCATCGCCGTGGACGCGTCCAGGACCCCAGAACATAAGGAAAGGGTATGGAAACCTGTTCTTGTAAGAGAAAGGCAGCCCAGAATCGGGGCAAGGTATTACATAGTGGATCTGAAGCGGAGTTGGGTTATATACGGGTACATGTCGTGGATGGGCATAGTGTTGTCGCGGTTGCTTAAGTCTAGTGATGGATGCAGGGGCTCTTGCAGGATGTCACTAGAGCCAGGATGACCCGTGATGAGGAATAGCTTTCCAGGAAATCAATACCTCGCCTCACGTGCGCTGGAAAGCTCCTTTGGCTAAAGGAAACCGAAGCCACCTCAACTCGTCGTCGACTCACCGCAGCCAGGTCAGAGAGAAATCTCTGACTGCGCATCTGCCCTGCCAGCGCTCTCGTGCTCCACCAGCCAGCACATACGCCATGAGCAACAGCATCAACATGATATCAACATCAACAGATCTTCCGAATCCAAATTCGAATCCCGCATGTCATGAATCCCATTCATTTGCCAGCACCCAGCACCCAGCCAGCTGCAGCCGGGTAACCGTTCCTCCTCCTCAGCCGTCTCTATATCTCTTTCCTGTCTTTGTCCTACTGCTCGCTGGCGCACTGCCCAGAGCTAAAAATACCTCAGCCAGCATTTGCCTATCCACTCCACTTATCATACCTAGCATTCGATAGAATGGTAAGAAGAGCCAGAGCCCGATTTGCGGAGTTTCCGAGGAATTGGGGTCGTAGGACCTTACCTTAGGCTCGGTTTATGCGCAGCGGGGCTCGTGCGACTGGGTTCATGTTGGTGCTGGTGCTCAGGCTGGACCGCGGGACCTCGGCCTGTTGAGAAGTGTGAATCAGCGCGAGGCGGCGAGTGTACTTTCTATATCCGGCGAGTGTTTGTTCGTCCGAAGGGTTCGCTCGGGGTTGGCGGTCCTGTTCAAGCACGGGAAACGCGCTCCTGCAGAGGTTGTCCTGTTCTCAGCCCTGCATCAGGGGATCTTCTATGTTAGTAGGCTGCCTGTCAGAGCAGGGTACAAGCCCGTGGCTAGATCCAAGGGCGAGCAAGGACAGACAAAGGGAAAGACGAGGGAAAGACGTGGGAATCGGGGTCCTGCATCCGGCCCGACGTGGATCCAAGATCCTACCTATCCTAGCCATCCTAGCCATCTGCAACGCCGTGCCCAGTCGAAAGATCCCTGAAAGTCCAAGATAGATCGTCGTACCCTGAACAGTCAGGAGTCAAGCGGCTGTCGGCGGAGAGCGTTTGTCGCCTAATCAAAAAGAATGACCATTAGACTGCGAACATATGGAGTACTCAAGTCCCGAGCCGTGCCCGCGTAGGCCGGAATTGGAGGAAGGGGATGTATGGGGGTGGAGTGCGCTCTAGTCGGAGGAGTGTGGGGAAGGTTAGCCCCGGGGAGGTTTCGGGCGCGGCGGGCTGTGTGCTGGGATACAGTATTAGTGGGTTAAGTGTCGTTGGTGAGGGTTTGTCATCCAGGGGAGAGTGTAGGTGGTATGTAGATGAGATTGTTTATTAGGTACAAGGAACGAGGGATATTGTAGGTTTGTACCATGGTGGATGGATGATGTGATTGGTGGGATGTCGTTAGTGATGACGTCGGTGTTGCGTTGATTCGCTGTAACGGAAGCAAGTACTAAAAAGGGAGAATCGAAAGAAGGGTCCGAAAGGTCGGTGCTGTGTGGCGAGTGGGGGTGGGTGTGGATCCATCGTGTCATCCTATCATACACTTAGTATTCTATTATCCGCCCTAGTTACTCTCCCTCATTCATCCATCCCTCCCTATAGCCACTCCTTACCATCCACCCACCACCTAGTCATGGCAACACTCTACCCTCCCAACGCTCCGTTCCAAACAGCAATGGCATACCACACTCCACCAGGAACACCTCCCCGCTCCGTACAATCATCTCCTCGCTCATCCCTCTCCTCACTCTCACACCGTCCTCCCTCACGTTCATCACTCTACCCTTCACGCTCTTCTCCCACCCTACCCGCCCTTACAGAGGATCAGATCGCCGCCTCCTTCCCTGCAGCACGACCCCTCAGTGTACTTATCGACGACGCACTACGTATGGAGGCGCTCTCACTCGCAAAGACACCTGACCTGGTGGATCATATGAACTCTGCAGACCCTTTCGGCAGTATGTGGCATAACGAATCCCCTTATGATGCCTGCCTACCAGGACAACCGATGTATGGACACAAGAGCAGACCGGGGAGCATGATCTTCCCCCAATCGCAGTGGGAGGTATGTTCCTTCCTTCCATCCTAACCTGCAAATATACATGCTGAGCACGTGCAGGGCCACCCCCAGCCCCTCCCAAGATCAAGAAGAGGCAGCGTGCTCGTCCCCTCTCCGCTCTCCCAAACCTCCTACCCAGCCTACCCGTCCTACCCCACCCCTACCCCCTCGCTCAACGCAAAACGCGCTTCCTTCCTCCTCCTCGACCCGATGGACGAGCCGCTCTCGCAGGAAGACGCCATCTTCGCTCATGTCCAGTCTGTCAAGCGGGAACGGAGGGACGCACTCCTCTGGGCTAAGGAGAGGGAGGCACATGAGCGGGCTGCTATGCCGCAGGAACGACCAAAAAAAGGCTTGTTTAGCATGTTTAGCCGCAAGAGTAGGCCGTCATCTCCCTCCCGAACGAACTCGACACGGGAAAAGAAATCCCGGGGGGAGAAGGCAGACAGCTCACCGAGCAAAACAGACAAAAAAGCCACAAGGAACTTCTCCATACTCTCACGCAAAGGGACGAAGCTCAAACGACGGCCGAGCGAGAAACACGGGCTTACCCCGACACCCACTACGAGCTCGGCAGTGACGGTCGGCTCTGCCAGCTCGGGGAGTCCATTTGTGAGGCCTGACGAGGAGTATAAGACAACGCCGTTTGACGCTGCTGCGCATCCTATGCCAACTCGCTCGCTCTCCCATTCTCGTTCACAACATTCTCATCAGTCTCATCAGTCTCACCACTCGCACACCCAACCAGAACGGGAAGAAACACGCACACCGGTCCCGGTACCACAACACACTCCTTCCCCAGCTCCAGCGTATACCCTCCTGGACCCAGCAGGCATCGTCCTCCCTTCCTCCTCGCCGGACGAGCTCCCTCGCCCTCCATTCCCCAGCCGCCCGAGTCTGAGGAGCACGCAACAGCGTTCTACCTCAGGCTCCGGGTCGGGCTCAGACTCGCATGAGAGCGGGGCGAGCGCGGAGAGTTCGGAGGTGATTACTCCTCAGACACCGGGGACGCCGGTGCCGGGGCTGGTGCAGCCGCTCCTTGACGGGAGGATGGGGAAGGAGGTCCCTACGACTGCGCCTGTGCCTGTGGAGGATGGGCCGAAGATCCCTGTTCCTGATGCTTGAACATCCTTTCATGTTGACTATCGATCCGATAGGGGAGATGCAGCGAGCTGGCCGACGCCTGCAGGATCAGTACGACTCTTCCACCCTCCCTACTCCCTACATTACGCTCTCTCCCGTATTTCGTATTCCCTCGGACTCTCAGACCCTTTCCCACCCCCAACCACATTCACTCACTCACTCACTCACTCACTAGTTTCCTCGCATTCTCACACTGATTCCCTCGCATGTTTTATTCCCCTTTTGGACTGGGACTCTGGGACTGGAAGGAAGTTTGAGATTAACTAATCTTGTTTTGTTCGGTTTTGTGTCTAGAGGATACACGATACGCTATGGTGTACGGTGTAGGTGTGTGGTGTGTGGTTGTGTTTCTTGTGCTTTTGATGTGTGGTTGTTGGCATGGGGTGGTGCACTAGGTGCAATGGTTTTAGTTGGTTGTACCTGGTTGCATTCGTTTTCTGGTTACCACTGGTATGGGGTTTGAACATCGTTGGTCGCATACCAAACACATGTCCAATACGACGTTCGATCTGCAACTGTTATGACATCACCCAGATGAGGAACGAAGACCCTTCCTGCTCTCCTGTTCGACGGCCGCATACACACAACCCTCTCCCTCTCCCTCTCTGTCTCTCTGGTCGCTCTATGCCCCGATATGCTCTTGATATCCTAGACGATTGCACTAGACTGTTGAACTCGTATTGAGCATGTTCGGCTTTGTGAGAGGTGTGAGAGATGTGAGGGCGAGCCTGCCTTTTGCTTGTCTCTCGTATAGCGTGTATGATATCGTGCGACATTCACCAAGGATGGTTCATCTCCGATACCAACAACGCTCTCTCACCACACTATCGCTGTCCCCTCGATCCATCCCCCACTTCCACTTCCCCTCCCACTCCCTGCGACACTTCCACCCCTCTCCCATACGAAACGATGTCTTCTTCCTCTCTCTCCCAATGCTCAAAGCTCAACTCCTCACACTCACCCGCTGGTCCCTCCTCCTCCTCCCCTTCATCTACCGCTACAAGTACGTCCTTTCCTCTCCCTCCCCCTTCCCTCCCACCTAACACACACAAGAACATGGAAACACTACCCCCGTCTCTCTCTTCTCCTCTTCCAACTCCCCATCTTCGGAATCTGCCTCACCCTCGCCCTCGGGCTAGATCAAGCGCCCAACACCCACCGCTGGCGCTTACTCCTCATGTCCGAGCGGGAAGAACACCTCTGGGCCCAAACGAGGGTAAACGAGTGCCTCGCCCTAGACGGACCGCTCGTCCTTGGCCCTGGGGAAAGAAGAGTAGAAAGAGTGAAGCGCGTGTGCGAGAGACTCGTAAAGGTGCTAGACGACGGGCCGGAGCACTACGTCTCCTCTGCTGCGCACGCGGTTTCGGAACTCAGAGACAGGCTCAGGCTCCCCCGCCCTCAGCGGCAAGGACAAGCAAGCCCGAGCTTTATCGCCCAGACCGGGGTGTTACCTTTCCTCCCCGAAAGCCAGAACCCGACCAAGCTCCTCTCCCCTACCGAGTGGAGGATATATGTTGTCGACTTGCCTAGGATAAACGCATTTGCACTCCCGACACGGGAGGTGTTCGTCTACACCGGGATTATCGATTTGCTTTCCCTCGACACGGACGCGGACGACAACGGCAACGGGCTAGCGCATGCCCAAATGCAGGAAACGCTCCTCGCCGGCGTACTGGCACACGAGATCGCGCACGTAACCCAGCGTCACGCGGTCGAAAATGCCGGGTTTACAAACCTCGCCGCCCTGGCGTTTGACCTCCTCCGCAGTATCTCTTTCTCCCTCACCATATCCTTCCCGTTGGTGAGCGACGCTGCGGGGGGAGTTATCAATGGGCTTCATGAGTGGGTAGCGGAGAGAGCGTATTCGAGAAAGTTGGAGATGGAGGCTGATGTGGTTGGATTGACGGTGCGTCCCTCCTGGACGGTTGGGGAATTAGCGGGACAGGGATGTTGACGACATGCAGTTTATGGCTAAAGCGGGGTATGACCCGCGTATGGCGCTCGATCTCTGGGACGCGATGGCAGCAGTAGAGTGCGTCCCTCCAAGCCCGCACGCAGAGCACCGGCCAAGCTAACATGTTGTATGTTGTCTGGTGTATGTTTATGCATATAGGGAGGACGCGGCCGCTTCCGGACGGACGTCTTTTGCCGACAAGCTCCCTTTTCTGAGGACACATCCCACTTCGGCCCAGAGGCAGAAGGTGCGTCGTCCTGAGATGAGCAGTGCTGTAGAGCTTATGGCTCATGAGAGTAGAATATCGAGAAACACCTGCCGGCGGCTGTCAGGTTGTACGAGGCGTCGCCTTACAGGAAAGGGAAGGCTGCGATGCCTGCAACCCAGGACCTGACGGGGAAGATCCAGAACGACCGGGATAGGAGTGCGCAAGCTGGGGGTGAGCAAACTGCCCAGACACCCAGTACCCTACCGAGCACCGACTAGTTAGATGCGACTCCCATGACATTAATGACGACTGTACTCCTACTTCTACTCCCCCTGCCCTAACAGCGCTCATTGGCCCTCAGGCTTGAGGGACGACCTCCCCGCGCGAAGGATCTCATCCGTGTTCAGCAGGTTGATCGCAATAACAGAAGCGGACTGGATCATCTGCCGCTTGACGCGGTAGTTGTCCCATATCCCGTGGACTGTTGGGTCTACTGGCTCGCCAGACTGCAGGTCGATACCGACCACATGACCCTCCGCTTGTTCTTCCTATACGTGCGTCGGATGTTAGACATGACTGTTCTGAGGAACCGAACCGAGTAAGGACGCACCTGAAGAGCGACAATCGTATCCTGCACGTCAAACCCTCCATTCGCCGCCAGCGTCTTAGGTATGATCAGCAACGCGTCCGCAAACGCCTGCACGCCCCATTTGGCCCTCCCCTTCGCTTCCCTCTTGACCTTACCAGCTACGTGCGCCGCACAGGCGATCTCGAACGCTCCTGCGCCAGGGATGAGCGACTCGTCCTCCAATGCGTTCTTTACGCTTCTCAGCCCGTCGCGGAGCGCGTCCTGGATCTGCTGGGTAGTATACGCGTTGGGGCCCTTGATGAGGAGCGTAACGCTCTTCGGGTCCTGGACGTCCGTGACAAAAGTGTACTTCTCCTCGCCCAGCGTGTGCTCGTATACCAGCCCAGCCCAGCCAAGGTCAGTCGGGGAAAGGTCGTCCACCGAGTTCTGTGCCACTCCGCCGCAGATAAACTGGAGACGTTCCATATTTCTCCGCTTGGCACGGCGCAGCGCTAGGATCCCGTTCTTTGCTAGGATGTCGAGTGAGAGCGGGTCGATTCCTTTTTGGTTGATGACGACGAAGCCCTTTGGCTTGCCTTTCTTCCCCTTTTCGTCTACGGCTTGGTCGCATACGAGGTTTTTGAGCTCGACGATCTTCTTCAGCTTGGCGTCGACGAACCGGCGCTCGGACTCGACGAGTTTCTCGCGCTGCTCAGCAGAGGAGTAGAAGAACCCAGAGTTGACCTCCGTCTTCTCATACTCGAGCGAGACGTTAAGCGTGAGGATGAACGCGTTCTCGACGCGCTTCGGCATGTCTGGGTGCCTTGCACCATGATCCAGTACCAAGCCGCGGATTAGCTCCGTGTCAGAGTCAGTCCGATGCTGCATCTTCATAATCTCAACCATGTGCAGGTCGACAGGCTCCCGGATCGCGTCGACGCCTTTTGCATCAGCGGGAGGGGGGGGAGGGCGGATGCAGAGCACGGCGTCTACTACGTCGGCTGCGAGCTGTTGCGCGAGCTTGGGGTGGAGCTTGGTGGACAGGGAAGTGTGGGCAACGGAGATGAGGGTAGCGCGGTCCAGTTCGCGCTTTACGCGGTAGCTGTCGAGGAACTAGGAGAAAGTAAGTGTTAAGCTGTGCTGGCAGAGCATAAGCGTACCTCCAACGCCCCCTTTTTGGCGATATCGTACCCTTCTGCAATCACAGTCGGATGTACACCCTCGGAGGTATACCGGTCCGACTGCTTCAGAAGCTCCCCTACTAAGAGGACGACCGAGGTTGTCCCGTCGCCTACTTGGTCGTCTTGTGCCACAGCTGTGCGTGCGATCATCGCTGCGGTTGGGTTTTGGATCTGCATCTCCGAGAGCAGGACTTTGCCGTCTTTGGTCATTTTGATGTTTCCTGATCCGTCGACGAGCATCTTGATTGTACCCCGAGGGCCTGGTGTTTTGTATTAGTAGTGTTTTGGATATGTAGAATTTATGCACGTACCGAGGTTGCCTTTGACGACATTTGCGAGCCCCACCGCGCCGGTAGTGTTAACCTGCTCTCCATTAACCAACCAATGCCAAATTCTGGCAGATGAAAGCGTACCTGCAGCGCGGCAGCACGTCGTACACTCTCAGCTTTCGGGTTGAGAGTCTCAATAGAAGCCATCTTAGATGAGTGTACAAAATCTAGAGAACTGCAAAGTTATGACTATGCTCTCACGAGTACGCGGCCTGGAAAACGCGCGTGCACAGGGAACGGAAACGAATTTTCATGTGCCTCCTGATCATTCACCAGAGAATTCGACCCTCTCTTCTTCAAGCCTTTGTTACTGGTTATCTCATCACTATGTACTCTTCTCACGCATGCACTGTTGGAGCTGAAACGCAAGAGATTGATTGATTGATTGTGTCCCCTGCGTCGGTGCTGGTCATGTCAACAACTATTCTGCCGACGTAATAGGAGAGGAATGCAGCCCAATAGAGCGAACACGGAAGCGTAAAGAGTTCAGATCATCGGAATGTCATACCTCTCAGTCGCCTCATGTGCGGAATTCACTGTGCCAGGCAGTACGAGTTCAGCATGTCAGAACGGTACCGGCGGTTCTGCTGGGATGCCAAGACCTTCTTTGCCTTCCTACTCGGGGACCTCTTATATCCCTTCTGTCCTCGCTTGTCCACTTCGTCCGTTCGTTCTCCCTCTAGCCTGAAAGACGATGCGTTCTCTCTCTGGCCTACTACTGACCCAAGTCGCTCTTTACCCTCTTTTCTCTCTCTCACTCCCAACGCCCAACCCCCTCCCCGGCCTACTCACAATCCCCCTCCAGCGTCAAGTCCAGCAAGGGCTCCTCTTCCTCAGCTTTGAGCAAACCAGCCCCAGCCCCGCAGCAGGCCCAGACGGGACATACAACGCTGCGGTCGCGAACCAGCAGGTGCAGGTTGTCACTGCCGTCCAGACTGGGAATGGGCAGACGTTCCCCGGTATGCTGGTCGACACGGGGAGTGCGTTCTTGTGGATGAACGCGGGGCAGACGAAATATGCCCCTGGGCCGCATTCGCACTCGTATGTTAACCACATACCGTCTCTCTCAGATGGGACTCACGATTGCATAGGACGAACTACACCTTTGCCGTGGGGTATGGTGCGGGATCTGCCACTGGCGTGGTCTACCAGGATCAAGTGACGATCGGCAGCGCGACCGTCTCCGAGCAATACATCGGTGCAGCAACGAACGTGACCGCCTTCCATGAGCTGGTAAACTTTGACGGCATCCGTGCGTGTTCCTTCCCCTTCCCTTGGGCTTGCGTTAAGCTGACATAGTGGGCCTGGGCCGTGATATCGGGAACAATGGGTCTATCCAGGGGTTACAAGTCACGCCTACGTTCGTCGATTCCCTGTATAACGAAGGTAGGATCTCTGAGCGCACGGTGGGGATCTACCTCGCTCCTTTTGGGGAGAACGGGACGCAGACGAATGCTGGAGAGCTCACGTTTGGCGGAGTGGACAAGAGCAAGTTTGAGGGTGAGCTGGTGTGGGCACCGCAGATGCAGAACGATAGGCATTGGGCGGTGCAGATTGACGGAGTGGCCTATGGTTCGCAGGGCTTGCAGAATGGTACTTCACAAGCTATTGTCGACACTGTATGTGCTCTCTTCGCCTCACCACGTCACTGACCCCTTGCAGGGCACGCTACCCATCTTGCTGCCCTTGTGAGCCCTCAGCATCCTTAACCTCTCAGTTGTTAACCCTCGCAGTGACGCCTTCTTCGGCCTGCACAATCTGATAAACGCATCGATAATGGACACCGGCCCGCTCGCCGGCTGGCTCAGCGTCCCCCCTGAGATTGACCTCCAACCGCTGACGTTCACCATCGGCGGCTCAGACTTCCCCCTCCCACCCGAAGCGTACCTTATTCCCGAGAGCCTATACGAGCACTTCAACGTCACTGGACCCGAGAGGCCAACGTGGTTCGGTACGTCTGGTCTGACCCGGCTTGTCCCCAACTGACAGCAAGACAGCCAGCGGTGGGTTCGGGAACGCAGCTCTGGGACAAAAGTTCTTAGAGATGTTCTATTCCGTATATGACTCGGACGAGGACCGTGCGTATTTTTCGTGCTATTGTTGGCTGTTGTCGTGGAAGGTTGCTGATGCGAGACGGTGTAGGAATCGGTTTTGCTCCTCTTGTCGGGAGCGGATCGATGTGAACTCTGTCCGCTACAGTTTCGGTCTGTTCTCCCACTTCATACTTCGGACAATGTCGTGGACAATGTAGCTAGATAGTCGGACAATGAACAATACTTGTTTTATGGACGAGGCGAGACAGTGCCTGAACCGAGACGTGGCTGACCCGAGCCCTAGCCAGGCCGGGAGGAAATGAAAGTCCCGGGCGTCGGCGCCTAACCCGAGTCCGCGAGCGCCTAGCCGTGTCCCTTACGTCTTGTCCGAGTCGTTGTTCCGCTCATGTGACACCGATCTGTGCACAGGCCATCGACTATCCGCTATTACCGACAGTGAATGAGCGCATCCGACTCCTGATGCGGCTGCGCCTCTGTGTGGGGGATGACATCTATCCGACCCACAGACTAGGGCCTCTCTTGCCTATTTAGCTTGGGCATGAACAGCCTGTCAATGCCACAAGCGCCTCTTCCCTGAACCTTAACAATCTTCAAACGAGCTACTATCAGACACTACAAACATGTTCAACACTCCATCCTGCTCTACCTCATTTACTGCGATGCCTGTCACTCCTTCTCGCCGCACACGTAGCATGCCCCGCACTCCGGAGGACGACAACTTCCCCCCTCTCCTCCTCCCGAGCTTCGCCTCGACCGAATCGGTCTACACTCTCGCCTCCCCGCAAGGCAGCCCGATGAAAGAACATCTCGCCTACCCCGAAGCGCTCGCTCAGTTCACAGCTGGCTTCCTGCCCGAGTCTCGCTCTCGCCCGAGGAGGTTTCGCACTACCCCCGATATGAGGAAGAAACATCTCTCCACTATGCTCTCCGAACGATGCGCTTCCCCGGGCGGGGCGCTCGCTTGCTCCCCCTCAGGGTCGAGGCGTAGCTTGAGTAGGAGGAGGAATACGAGAACCGGGCGTGGAGCACAGACACCCCCCCGCCAGCTGAGCTACCAAGACATGCGAGAACTGCAGAGGCACATGCGCCGCTCGCCCTCGCTGCACGCGATCCTCGTCTCGGCAGAAGAGGACGCATACACAGAGGAACCGCGACCTCTCCCCCTGCTGCGTACTCCCGAGCCATGGATAGTACCGCCTACACCACGGCGCATCCTCCTCCCTCTGCCGAAGGAAGACGCTCCCCCCCGTGCCTCTTACCGCGCTTACGAGGCACACGAGTTCGACGGTTGGCTCAAGCCCGGTCCTCCTCCTTCTCTCTTCCTCCGCATACCTTCCGAACTGTCAGTAGCAGGGCCGAGCCGCCCCGTCTCCCCACTCGCACGCTCCCGAGCACTGAGGCGCAAGTCCCGCTCTGGCTCCCCTGTCCCTCTCTCGCCCTCCACACCCGCTCTGGCCGCCCTGCCCGCCGGAGAGAAGACAGACCCGCAGTCGGAGTCGGAGTCTATCTCCATCACAGACCCTTCACTCCTCTTCACAACACGCTTTGCACCTGCGACGGCACACAGCTCCCCAGCGCTATCGCGCCTCAGCGTTGCCGACTTCCCTGCCCCGGGAGTGCAGGGTGCGAAGTCTAGATCTGTCTCCCTACCCCTTTCTGGGAGGCCGAGATCAAGAGTCAGCCAGATGCTGGGAAACGTCTGGAACTCTATTGGCTTTGGGGCACGGGTGATGATGTAGGGACGCGGCTGTTGACAGAAAAGAAGACACTTGTAATCAGCTAAATCATTGCATGCACTATGCACATATGAAGCAAACAATATACATTATAATCACTTAAACAGACTGCAATGAGCGCGCATACATGCAGGGTACTGCGACTGCCAGGATGACACGCCATAAAAGCCCCCGTCTCGTTTACAATCTGGCGGCTGAGTGTGCATATATGCACTCCTTGTCGAGTGAAAGACGGTGCGAAACGAAATGAATGCGATTTTGTCTGTTGTACAACTAAGGATACAGCGAATGCACGGTCTAAAGATACACATCTTCTCTCGATCTACTCGTACACCAAGTCATACAATAGCGGGAAAGCGACATGTATGCGCCCACCACGCTCAGAGGGAGATGGGGCTGCAGCCAACGTTGACGAGGCCATTGTACGTTTGGTCGCCGCTGCAGCAGACCGGGATGGCGTTACATGTCTCGCCGCTGGCGATCGACCCCAGCGGGCTGCAGTCGATGCCCAAGGAGGAGCCCGAGTCCGGTTGCGTTGATGAGTCGAGGCGGAGAATGGAAAAGATCAAATTGGCGGTGGACGACTGGTGCTGGATGAGCTGGTTACAGCAGTGCTGGCCGGCAACGTTGCAGTCGCCCACGGGGTTGCGCTTCTCTGCACCCGACGTGATGATGTGCGTGGCATGCGCGTGGGGCGTGTGTGTGCGCGTGTGGGATGGTCGGTGGGTGTACTCGAACTCCCGGTCGGAGATGGCATGCAGCCGCGGGTGCAGCGTGGGGGATGCAAGGGCGGGTTGGAGAGCGGCGAGGAGGAGGAAGGGGAGTGTGATGAGTGTGCAGAAGCCGTGCATCCTTGGAATGAGTGTTGGGTTATTAGGGTAGCGAACGTAGGTTACCAACGAAGGATATGTTTGGGTGGTGGGCACCGAACTGTGATGGTGCTGGGAGGTGGGACGATGGTGGTGGGCGAAAGAAGGAAAGGGGGGAGAAGAGGTCGGGTGGTTCTTATATACCAGAATAACGCCACAGAACGAGTCGATCGGTGCACGGGCCATGAACGGACTGCAACACGTGTGCTGAGTGGGGATCGAGTGTGATTTGGCGAAGAGTAAGACTGCGATGTACTTCAGGTTTCCTTTTCTGGACACGAGATGACCGATGGAGACCCGCGGAACAAAACGCTATTCCGAAAACGGTAAGCGATCGCCACAGAACACCCGTAGAACACGATCGGAGTCTCACCTGAATCTCTCTTGATAGTCGACGCCGTATTCAGCAAGCACCCAGCGCCACGGACAAGGGAGAACGTGTGTCATGAACTTGGTATTTCAGTTCGCTATTCTATCGTACATTGTTCTGTCGGCACTCACGTGTTCGTAACAGTGGTATGAAATCAACCCATCAGAATGTCTTCGAAGGCCCGCTTCTTCTGCTAGCCATATAATACACAGGAAAGTCATGGTATGTCCCAAAACACAAAGAACGAAGGATAGTCAAGCCACTCTAGGCAAATACGCTTTGTAAATGCCTCATCCACCGACAAGCGAAGCAAGCCATTGTAATAGGCGGAACAATATTGAGCCCCTCCAACCGCTTCGCCTGTAGTGGGTTGTTAATCGCAATCGCCCACTCGCGAGCACGATCCACTGATCGTCAGGCTGGTCGCCCGTTGCTGTAGCCAGCGCCTCCACATCGCGTTTCCGGTCTGGTGTCAGCAAAGGGAAGCGTAGAATCTCGGCCGACTTCTTGATCTCTGTCGGGAAAAGAGCGAGAAGGTGGACGATGCATGGGTTTGTCAACTCCGCGGGGGACACCCATAAACGCCCATGTGAAATAGCACCAGGTGGTCGTCCCGGTTGCATGTTCATGTAAATTGAGGGATCGGGAGAGGCAGATAGAGGTGGAGTGGAAGGGTCAGTGAATGGGTCCGAGGAGGACCGGTTGCGTCCAAGCACAGGTGGTGGCGGAAGGGCAATGTCGACCAGTGAAGTGTCGTCAACGGAAGCATTTGGCTCGTTCGCTGGGAGCGTGTCCGAAAATCCCAGAATGCCCTTGAGCATTGTGATTGCGTCGCGCATGAACTCCTCGCCCCTATCATGTGCTTGTCAGCTGCTGACCAACGCGTGTCGCATGTTAGAACTTACGCTGACTCCATGAAGACGGCGTCATCCAACTCCCATTCTACACGATATCCTCCGGCACCACCTTGATGTTCGGATCGAGCCATTAGGCGCAATGTACAGTACAGTCCCTCGAGGAACTTGCGAACACCGGGCAGCGTATCCATTGTCTTGGCCCACTCCCTCAAGAACGCCGAAAATTTCCCCTCCCTTTCTTTCTGTGCGGCTTTACTCTGAGGTCGCGCGCGAGAAAGAGGTGTTAACGAATGTAGCGGAACAGTTGAGCTGAGCAGGGCAAGCATGGCAGATTGCAGTGCCAGCGTTCTGTCAGCGTGAAATTGTGCACGAATTGAAGCTTGTATGCGAGTGAAACGCGCTCGCTGAGAGGGGGGAAGATTCGACAGGATAGAGTTCATCTTCTGACCTGAATGGGAAGTCAGTACAGCCAAATTATCAATCTCGGGAAGTATCGCGAACCAGATTCATGTGATTGGCGATAGAAAAAATCTCGACATTGTTTCTCAAAGTCTGCAACGTCTTCAGCTCGAGGTTGAGGACTTTGACGCGGAGGGGGTTTCGGCATATGAACCATATTGGGAGGCGGGCTGTGCGCGCTGCCGATGCTCGACCGTGGGCTAAGCAAAGGCAACGCTGATGGAGGCGGGGAATGAGGCGGGGAGCGGGAATGACTTTGATGATTGGCCGTGAGCCGTGGTGTGTATGAGGTGTAGGATTGAGAGAATGAGCTGCTGTTCGACATGCTGCTTGGAAGGGTACGCGACGAAGGCCCACGATGGTAAGATGCGTTGGCTTTATCTATTCGCAGAGGCGCTGGCGGAGGTGCCCGTGCACGGACGGGTGGTGGGTATGAATCGACGAGAGACATGAAGTTGGCGGTTTGTGGTTGATGAAGAGTTAAGCGCAGTAGATGGGGAGTGTTGGTTGCCAGGGGCAAAAGAGCGCCGAGTGTGCCAGGGGTCGCGTCCCCCCTGTACTAAGTAGTTGTAGACAGTGTGAGGGTTGCGCGTCGACGCTGGAATTCCGGGCAGCGTGCAGAGGGTGCGTTGATCGCGAGCTCGCTGGTGGACGTCGGGATGAGAGCGTGTCGGACGCAAGCTGTCGGGTTATTTTGGGGGGATAATGAAGCTTGTGATGGTCCCACACACCCTTCATGGGTTGTGTGTGGTCCTTAGCCTCGGCCGGCGACGCCGGGCCAACGGGTAAGCAACTGATTCCGCGCCGCGCCGTGGTGTCTGACCTCAGCTCACCACAATGACTGCGCGTCAACTGTGTCAATCCACCACCTCCCCGTGTCTGCCCGTCCCCTCTGACTCCCATGCTGTACATTTTACCCGGTCATGGTCTAATGCTAAAGACAGCGTAGTACTGCTATCATTCATATTCTCTCCCCGTTCACCTCATTCGGTAATATCAACAACGCGATATGGCCACTCGGACACGTGTCTCTGGAATGCACGTTACAATCTGCATTGTTGGGCATGGCAGTGTTCCGTTGACTCATGTGGTACGAATTCGGCCAGTGACCACGTCATTGTCATCTTGTCCATTATCAACTGCCTTCTTATGGCTCACGCGTCCCGGATATCCGGTCCCACCAATCATGTGCTCTCCACGCGGACGGCGCCCATCGCCCGAGTCCATGTGGGTGTAAACTGTATGGTTTAAACGCTCAGGACAGATTCTGTTGGGGAGATATGACCAACAACGCGAAATAACGACTTTATTTGGGACAATATCTCCATCTCTCCTGCGTGCGTAAAGTGGAGATTGCCTTCCCATTCCCCAGGCTCCGGAATTACCCTGCGGTCGTAAGGGTCCGGATCACCGATGATAACCCATTATCAGTCACTTATGTCAGCTGAATGGGGAATTATCGTTGCCCTGTCCTTAAACCGCTCCACATTCCTTGTTGATTCTAAGGTAGTACAACATACTTCTGCAGATGATCCGGAATTGCAGACTCCATGTTCTTCGACTGTAACCATGTGCGTGAGAACAGCCGAGTCTGGTACCGATATGCTCCATCGCAAAGGATAGTCACGATGGTTTTACCTTGTATATGTCAGAGTTCATGCTACAGGCGCTCGAGGTTGGCAACTTACCCTTTCCAAGAACCTTGGCAAGCTCAACCGCAGCGACAACATTGAGCGAGGAACTCGCGCCAAGATATAAACCCTCTTCATCCAACAAACGGTACAGCATTTCTACCGTTTCCTCATCTGGTATTGAGAATGAACCATCCATCTGGTCGATTATCGGCGCCATGTTGTTAGTGACGCGGCCCTGACCAATGCCTGCAGGGGAGGGTCAACCGACTTGAGCTGGGCCATTCGACGCAGTACGACATACCTTCCGTAATGCTGCTTCCCGCACGATGCTTCAGCTTGCCGCCAGATCGAATATAGCTATCGAGAACACTACCAGGAGGATCGGCCAGCCAAGTCTGCACGCCCTTCGCGTTCTCCTTCAGATATCGTGATACACCACTGAGAGTCCCACCAGTGCCCGTAGCACAGATGAATCCATCGATGTTCCCCGAGCCTCCGACTTGCGAGAGAATTTCGGGCCCAGTCGTCCGGTAGTGCGTATCCGCATTGGCGGTGTTGTCGAACTGATCGGTCCAAACGGAATTAGGGTCGTTCTCGGCGTGTCGCTTCGCTTGGTGATTGTAGTTCTGCGGATTCTCATATGCGACAGCAGGGACAGGGTAGACCTCTGCCCCCAGCATGCGAAGCAGATCGATTTTCTCTTGACTCTTCACACTGTGTGAGCGAGACGTAAAAGTGACAAGAATTTTGTACAAACCTGCGTATTAGGCATGTATATCACGCATTTATAGCCTCTTGCTCTGCATACATGAGCCAGACCGATACCAGTGTTGCCTGCAGTCCCCTCCACGACAGTCCCACCAGGCTTGAGCAAGCCTGTCATGCATTGTCGGTATCTGTAGTCTCGCTTCACAACACCAGCGTACCACGCTTCTCAGCATCAAGGATAATCCCTAACGCCGCCCTGTCTTTGACGCTTCCACCCGGATTCTGAAACTCTGCCTTGCCAAGAATGGTACATCCGGTTTCCTTCGAAAGCTTTTCTAGCTTGATCTGTTATGCTAGTTGAGCACACGTACAGTGGGCCATACGCGGACGGACAAGAGGAGTGTTACCGATTGCCTCAACCAAGCCCGACACCGTTCCTGAGGTAAATCCTCTCCGAAGAGGCGTCTTTAAAGCAGGGAGGGATCGTACGAACATTGGCGTCTCTATCAACCACGCAAAGTTTCCCCCCAAAGTTCAACAGCCACCACTATTCTGGAGATGATGCAATCGGAGATGAAAAGGGTCCGAACCAGAGCCATGTGCGGAGGCATTCTAAGGGTGAGGACCAGCGCGTCCGACGACGTTCTGTTTCGATTTCGTCCATTCAACGTCGTTGTTTGTCTTCTTAACACCTCCCTTCTGCGTTTTCGCGTCCTGGGAGACCATCACCTTCACTTGTCTTCCGTTCTGGTATTTTCTGTGGCCAAACGTTCTAGATTGAATACACTGTCACGACTCTTTCTACGACAAGATGGGCGGGAATCTCTCCAAGGCGATGGGTGCGCGCTTCGAACTCGTACAGCAATTGCACAGCCCTAATGATGGTCGTAACAGCGAATTTGTTCGGGAAGAAAGAGATGAGATTGCTCATGCTTGGGCTTGATGCGGCAGGGAAGACGAGTGCGTGCCCTGTTATCAAACGCGTTAGACGCGCATGCTTATACCACGTGCTCCCTCCAGCTATCCTATACAAGCTGAAGCTCAACCAATCTGTTACGACCATCCCTACCGGTATGCACGTGCTCGTATTTGAGTGCAACAGTGCGACTGAACATCCATACAGTCGGCTTCAACGTCGAGACGGTAACGTACAAGAATGTCAAGTTCAACGTGTGGGACGTCGGCGGACAGGACAAGATCCGGCCGTTGTGGAGGCATTATTACACCGGCACGCAAGGCCTCGTTTTCGTTGTCGACAGCCAAGACAGGGAGCGGATAGATGAGGCACGGCAGGAACTGCATCGCATCCTCGCTGATCGGGAAATGAGAGACTGTCTTCTGCTTGTCTTCGCAAACAAGCAAGATCTGCCAAGTGGTGCGTGGAGTCCTCGGAATTCTGTGGCTTGTGCTCACTGCGCCGTAGCCATGTCGCCTGCGGAAGTCACGGAGAAGCTCGGCTTGCACCGCATGCGCGACCGTTCTTGGTATGTGCATCCAAGGTCAGTTGCATCATCTCTATCTTGCTCCATTCTTGTCACGCTCACACTTCACCAGTTGTGCGACTACCGGTGAAGGTCTTTTTGAGGGGTTGCAGTGGCTGTCCCAGAACGTGAAAAAGAAGCAGACATAGTCATTACCTTTCGTTCGTCACGCATATACGTTTCTCCTTGATACCCTTTACCCTTACTTATCCTCATACCAAAAGGGTCTTGTTCCTCTTGTCTTCACCTTGTAATAGCTCTTCGACAGAGTACAATCACTGCACTGGGTCTTCAGTTCTATGCTTAAATATGCGGAAGCCATTCAATCGCTCGTGAATATCGTTCTTTCGCTTCCCCTCACGTTAGAGTGGATCTGCGATTGGGTGTCTTTGGCCGCTGCGACAACAAACGGTTCAACTTGATAACCAAAAGAGGCAACCCGACAGGCACCGGGGTAATCGCCAGAACACGAATTTCTGCATCGTTTGCAATTCGCTTCACCCTGCCCGATCAAGATCCACCACATGAGCGGTAGCCACAGTCACGTTCAGTGGCAGCATGGTGCTATATAATCCGATTTTAGTATTGAACACTGGAAGCGCCGGGAGGTATCACAGCTTTCTTTTCATTGGCAGCGATATCAGGCGTTCAATTATCACAGCCGCGTTTGCCGCAAGAATGTCGAAGCGCTCATCCTAAAGCTTCTGACGGTCAGAACCTTTTACTCGGCTGAGTCCGACCAGCATGCTGCTAGACGCCCCTTGCCCAGTCAAAGAGCTTATTCTCATTTTGAATTGTCAGAGAGTGTATGACCGTCGGAGCGCAATACAGTAATCTGGTGAAACTTCATCCCGTTACCGCTGTAAAGGTCCCCTATCAACGGTATCACGCCGTGTCGAAGCGGTGCCATATGGCGCTGTCTAGCAACGCTTTCGATTCCTTGCTGCTTCTAATATTTCAAGGGAGATGTTGTAATCTGTATTGGAGGCTGGGCCGAGGCACAGCTCAGGGCTATTCCCGAACGTTCGGAAGTGCGGAGCTGAATACATAGACTCACGGAGCTCCCCTATACATTTATTATGTCTCACTTCTAGCTCACTCGATGTACCGGATGTCTGCATGTCGTGCTGTATCAAAATGTCGTTGCTGACTCACCAAACCTTTTGTATTTCTATTCTTCGTGTCCCGCTAAAGCATGGACATTTTACAGCGATACACCAACTGACCCCGACGCTAGGGAGAAATTCTATCTTTTATGACCGCAGTGAGAAAGTGTGCAAGGAATTACAACCTCCGACACTCCGGCTTGGCCCTCCGGGCTCTATTGAGGTCAACTCAGTCGGACTAACATCCCACCGGCGGTAACCCATGTGCACCTCTGCGAATACGTTCGCTCATTTCGGAAGAGGAGCCACCCCATATTCTCCAAAACCGTGCATAACCCTGGCAGCTGGAAAAACAGTTCAGGGGCGACGATGGTTTGAGGAACTCGTAGGATGAACATCAAAACTACTTACCTCAACGGACTTTCCACTGTCCAATCGATAAGGTCATACGAAGAACTCTTTTCTGCACCCTTTGAAGAGACCACAGAATCACGGTGACAGCTTATCTCCACGTCGCCTTCTGCGATTTAGTCGCTTGTGGCATATATACAGGGCACGGAACAATGGCCATGCATATCCGGCGGTTGCATGGAAATTGGCAGGGCGGTGGCTGGTGAATGACGTATCAGACGAGCGAGGTGGTGTGACCGGTGCGGGTAACGAAGAGCTGATTCCAAAGAAATGGCCAGAACACTCCGATCTGGGGGGTCGCAGACAATGTGTCGACATGGATATAAGGTACCCTGTCCTCAAGAAGCCCTTCACAACGGGAGACATCTACAATCTTTATTGTATATTTACCCCTCCACATTGATGTTGAAGACCATCTTCATTGATCTAGTCCATGTGGTCATCGACAGCTGGACAGATCTGCAAGGAAGTCGTTTCAGGAAAACGACCCGCACGTGAATGCGAAGGCATGCACTCACTGCCTTGTTTGCAAGGAACCTGGCCGAACCAATCGCACCGGGTACTAATACTTGGTGACCCCAAACACGCCGGGCATTCCGAACTTTCCAGTGTCATTCAGATACGAACTCAGTTCGCGTTAGTTTACGGAGGCGTCCGTTTCGGGGTTCCCCGAAAGAAGATGATCCAATAAGCCAGATGAGACTTTCTCGAGATGTTGTCCCACAACGGATAGTTTCCGGGAGTGATCTCCCCTCTCTCCATTCATTCGGAAGAGGGGTAACTTCGACAAGATAGGCAAACCAGACGGGGACCGACCCTGAAAGGGGGGATGTGATGATGAAAAAATGGTAGGAATGATTGCGATTGGCTGTGCTTACGGTAGGTGGTGGAAACAACCCGAATAGAAGCGAGATGATGGGTGTGCGCACAGGATGAAGAAGAAAGATGGATGATGTTCGGATTGCCGTGCACGGCGCAATAAAGGGATGCTTTACCAGTCCCTGAGCGGAACCGGACCAATTGCGACAGGTGTGGATGTGAGTGGTCGGAATATTATAAGTAACTAGGGGGCATTGAGGAGGGGCCGAAGGTAGGGAGAAGGAGTGAGATCGTTTCAAGGCAGATACTCTTATTCCTTTTAGCAGAAGCGAGAAGAGGTGATAACGGCTCATCTTGATAATCTGCCTACCCTCTCCTCAAGGCCTTCCCTTTTGCTTACTGCTCTGTCATCAAGCCGTTTGACGGACTTCGACACCCTATTTCAGACAAACGTTTGCTTCCGCCCCCAGTCCCCGGCTGTCGCTGTCAAGTCGGCGGGCAGTTCACCCCCCACCCTTAACCCTCTGCACGTCTCCTCCCCCGTGCAATCATCTACTCAACCTCAATCCTGGCGCTCCTGGTCCCACCGGATTTCGACCAAGTCTCTGCTTCTCATCGATTTCGCGCCTTTCGCTCAATAAACATGGTCGAGTCGCACACGTCGGCAGGACCCGCTAATCTCTGGTCTCAGCCAATGCCTGAGTGGGGCATGTCCTATGACAGCAACACTTCTGAGCCTGGAACGGCGCGAGGATACCCCGGTATGTCGCTACAATATCTCCAACAGCACCACCTTGGTCGGCAGGAAACGGGCGAGCACCAGACTTTTGGGCAATCGGATGTCGATTCAGCCATCAACGCGCTGCAGGCTCAGCATGTGCGAGCACTCGATGTCTCATCGTCCGATATGGCCATGAATGGAGGTTACGCCCACGAGATGGGAGCCAGTACTATGGGAGGGGCGATGGCTGCTTCTGGAGTCTTCGATGTCTACTCGAACCAATCAATGCAATATGCACCCTCAGGATACGACAACTATGGCATGCAGAATCAGGCTGGTTCCTCTCATCCTCATGCTAGCCATCCCCAACGAGATATGACCAATGGATTTGCATCTTTGGCGTCAATTCCGTCCGATTTCCTTTCGTCGCAGCCACAGCTTGGCCACTCTCAATCATTCCCTTCTCTGCCGGATATCTCGCGGACCAGTGGAATCACCGCTTTCACCCAGGCACCGCAGCCAACGCCTGTACCACAGCTTGACCGAAATAGCCGCTATCCTGGTCTCTCGATTGATATGCCGCCAAATCCCATAGAACAGCACTTCCAATCGGATTCATTCTCAAACGATTATCCGCCTTCGTCATTCCAAAATAGTCTCCTTCATCGGCACCGGGGAAGAAGCAGCACGGTATCGTCTGCGGCATCCTCCTCTTCGGCTGCGATTGAATCTCCGCTGTACGACTGGGATGGCTCAGACAATGGAGCAACGTCCGATTATTCGCTCAATGATCTCGGTGCTATCGGAGCCATGCAGGATTCTCCCTTCAACAATTTTAATCTCAACCTCGGAGGCTATCAAGCGCCGTCGTTCCACCGGTCGCATTCCCTGCCACAGTTGCACGGCGTGCAGGCTCCTGCTCTGCCCCATTTCCTGCGCAATCAGCCTTCAGGGCTAAATGAGGGGACATTAAATCCCATGATATTGCCATCAACACTCCCCACACCTCCCACTTCCAAGGGACCGAGTCCTGTGATTGCAACAACTGGTCACGCACATTCGGTGTCCATCGACCTCGCAACGCCCAGGTATGAGACTGAGCTGCGCTTCCCAGTCATGCCGCCCCAGCGCTCCATGTCCGCGGACGGATCTCAGCTTGAATCCCTTGACTTGGACCCAATCACCCTTCAGAGGAGCATGGAGGGCCTCAGCCGTGGCGACATACAGGCCGTGTTACAGTACGTGTATGCGCACCCATCCATGATCCCCACTTAACCAATATGCAGACCGTATATCGAGAAATACGTCAATTCTAAAAACAGGTTCGCTGTTGGCGAGCGGAGCGTGATGGTGATGTCACCAAAGGTCGGCCAGAAGTCATATGGGACTGAGAAGCGCTTCCTCTGCCCCCCTCCCTCTGTGATGATGATTGGGACTTCTTGGTTCCATCCTGCGGCAGGGTCATCCTCCTCGCGTGGCTCCCCGCACTCCGGTGGTTCTCCTGTAGCAGCTGGCTGGGCCACACCAAAAGTGAACGTTCTCATGTCAACGCAGGACATTGACGTAGATGTTCCGCCCGACCACGCCATTGAATGGTGTCTGCCTTCTGGAGAAGCGTTCCAGCCGGATAATCCTCCCAGCTTGAGCGCTGGGCCATTCTTTGGCCGCTTCATGGGCAAGTCTTTGTATATTAGCGATGTTGACGAAAAGAAGAAAAAAGTAGAAGCCGTCGTGAAGGTCTTCGAAGCCGGATCAGATATGCTAGTCGGTAATTTTGTCAGCAAACCAATCAGGGTGATCAGCAAGCCCAGCAAGAAGAGGGCAAGCGTGAAGGCAAATTTCGATTGTGGGTACCATAGAGCATTGGAAATAACCTGGTCTCATGTGTTTACCAGTGGTGGTCAACCATGGTTCCACCGTGGCCTTGTTTCATAGGCTGCGTGCTCAAACAGTATCTACAAAATACCTCTGTGTGGCTGGTGCCGGAGCCAATATTCGTGGCTCAGATGGACGCCCTCTTCTTGGAGCCAAGCCAGAAGACCAACAGCCTGCATTTGTCGCTCGCACTTCTACATGGGGTGGGTCATACAATCACCGATCCGCGCTTGGCTGACTATGCTCCTCAGATACTTTCATCATATACATTGTCGATGTCAACTTTAAGGAGGGCGAAAACACCCAGACTCACCGGAATGCATCACTCCCTGATTATCCGGCTCCGCCTCCCGCCGCGTTGGTCGGCTTAAACAGCCAGACACCAATTTACTACAACCAGACTGTGGTATTACAGTGTTTGCTGTCCGGTGTAGTCTCACCGATTCTTATCATCCGTCGTGTGGACCACAATGCTGTTATTGTCGGTGGTTCTCAGATGGTCGACCAAGATTGCAAGCTCCGCCCCTCCCAAACAGCACCACATGACCAATTCTGTGCCCCTGGCGAAGTCTGCGGCGATCCCGTCAGCCAGCTGCACAAGATCGCCTTCGAGGTCTATGATGCGAACAAGCGGGTGCCAACATTCGAGGAGCTCGGTACTCCAGGATCGTACCTCAGCTGCGCCGTTGATAAGGTGAACACCTTTACACCGTCCGAGCGGCGATGGAACAAGTCGTCCAGACAATCCTCGACTGAAGCGCCTGGCGTGCCTATGCTGACCACAAGGAATAGCAGTGTCTCGCCTTCGCAGGGAGAAGACTCGTCCTCTGGACCGTCTTCACCTGCTCCAATTTTCCGCAGGCCTGGCACACCGGCACCCACGGAGATGCCTGGAGACGGAGGCAAGGTAAAGCGCAAGCGTGGCAGTATCAGCGCTGGCCTGGTAGGCAAAGTTGCAGAAACTGCGGCTGCCCGTGGTAAAAGGAGGAATTCTGCCGCAAGCGTCCTCCATGCCAACGGTGAGGCACAGCAACCTGGTGCTCGGAGGGCGACAGAGCCGGGAGAGGCGGAAATGTCCAATGGCAGCACGTGGAACTGCGATGTTTCTGATGCATGCGTCTGGACGCTGGTTGGAACAGGTGAGGATGAGTGACCCTAAATGCCGTGCATATATTGATGCCGTAACAGAATTTGTCCGATATAATTTCTACGTGCCCCCGATCCTGTACAATCTGCCGCATACATCAAGCATCCCCCGCTTCCCTTTCAAGCCCATCACCCCGATGCCCACAATCGTCAAGTACCTGCCTCCTGACCGTGCTAGCGAGCTGCCTCGTCAGCATTTACAGCACTTCCAGCAACCCGAGGTGAACCACAATGGTGTGGTTGCTCAGACCGCAGTGGGCACAACAAAGCCGCCCGACCCGGACATGCTCACGCTGTACGGCCAAAACTTTGATAAAAGCGAGCCTTTGCTCGTCTACTTCGGGAGTGAACCTAGCGCGCACGTCGATATGCGCTGCTCGGAGGTGCTCCAATGCCTGCCGCCTGCCAAGCTTGAGCATGACGACCACAACAGCAACAGGAGGGGAATGCTGCTCGTTAGGCGCGCAGACGGCATCATCTTCCCGAGCAGCGTGCTGTATCCTTGAGGAGGACATCTCACGCAAAGCCATCTTACGTTTGGATTTTAGGTGTATATCTCCAAGCGCTATACCCTCGTCTATCTTCTGCTCTTCATGGTTACCGCTCCGTTCTTTCCTGTTTGTCCTTTCGAATGTCTGCGCTTACATATGAGCGACTGGGTCCGTAGAGTGCGGCGCCGGGCGTTGTCTGGCTGCTGCCATGCGGCAGTGTAGAAATAGTGTTGTAAGAATGTGAGGATGGATGGAAAATTGCAACAGCTTTTGAATCTATTGTCCTGTTTTTTAAAAGTGAATCCTTCACTCTATCGAGTCGGAAAGGGATGTTCGCGTGACAGTATTGTTTGTGATGACCAATGTTGTGCCCTGATGACGAATATTGTTCATGACGTGTCCCTTGGTGACATATTGCGCGAACAAGTCGACAATCATCTAGTCCGGTCCGTGTCCGCTTGTCCGATCTGTGCGTATTTATACCCTCACCCTCCCTCCACAGATGGAGCAGTCATTCTCCCCTTCACTTTCACACGCTTGATAACACGAAGTATGGCCACCGCTGTCGCCCCACTCACGCTCTACACTAACAAGGTGCGCATATCTCCAACCTCTTGACATGATCATAAGCGAATAACCGCCAGGGCTGCCCATACGCCCAACGTGCCGTCATCGCACTCAAGGAAACCAAGATCCCGTATGACGCAGTTGAGATCGACCTGCAGAACAAGCCTGTCTGGTGCGTTCCCCTCTCCCTCTCCGCAGCGCCCCTGCTAACATCGACACAGGTATCAACCGAACATCAACCCTGCTTCCAAAGTCCCCGCAATCGTGTACGGCGCCACTCAGGCGGACAAGACCGTCGCCCCGCCAAACACGACCAAGCTAGCGGAATCCCTCGTCCTAGTCGAGTTCTTCGCCGACCTTGTCCCTTCCTCCCACCTGCTGCCGTCCGACCCTGTCGAGCGCGCCAAAGCAAGGTTCTTCATCACCCTCGTCGGGGACAAGTTCAACCCCGCTTGGCAGGGGCTTGCCGCCAAAGGTGAGGGGGAAGAAGCCGTGCTCGCAGCAGTGAAGCAGATTGCTGGGGAGCTGGACCCCCAAGGTCCTTATGCGCTGGGCAAGGAATGGACCATCGCTGATACCGCTATCGCCCCTTTTGTGGGGAGGCTGTATCTGATCGCGAAGGAGGATATAGGTGCTTGGGAGGCTGGAACTGGACCCAAGCTCTTGCAGCAGCTTGAACAGGTGCCGCATTGGGATCGGTATGCCAAGGCGCTCCTTGCCAGGGATAGTTACAAAGAGTCATTCCCTACCGTGAGTATTCGTTCCCCGGGCAAGATATATGCTGACATGGGAGTAGGAATACCTCTCAGAAAGGCTCAAGGAGAGGTTTGCCGCTCAGCGCAAGTGAGGCCTCTTCTTTACTGTATCCCTCTCTGCTCAGTCCCATAGTCCCGAGCTCGTCTGTAACCGCGTCCTCGTGTGAAGCGCTGTATCCCTGTCTGAGATATGAATAAAAGAAGTGATGCATTGCTAGCCTACTTCATACAGATCCCCGTCAGGGGGTGGGCCACATCGTGTCGTGGAAGATCATAGACTACATGGAGGTGCATTCGGAGTTGTTGATTCCTTGAGTTTGGGAGGAGTTGGGTGGGGATGAAGATAAAAAGGTCGTGGGATAGGATAGTGTAGGCATGAGTCCGTTGTCGTAAGGTGACCACGCCGGGTCATTTTTGGGTATCATGTGCTTTGCCGGCTACGCTAGTAAGCGCCCAAGGCGAGCGTAGTGCCGGATATGGAGCTTAGCTCCTTTTGGGTAGTTCAGTCGTAGACGTAGCCGTCCAATGATGTTCCAAGAGTCCTAATCGGGTGGTCGAAGAATGCGAGCCGCAGCCGGTGTCCTTGGCCCAAGGTGTCCCAGAAGGGCCCCTAACCTTGCGAGATCTGGGATTTCCACGGACGGACAACTTCAGCAGGCTTGAGTCTGACGGTATACTGCAGTCGCTCCAGTTCGTCTCGCGTTTGTGTAGACTGCCGGAACGTCAGGAATTAGTTAGCATGAGAAAGGGGAGGAAACCTACCATCCGCGTGGGAGCGTCGCTCGTTCCCGTCCGGACGGAAGCGTTGTCCTCCGTAAGCATCCCATTTCCCTCTTCCTCTTCCCTCACAGCCTCCTGCCCCGCCCCAGTCACGCTTCCTCCTGCAGCCCCGTTAACCGGTGCGCCCCTGTTGATCCTCACTCTCCGTACTTGGAACGCATTCGTGCTCCTGCCCCTTGATAAGCTCCTCTGGGCACTTGCACCTCGCGAAGAGGTACCGAGCGAGCGGGGAGAGGGGTTGCGTGACGTGCTGGGCGTTTGGGGCCCAGTGGGTCCAGTGAGGAAGGGGTTGGGCGCTCTGGGGCGCACCATAGTCCTACACAGCTGGGTCAGCTCCTGTACCGAGAGATAGGGAGTATGTGAAATGAGAGGACAGGAATAGAAGGGAAAGAGACGAACTCGACCATCCCCTCGAATATCCCCTGCAACTCGTCTTCCTCATCCTGCCCTAACTCGGCTTCTGGGGGAGGCACAGGCAGTGGCTGATGGTCGATTATCGGCGTGCTGTCTCCTGTCAGGAGTGATATAGTGGAGAGAAAGGAGCTTACGATGGTGTGCCGTCAGAGGGGAAAAGTCGGGTTGTCTCTGTTGGCTATAAGGGGTTAAACTGTGCCTATAGGAGAGAGAAAAGGAGTAGACGTACATATGAGTCTGGTGAGTGCCTGTCAGGGCGTATACAGCAGGCAAATAGGTCCATTGTGACTATGTGATCCTTTCCAATGCCAAGTAATGCAAATCAACAGTGGGTATGCAGTAATAAATACTAATGCTGGTGGCTTGCAATGAGCACAATATGGTGTGCTGTGGTGTAATGTAGCGGGAGGAAGAGGGGCGAGAGGGGAGGAGAGAGACAGAGTGACGTGACCACACAAGGGGAGGAGTCAGGGTGCAAAGTCCTCTGTGGAAAATCCCTCTCTTCTTCTCCTTACTCCGCTTTCGGGTCACTCTTCCCCGATACGGCGATAAAGGTGATTGGGCGCCAAACAAAGTCACGGTCCGACTCGGATCGAAATCTGGTTGCTACTTATGTGCAGGGTAATTTATAGCAATATCAATTGATATAGACGTCAGTAATGCACCGCCTCTTGAATACTGATGGTGGCTGGAAAGGGTTTTCAGCTGCTTAAACTCGGGGTATACTGCCCTGACGGCCCTGGGGTGTCCGAGCTCAACACGCAAGTCGGTCAACGCACTGGCTTACTCACACAGGTACATGCCGCCGGGCTCTTATCATTGTAACAATGTTTCGCGGAAACCGGTATACAAGTATAGGAAACGACATTACAACCCCAGCATAGAACATACTCTCTACTCTCGCACTCTATACAAACGTATCCTTAGTGACCAGGCCCAAGACCGATCCTGGCGCCGGGCCTCCATTCCCGGTCATTCTGGTCCCTTTTCCTCTTCTTGCTTGGACTCTTCCCCGCACCATTCGTCTTCATCCCGATCGTAGCATACGCCCGCCCCATCGCATCTGCAATATACTCGAACATGAAGGTGGTCACCCGGTTGTTACTCCGGATGTCGATGAACTTTTCGCGCGTCGCTCGTCGGAGACCGTCGACTTCTCGTGCCTTGTCCATTTGTGACGCGTTCCGGATCGTGTGTAAGAGGAATCCAATCATCACTACTTCCACAGGCGCAAGTCGGTCTATGCAAAGCATCAGAACATGCCGGCTCAGTAGGTCAAGTGGACGCACCAGCAATGCCTACGAAGGCATATGACGTCTCTGGCTTCAGTGCGAGACCCAGGTAGTCTCGGAACACAGCATCCGCCTCACGCTTGAAGTCATCCGACGGCGGATCCTCGTTCCGCAACCACTTGTCCAGCAGCGCAGCGGTAGGAAATTGGAAACGTTCAGGCCGCCAGATCTGTAGCCGTCAGCGTAAGATTCAAGACAATCCAGGAGGACTTACGAGGTACAATATTTGTGCCGCAAATTGAAAGTCTTGTCCACGGTTTCGCGTCCACTTGATGGCATCTAACCGCGGATTAACCTCTACATGCAGGTTGACCGAAGAGGCACTTACTACTCAGTCCGTCCGCGATATATTGCTTGCTTAGCATCCGAACCATATCCGCCCATGGGGATGAGATAGCGTGCATTTTCTCTGCGAATGTGTGAGCACTCCTGGCGCGTCATCAAGCGGATACGTACCCGCTGGACTGAGCTGCATTCCATACTGCACACGCTTGAATATTTCCCTCTCTAACTCATCGCTCAAATGATCCCACTGAACTACATAACGTCAACCAAGTCTGACTCACACCGTCAGGGTCACCTTCAGGGCCGAGGATGCTCACCACAGTAGAGCGTTTTGCTCTTGAACAGCCTCTTCCAGCTCTCGGGAAGTAGGGCACCCTTTCTTCCCTCTGGAGCAGTCCAGTAGTATCTCCGTTTTGTACTTCTATACAGTGATGTTAGACTTTCTGGCGCGTCGTAATGGAAGATTCAAGACATACCGATGGATATCTATGTCATACCAATCAGCAGATGGCTCATTTTGAGAGAGTAATGCTCACAAGGGATAGCACCGGACATAAACCGGACGATACTGGTCAATCTCTGCTTGCCATCCACAACATTCATCACAGCGTATTCCACATCCGGCTCCTCGGGATCGACCTCTACGCGTGCGGCGAACAGAAGCTGTTGAGGCGTCAATGTTCGTGGCACGCAGTGTGAAAGCTTCGAAACGCACTGGAGGCACATAGAAATCGTTGATAATTGAATCAATTATGTTTTGTTGATTGGTGGGGTTCCAAACGGCCTCTGTCGGGAAAGGATCAGCAATGCGATGACTAGGCCGCGGCGATATGTACCTCGTTGATAGTCTGGTGACGTGTTTATCTCTCCAGTTTGTACCCCAGCTATAACATCATTAAGCGTACGCGTTCCGGCATGGGCTGTGTGCCTATACATACCGAATAGATCTGCCACACTGATTTGCACCATCTTACTCGGTGGCAGCTCCCACTCGGGTTCAAGCGTGTCTCCTTCCTCCAGCTGATCTAAGTCGTCCTCCTCCAGTGAAGGCACCGCTAAAAGATCCTCCTCGGCCTTTACAGCCATGGGTACGGATGATGGGTTGTAGGGTACGTTTGAAGAATGTGGGAGGAACGGTGGTAGGCCGTTTGGTTGTGAGCCCATCTGTTGTTGTGATCGTCAGGAGTCAACGAGATCAAGGGTCCCGGCTAGAGGCGGTGCTCAAAACTCGGACGCGTCAAACAAATGTGACGAACAAGGAGTACAGTAAGTATAATTCCTTCACCAATTCCCAGGTGATCAAAGTAATCTTTCAACACGATCGCTCAAATATGCTCTCGCAAATGCCGTTGTAAGATACATGATCGCTGAAAAATATAGGGACATGAAATCATGGTTTGGATCGCTTGGTTCCGAAAATATCTGTGAGTCGAAAGTCCATTTCTGCATACGGAACTCAAACACCCGTAACCTAATTAAGGCTCACGGATATCAAGGTGAGGACACCAAGATGTCTTCATACTATAGTACCATAAGGTCTCCAGAGCCATTCCACCACGTATTACTGCTTGTAGTGCTGTGGAGGTCTGGCGCAGGCTGGGCTCCACATGAGATGGTCCCAGTCTCCTGGAGCATCTCTGCACACCTCCGTCATCCAATCTCATTCTCATGTATACGTAACATACACGGTTGGTTGATCATCATCTCAGCCCTTAGAACCGTGCGAGTTAAACGCCTTGTCATGCCGATGCGACGAAGGGAGGGACTCGACTAAAGCGGTTTGCACTCTTCTGCGACTTGTCGTTTCGCGTTACCAAATTTCCCCTGCCCTATCAATTCATCGCAGCACGAACTAATTCCTTTATGAATGTTTGAAATATAAATCTGTAGTTGGAGTAGTTAATCCGATTTATAATCTGTCCAAGGGTTTCGGTGTTGTTTTCCCCGCTTGTCCAGTCACGAAGGGTGCGACACGCGTCGTCACCGACCTTCTCCGGCTCAGATGGTCGGTCACCTGTTTTTGTAACTGTTTCTCTCTAAACTCTATAATACAAGGAATGGCCCCCTATCCCAATGCCTCGTTCACTGTTCAGCTCACTCCGTCCGACCATGTCAAAGCTCGCCCTTCGTTCTAGTCTTGTCCGTGGGACTGTCAACCTCCCGGGTATTACATTCGAATCCAAGGCGCTTACGAAGAAGCTGCTGGAGCGGGATTATGTCGACCATCATTGTTACTTTAGGTGAGATCCTGATCCAGAACGATGTACTGTTCATGTATTGAGCATCCGCGCAGAACCAATGGATTCCATAACCACTTGAACCATCAGTAAGTGTTCTGGGGCACACAGAGTCCAGCACTGTCATGCCGACCCTGTCGATCCAGCCTGCTCGCTGCTTACGACTTGGGCGCCCCGCCTGCACTGCTGCAAGCGATATACGATGCTGAAGCGAGTTCCCAACGTCCTCTGGACGGCGAGGGTACGCTCAAGGATCTTGTCATCGATCACAAGAATTGGACGGAATACGTGGGGAAACCTGAGTGAGCAACTTCGCTTTACCTAATGTATCCCCTAGTAATATTGTTCAGCGCATATAAAGCTTTTCTGGAGTTCTTCTCTCAGGAGATCCAGGACCGGGGAATGACGGACACGTTTGAGAAGTATGTCTTTGACCCCTCTGCCAATGGGAACGGGACGGAGATGCTAGCGAGGTTCTCCAGCGGCGCGTGCGTGTCCTAAGATCGCACATTCCAGCCATGCGCTGAATATATGCACCAGGTACCATCCCCTTATCCAATGCGGATACGGGTTTGAATTCCAGGATGCTCTCATTGTGGCCGAAGGTACGCGTGTTCTCTTTCAGTCTGCGCCTTTACTTACAGCATTTTGTCAGGCCTCGCTCAGGCAGCAATTCACCCCGCTTCAGCTGCCCCAGTACTTCAGGAGCCTCTCTGTCCACCCGTATCACCCAATTCCAATCAAGTGCACAACGGCACTCGCCAGCCAGCGTACGGCAAGAGCGTGCTCTCTATCCTCAGGGCCGTGTACGACAGCGACAAGCTCATTCCGGTCATGCCCTATGACCCAGACGCACTCTTATCTAAGCGTATGCGCGATTTCCTCTCCGTCCCACGCGCGGAGCGGCCTGCGGAGATCGTCCGCCTCTGCTCCGAGTGGTCCGCACCCCTTCCCTCGTCTTCCGAGCCTGCCGCTCTGGCAGCATTCGAAGCCGATCTTGCGGGGAAAGTCGAGGAGTGCATGTGGCTCGCCACGCTGCTCACCTTTGCTACGGGCAAGAAAGGGCGCAAAACGCGGTTGGACTTCTTCATGATGCACACCCTCACTTCGTCGCTCTTCCTCGCGCCCACTCTGGCCGCACTCAAGACGCCCGAGTATAAGGTTGCCTACCTCCAGTGCTGGCTTAGGGGGGCGATTATGTTCGTCATACTCCGTGGAAGGCCGCGTATCGACCCGGAACTACTTATGTCGTATACCGCGTTCCCACAGCCGTCCAGGGGGTCCCAGAGCGCACAGGCGAGCAAGGATGCAGTTGGCCAACCTGGGAAGGCAGACCAAAAGAACCCTTGGATGCAGTTGCTCGCTTCTGTCCTGTATACGCCCGATTCGCACACCATCAAGGTGATGCGTTCGCTGGTTGCCGCCGAACAACAGTATGGGACGACACCGCCCGGAGGCGTAATCGGCGCTTTTGAAGAGGATGGGAAGACAGAGACTCATGCCGGTGCTGCGAAACTCGATGGGTCTGTGTTTGTCAGAGCCGCGGGTGTTCTGATGGATACGCTTGGTTGGGTTGACTACGGGCAAAAGGAAGGGGATTGGGACAGGAGCGCATTGGGATGGGATGACGCCTGGAAGAATGACGACTAAGCGCCAGGGCATATTCTTATTTTGCGGTATGACTAGTGTCGAGGTGATGTACATGGAGATCATCGTTTCGAGGACATGAATTATGCATATTACGGCTACTGGGGAGTAGAGTATGCGTGCGTTAAGTCAATGGTCCAAGATGCTGAGTCATACAAATCATTACTCGTCGTGAACGTTATGATAGCCATTCTCCTCGTCATTCTACACGGAAGTCAGTGACTAGTCTCCGTGATGGGACTGCACATTACCTCTCCAGGGATCGAATCGAGTTCATCAAGATCAAAGACGGCTTCTTTGATGATCTCCACCGCATGCATAAGATCCTCCTCAGAAATCACCAGCGGAGGAGCAAACCGGATGATATGGTCCCTAGTCGGCTTGGCCAAGATTCCACGGTCTTTCAAGAGCAAGCACAGCTGCCAAGCAGTCCTACCCTTAGTGGACTTGGACTCGTCGATCACGAGCGCATTGAGCAGGCCCTTGCCACGCACGGTCTCGACGAGCGGGTGGTCAATCGCCTGCAGTCCAGCGCGGAATTTCTCGCCCAGGACCGCAGCACGCTCGGCCAACCGCTCGTTAACGAGCACGTCCAAGGATGCGATGGCCACTGCGCAACCCAGCGGCCCCCCACCAAAGGTGCTACCATGCTCACCGGGCTTGATGCACAGCATAACATCTTTGTCCGCCAAGACTGCTGAGACTGGAAATACTAGGTAGAGGAAGTTAGAGACAATACGTACGGTTGATGGGCTGGGATAAGGGTTGGATCCAAAGCTTAGACCGAAAACTCACCGCCTCCGCCCAGTGCCTTGCCAAGAAGAACCATGTCCGGACGAACGTTCTCGTGCTCGCATCCCAGCATCTTGCCTGTGCGGCCAAGACCCTGCGGAGGATTTAGCACAGCAACATGCATAAGGAAAGCGCATACAGTTTGGACTTCATCACAGATGAGGAGAACATTGTGCTTGTCGCACAGCTCTCGAGCCCTCTTGAGGTAACCGTCATCAGGTACAACAATACCAGCCTCGCCCTGAATGGGCTCAACTAGGAATGCAGCAACCTCCTTGCCATGCTTCTCCAAGGCACGCTCCAAGTCACTGATGTTGTTATATCGGATCCTCCCCCCGTCCTTTGCCGAAAAGTTGGGGCATTGAGGACCAACCCGAGCCAAGAACGGCCCAAAGCCATTCCTGCTCTCCGCCTCAGTGCTCATGCTTATAACGGCGATTGTCCTTCCGTGGAAGTTGTCCTCGGCACTGAGGATAATGGCTTTGCCCTCAGGCACGCCTTTCTTCATGTATGCCCACTTGCGTGCAAGCTTCATGCTCGTCTCGACCGCCTCCGCACCCGTGTTCATGGGAAGAACCATGTCATACCCGAACATCTGAGTGATCTTCTTGGCGTATGCACCGAAGACAGAGTTGTAGAATGCCCGAGAGGAGAGAGTGAGCTTCTGCGACTGTTGGATAAGGGCAGATACGATAGCAGGGTGACAATGACCCTGGTTCACAGCGCTGTAAGCAGAGAGCATGTCGATGTAGCGCTTGCCTTCAGGATCCCATACGCTGTATTGCTGATGAGCTGGGGATCATTCAACAGGCAACAATACTTACTATGATCCTTCAGCACGTTCAAATACGATCGGAAGAGGATGATAGCTATGCAGGTATAAGCATATATCCCAGGACTGAAAAGCATATACACACTTGTGAGCACCATACGTCTGCTCCATATCCATGACCTCCTGGGTCGAGTACTTGGGCTTAGCAGCCTTCGCTAGCGCCCCACTGCTAGCTGTGCGAGTAGGGATATCCTGAACAGAGGGTGCCATCTTGATGTTGTTACGCTGTGCGAGGTCGGTGCGATGTGCAAGCAGTGGTGGTCGTATCGGTGCAAGTTATGTACGACGGCCGCATCGGATAGGGGCGGTAGATGCCGGAGCATGGCTTGTCATATGTTCGGCAAGTGGTTTCGGTGGGAGATGCTTCCGTCTATAAAAAGAAAAAGACAGCGTCATATCGATTGAATGTACTTCCCCACTTTTATCAAATTGAGCCTGGGGACCCTGAAAATAAAGAGTCTCTACCTTCTTCCTTCCTTTAAGAAAACGGAAAAATGAAATCCGTCCTTCTTCATTTGTCCATTTCATTAAATGGGACTGCCCTACGCACCTCCAACATGGTCCTTCATCCTTCCCGATGTCCCAAGAGATCCACCCACAAACGTCGAGATTATTTCTCACAAACACCGTGAGACGCCAGGAACGGTGTGCTTATCTCGCGTAACAACAAATGGTGTATTTCGCCTCCGAAAACAGCCCTGATAATGAGGGGGTCGAGAAGAAAGAAGCGCGCGTCTCTGATTTGCTGGCGTTGTGCCTGCCAAATGCCGGCCCGCCGCAGGTATCCCAACGGCACTGGCTTGCTCAAACTGTTCTTGTTCTCTATACAAGCTGGGACAGGAGCTTGCTGGGACGAGGTCAACCCCTGTTGTGTGAACTGGTGAAGGGGTGTCTGCACGTGAGGTTTGGGTGGAAAGGGGGTGATCAGTGTTGTTCTGGACCTACGTGAAGTTCCCAATACATTGAAACGGATCCTGCGATTCATCAGATAACGAGGCAGTTACTGTCATGTTACTCGCGTCACACAGCGCATACAGCTGCTGTTGCTACACCTCACACGTCCGTGCTCTAGTCTACATCTGCACGCCGTGCTCGTTCAGGACGTCCTTCGAGTGTTGCTTGGAATCCTCGCTCGTGTTGGGATTCTGCAAATGGTATCATCAGTTCGGGTCTTCGACACATATATGCGCCAGGGGGTCCTACCTTGAGGTTCGCCTTGTGACCTCTATGATGCAACTCAGTCTCTGACGGCATGCATGGGCGCATGAATACACATACCCGATGACATTTCCCTCATTCTTGCCTTGCTTGCCGGCCTCACCCGCAGTCATGTTGCCCTCCTCCTCGAGACGACGCAGTTCCTCCTGCGAGTGCTGCTTCGACTCCTACGAGGTGATATGAGCGCAATGGGCAGCATATATGCGGGTATATGCGTACATCGCTCGTGTTAGGGTTGGCGAGATTCGCCTTGTGACCTGTATGCGCGTGAGTGAAGGAACGAGGGGTACGACGACTAAGACGCGCCTCCCATAACGTTACCGGGGTTGGACATATTGGATGATATTTTGGTGAATCGATAGGATAGATTTGGAGAGGAAGAAAGCTGCGTTTCTGTGAAAGCATGTCTGCTGTTGGGTTTATATACGATAGCTGATCCGGTAAGGAACGATGAACCCCAAACCTCAGGATCGCCGATGGTGGGGATGTAATGAGAACATACATACGTCATAATGACCGCTCGGAATCTTCTTGAGCCGATCACAGCTCTTTATTTCATAGATGGGAAGACCACCACTCGATTGAAAGGCAACATATTTCAGCCCCAGACGGACATGGGGTGATTCCGTCAATCGGGGTGCTCACATGATCGTTCTGCGCGACAGAATTCAACATGGTAATACAGGTTCATGGAATTCTCTAGGTATGTGATTGCGGAGGAGTACAAGTGCGTGAGGACATGAGGACTACGGACGTGAACCAAACCATTATAGGGGATAACAATGAGAAGGGAAGAAATTATAGTCTTTTGGGCGGTTCCATTTTGACAGGATCTCTTGAACCTCTCTCGACCAGGACAGGTCTCGATGGTATGAACAATGGTGAAGTAACTGCCATTGTAAAATATCAGTCAAGGTCCATGTTGATCCTGCCTCGGATACAGCATTGTGATCAGCAACCACCTTCACCAAGACGGGTGTTGATAGCATAGACAATGCCGAAGGAACTGCCGGCGGCAAAGCTGCCGACCGCAAGCATGCTTACAGCCCCCCAAACGTATCCTTTCCACGTCACGGCGGCGCCGGTGAAGAACGCCTTGGTCGCCCCGAAGACTAGGAGGACGACTCCGGTGATGAGAATTGAGTAGTAGAGGGCCAGATAGGCAGGTTCAATCCAGAAGTAGGGGAGGAGGGGAATAATTCCTCCAAAGAGGTAGCCAGAGCCGATTGTAAGGGCTGAGATGTATAGGCGGCGAATGGGAATGTCTTCAAGACCCTCACCAAACTTCAGGAAGAAGGCGGTGAGACCCATGTCTTCTGCTCCGATGTCGGTCTCGGCCTGGCTCCCCTTCTCAGCATCGACGGTCTTGCGGGCCAAGTGGCGGTGGCGGATTTCTTTGCCGTCCGCACCGTAATTGGCAGACTCGATCTTGCGGAGCTCATTTGCCACGAGCTGAGAGGCATTCTCGTCGATGCCGACAGGACCGAGAATCTCGTGCACCTGACGGCCCATCTCCCCCTCGCAAAGACGCTCCACACGAGCGTGGGTTTGCTTCTTGAGGAAGCGGAAATGGTCGCGTTCGGCGGAAGAAGCGAGGAATCCACCAACGCCCATGGAAATGGCGCCGGAGATGAGTTCGGCGACACCGCCCAAGACGACAATTCGCGAGTTGCCAGTGCTGGAAAGCCCGGCGGTCAAGGCGAATGGGACGGTCAAGCCATCAGACAAGCCAATGACACTGAAAACAAGTCAGAAACAATTTGGGCGTTAGAACTAAGTTTTCTCACAGATCGCGGACGACATCGGGGTCCAGAAGAACCCTCTCCTTCTTGCCCTGGGTGTCCCTGCAGCAGGCACCATCGGGAACATTGCAAGAGCTGACAGGGGTGGCGGGCTCCGCAGGGGTGGTAGACCAAACGTGACCGTTGGTGGTCGGGTCGCGAGGCGGAAGCGCGACGGAGAGTTGGGTAATGTTGTTGTTGGAAGCCATTGTTGAGGATTGGTTAGTTTAAGAGATGAGTATTTGAGACTTTTGTTGTCTGAGGTCGAGGAGGCCGAGTACGCTGAACTGAGCGATGAGGGGAAGGCGCTCTAAAACCGTCGTACATATAGTCCTTTTCAAATGACATTCTAGTCTTTTCCCAGCTCGTGTGCGGGCCTGTGCTCTGACCAATCAGCGGGTGTCCATTTCGGGGCGCACAGTGGGCACAAGCAGGCAGTGCAAGCAGCAAACGCAACGGGAGCCTGACAAGGTCAACAGGTGGGTTCGCGCCCGATGTTCTCCGCGGGAGCCCTCTTTACGATGTGGCAGTTACCGTTCTGACGTTGATCACCAGGACATGCAATGCCTCGCAAGCGATTGGTCCATCGGACTCCTGCACGGGACTGGGCTCGTGCTTTCTTCCTCATTCATCCCTCAGAAGACCCCCCACTATCTACCTTCCCACAAGGGGGGCCAGCCGATGCGTCCGTTTCATCAAGCTCCGTCAAATCAGGACACGTTCGGACTGTCAGAAGACTGCCTTCTCGTAAAATCTTGGTCTAATTCCATTGCTTCTTCTTCCTTCCGCCCTTCCAGCGTTGACAGCTCTCTCGTCACCAGCATTTGTTGCTTGAGAGAAGAAAGCAGTCCGAGGAGCTGGCAAGTGAAGTTCCTTCTGTTATCTGAGCGACAATTGACCGTGGAAGACGCATGAGGGGCAGAGGCAACATGCCCGATGTTCGTTGCTCTCGCGATTGGCTGTCCCAGCCCGTACGCAGGAAGCCGGCTTTCTTCTCCCATAAATAGATTCCGTCCTATCCACCAATCAGCGCGCATGCATTTGTCTACCCACACAGGTGGATTTAATTTGAGTGCAGACTGCTCTATTATTTTGCCATCCATTCTTCAACGTTGGTTTCGGAGGCAAGACTGAGAGATAACCTCTTTCCGACAGGCGTGTACACCTGTTGGAACAGTGAAAATCCCCATACCGAAATCAGGGGCAGTGCATCTTCTCCAAGGTTCATCTTGAGTAGACCGAGGCTAACGACCATCTGGTCATTGAGCAACCGCGGAGATTGGAATGCTTTAAAACACCCCACTCCAGATTGGCGGACTGTGGGAGGTGGCTTCTCCACCGGATCTCAGGCCGTGTCGAAGTTGGATGGTGCGAGTCATCCTCTTGAACGGCGCTGCTCCCCCGCACTTGACTGCGCTTATTTCTCCGGTAAACGTCATGAGCTTCACATAGATCCGTATATGAGCACGAGCCTGGGATTGCATCAGCAACCTTGCGAGGCCAGAAGGATGACTTTGCCGATCCCGGCCCAATCCGATCTCGCGTCATATCTTTCTCGTCTTGATCGGTCTGCCTTCTTCAGACGGCCGTGCTTTTACTTAGTAACCAACTGCATGAGATGTTTGATGTTGATAGTCCCCGGGAATCATGATAACGCTGTTTTTGCGCTTATCATCGGTCCCTAGGCGAATGACGGTGTCGAGCGAGATATTGATCCTTCGTCACCGCGAGCTACATGCGAGATTGTATACGTGAATATCACTCTGATATTGAGGCAAAGATAGCTGTTGGTTTTCTTGGTGGAAACTTCCAAGAGGAAACTAGAGGAGAATGAGCAAGAAAAAAGCCTGGTATGCACGTGGCTATTTGTCAGCGGGAGCAGTCGGCAAGCCTCGTGCGGCGTTGGGCGCTTGGATGACGCACGCAGTCCAGCACAGGCACCTGCTGCGTGTTGCTCGTCGAGGGCGGTTGTCGATACATACCCCTTGCCTTTATGCAACTGTCGACGGCATTTGCGACTTATGCCTAACGCTCAACCACCTCATAACTCAGCCAAACCGAAGACACTCGTCAACGCCTTCACCGACACCTGGAACGACGCACGCCTTCGTCGGGCACAACGCACGAAAGCTGCTGCTGAGCGTCGCGCGAAACGAAGAAAACCTCAACCTTGGATCCTCCGTAAGCTTGCAGTCGCAGTCGTTCTTGCTTTACTGGGATGGCTCCAATATGTCTATGTGGGAAGGTTGTGTGTGCCGATGATCAGACGCGATGCTGGCACGAGGGGAACGTTCGGACAAGGAGGTACGCGGATGTATGCTCTCCAGCCTAATCACATATTCACACCGAACACAGTCGCATACCTGATTGTCTATGAGGTGCTTTGGATTATTGCGTTATGGTGCTACATTAAGATCATCACTGTGCCACCGGGCTTCGCGAAGGATGTAAGTGTGATGACATAGAGAGGGTCTCGACCCGGGATGACCGTAAACATCCAGTATATCAAGAAGTCACCTGTACCACAGGACATACAGCAACCTAGAGCGACTTCTCCGGAAACCTTCATAGCTTCTACTCAACGGACAAGCAGCGATACCGCTAGACTACCTCTTCGCCCAACGGCCACTCACCCACCTCCTTCATCCCAGTCCGATCGTCCAGATCTGCCCCGCACCATCGGTTCTACCAGCAGTCTTAACTCGAGTCGCTCCCGTGGTCCTATTGAATTCCCAGAGAACAACCCCATCGCACGCCCATTCGGGAGGGCATCTACAACTGCCTTCGGATCGGTCAAGAACCCCTCTCCAACTGGGAAGAAAGAGCCTTCTGAGGCAGAAGCTGCGCCAGGATTCATCAAAGTGCATGCCAGCCGTGTGCCGATATCTAATGGCGCTCTGGCCACGAATGGCGCGAATGGGTCCACGAAGCCTCCCGATCCTGCTGTTCGCCCTTCGTGGGAAGCTGCACCGCCGAGCGGGGAGGCAGAGACTTGGGCGGACAATCTCCCGCCAAGCAGAAGGCCGAACCACCCGGTGTTGACCCCCTTCAGAAGATACTGTTACAAGTGCGAGTTGGTCAAGCCGTATAGGTCGCACCACTGTAGCACGTGTGCGCAGGACGTGCTTGGGTTTGATCATCATTGTCTATGGGTTGGACAGTGCGTGGGAGCGAGAAATCGGAAGGTGCGATATTGATTGGTCTGTCCTGTAGTTCTGCTAACATGTAACCAGTTCTTTATCAATTTTTTGGTATGGGCCGTCCTTCTCTGTGCTTTCACCTTAGCCACTCTTCTAGTTGCGAATGCGAGTCGCGCATATGCCGGTGACCTCGATGGCGAAATGATTGCCATCATTGCGATGTGAGTTCAGTGCTCTTCATTCAGGTATCGTTGGCTAACATGGACGCAGTGCGGGATTCTTCACGATGTTTACCGGAGCTCTGTTATCTTCGCACGTGTGGATGCTGACTGTCAACCTTACAACTATTGAACACATGTGGCTGCAAACCTTGCAGCGGCGAGACACGGTCTCGTTGAGTATGAAGTATTCAATATGGAACTTAGTGTGCGTTGTTGTTCACATCCCGTCGTGATTATTGCTAAAGACGGGTGCAGCGGCAAAGGGCGGCAAAGGCATCAGTGGAATCAAGAGTGGGGTAATCTATCCACTGAGGGCAACATCTGGTGGCGTGGGAGCACACGGGCCAACTGGGAAGCGACCATGGGCAAGAGTTGGTTGTGGTGGATTTGTTAGTACCGCACCTATTCATCAAGAATGTGTGCTCACACATTCACAGTGCCCATTGGCCGCAGCCAGAGCGATGGGCTGTCATACCCTGTCAACCCACGGTTCTCCCCTGAAGGTCGATGGAGACGACGATCCGAATGGCCAGTCGAGCTGCGGTAATACATTGGCATGTTGGCTCTGGAGCCATCCTTGCGCGGACTCGTGTCACTTCACGCACTGTACTTCTATCACTCTAGGATGATCATTGGATCTGTATTATGCCTTCACTGCTTTCTCAGAAGCGGTATGTCTCACCCCTATCGAGATAGATCACACGGTCAGACCAGCCCTCCTTCTCAACTAGTTTCTTAAAGTCTTCGAGAGGAGATAGGAACGCGTCATAATCGTCGAAGCTGCAGGTAGTGAACTAAGCTACGCTGGTCATTCATGCAGAGCACACTCACTGAACAGGAATAGTCGTATCAGGGTTCACGACATGCAGGAGGTTGATACCCTGAACGGCGTCCATGGTCACCATCACGTTGATGACCGGTATAGTCGTGCCTCCCAGATGCAGAAGACATAAGTCAATGTGAGGATGCTTTGTATGGATATCCTGGTAAAGCATCAGCGTTGGTTCCTAGCACAAATGAAATGATTGTCGCGCCTTCAACTTTTCACAGAAAAGAGTGTCCCCGCTGATGTAGATAGTGAACTCGACCTTGTTGTCCTCGTCGAGCAGCTCGATCAAACTGCCCATCACGGGCGGAATAGCATCCATGACCTCGACCATCTCATTGAAAACGCCGATCGTATGTTTCCCAGGCATGCTAGTAATCGTGAACTTCTTGATGCCATCGTGGGTGATCAGCGCGCTTTTCCAGGTATCGAGGGTTATCAGGTGTGTATATCCCTGATTAGCCAGCCCGGAGGTTGCGTGAGGGGTCGAGATAATGGGGATCGAACGCCTGAGCTTCTCGGCTACCACGAGGTCGAAGTAGTCCTCGTGTAGGTGGGAGAGTACTAGATGAAGGATTTCTCAGTTAAGAAGCATCACTGTAACAACCATAAACCAACATATGAAGTCGACGGGAGGGCATTCCTCCAAGTTGAAGGCAGGATCATGCATCCTCCTTGCAGTGACGCCGGGTCCGAGATGGACATGATCTCCCTGGTGGAGGAAGTTGGGATCGGTCATAACACGAACTCCTTTGATTTCCAGAATACAAGTTGCATTGCCCACGAACTGGACAGAGTTTCTGGAATTGTTGTCTTTGCCTGGGAGAAGCTGGGTCGCGTATGACGGAGGGTCAGCGGCTGGGGAGCCTTGGAAGGTCGCCTCGCGTGTCAGCGGCAAATCGAGAACTGTCTGAAGCGCCATAGAAGATCGCGGTACTCAAAGTCATGGGGACTGAGTACAGCGCGTATTTATGGACGAGAATGAGTTTTGGACTTTGCAGTGTGACCAAGGGGAGCAGCGACAGGTGGAAGCCATTGATCTCAGATTTTCCGGAATACAGTACTCATTTCCCGGCCCACAGATAGAAGTAAGCGTCAAAGTTAGATTGTTTCCATGTTATCGTTCTGAATACCCAACAAGGCGTTGTTGAATGCACTAGTACCGCCCGGGGTTAGTATGGGGTCTTCTTGGTGATTGGTTGCCGGAGAATATGGTGGACGTTCGCGGACAGCTCGTTAGGGGTCCTTCGAGCGGCGATGGGGTCTGATGCTGGTGGGGACCTGGACTCAAAATGAGGATTCAAAATGCTGTGCAAATTTGTCTCCAGTAAAAACACCGTATTTGCATCCGCGGAAGCTATTATATTCCCGCGGACGCAATTAGAAGAAAAATAAACTCGACGCAAGCGAGTAAGAACTTCCGCGGAGGCAATCGGAGGCAAAACAAGAAACCGGAAGCAAAAACTTTGCTTGTGCTGGAGTACCTATCTGCTTCCACTAAATGGAAGCGAAGTATTTGCTCCCATCGAGTAAGAAACAGATCCTAGACCCTGGACTCAAATGCGGACCTTTTACTCTGCTCACAGCCACAAAAATCAGAAAAATCATCGGAATTAAACCCAAAAAGAGAAAAACCATGGATTTGAGCAAAATTAGATGCCGAGGACCCTTGTCCAGCAACAACCACGTCTGGTGGCCTTTCGCGGACAGCTGGGACCTTTAACACCGCGGCTGTCCGCGAACGTCCACCATAGGAGAACGAGTCGGTAACTTTTGATGACGTCATCCATATTACCCGCTACGCAGCCCCTCTCCTATCTGAACTGCGCCCTCGCTTCTCACACTCTTGCCATACTGCCAGCTATAAAGCACTTCCGTCCCATTCGTGTATCGCTAGCCAAATCCCGTTCTTGCACCACCATGTCTTCTCAGAGTGCGCGCGCCCAATCGTCTTCGTAAAGCCCGGATGACTAACCCGCCCACCATGGGCTTGTATAGAGTTCCTTGTTCTTGTCGACAAGTCCGCCACTCAAGAGCAAATGGATCAGACAGCTGCTGACATCGAGTCTAAAGGTACGTCCGTGCTTAGATCACCCGAGAAAAGTGCTGATGTGAGCCTTTCAGGTGGTCGGATTCTTGATTCTTGGACAAGCGCTCTGAAAGGCTTCTCTGTGGTGATAGACACTGCGGATCTCACCCGCTTTCAGAGCCTGCAGGGGACCAACAACTTCATCAGCACCATCGGTACGCGCGATAATTCCTGTTCAGTCGACGTTCCGTTAACACAACCTACAGAACCTGATGGCGAAGTTCATGTCAACTAGTCCGAGACATCGATATCCCTGCACAACAGTGCACAAGACCGTGTACCAGTACGATAAGGTTCTCTGATGTATGTCGAAATATGCAAATCATATTGTATACTGTGGATCTATTGCACGTGAAATGAGAGAGTGGCGGCGGTGATCCATATGGTCATGGCCATAATAGCAGATCGGAGCAATCTGGTGGGAGAGTGAACAGTCCAACATCTCAACACTTCATACGTCATGATCAATGAGTGCAAATGGTAAAATTGAGGCCGTTTGAAGGGATCTCAGAGAGCGGCAGCAAGAAAAGCAGGAGCAGACGACGGAGCAGCGGAGGAACCGAGTGAAAGGGAGGCGATGGCCAGTTTAGCCGCAGAAGGAATCAATGCTCGGCGGTGCCCGTCGGCGGAAAAGCTCGCACCCCTAGAAAAGACAAGGGGTCGATGTCAGATGCAACCGGTTCCGGAGTTACTGGGGCCGAGTACGAGTGCATGGGAATTGGCGCTGGGGTGCCCGGCGCGCTGAGTGGAGCTGAAGTGGTTCCAGATGTGCGGGTAGATGTGAGTATAGGCTTAGGGGCAGCGTAGGTGACGGGTAGATTGGCCGGGCGAGGAGGGAAGTCCCAAGTTCTCGGGACAAGGGAAACGGGGATAAGCCTAACAAACTGCGGTCATGATCCACCTCGATCTCCGTCAGGCAGAGAAACTCACCATGTAGCCGCACAGACGACGCCTTGACCACGATCTTGCTGAGCTATGCCGTCGAATTCCATATCGACAAACTGCGAGATATAGCGAATGAACGGGAGAATTTCGCGGACACCTTCTGTGAAGAGTGCCAGAGCTGTGAGGAAGTCGAGCATAGCGCCTGAGATAGATTTGCATTTCTGAACTCCCAGTGAGAAATGGCTATCTTCAAGAGAACAAGGTGCTCACGCTGAGATATTGAACGGATTTGTGAGGCAGAACGAGTTCATAGCCCCACCAATCTGAACACATCAGCTGGGGCATTGACACTCTCAATAGATGCACTCACAAGTGTAGCACGACATCCTGTCAGTGGGGGGATAGACTCCCGTATGGTCCGGCCAGACCATCCCGCTTCCGGCAAAGCCAAGTGCGAGAAGAGTGCGACTGACTTCTTCGATTCCGGTCTCGATTTCCTGAGTTGATGGCACGGCACCAGAGAAAATTCCAGGATCTGAAGCTGGGTGTCCGAGACCGAGATCAGGTGCAGTTACGAGAGATACGAGATTCATTGAGCCGAAAGCGGATTCAAGCGCCGTGGGAGAGAGAACCGGTAACCGAGCAGCGAGTTCCTCGACCTCACTCAACGCCGACGTAGGCTTGAGAGCTGCGGTAGCCGGAGATACGGCAGGCGAAATTGGCGCTGTCTTTGTTTCAACGGCAGTGGGAGGAGGCGGGACTTTGAGGGCATTGACGGCAATCAATTTAGAGAAGTGCATAGCTGCAGCTTCCTCATCCGGGACGGAAAGACACGCCGCATGGATAGGAGCAGCAGGAAAAGCCGGTTTTCCCGCACTTGCTGAAAGCTTCTCGTGGTCGGGATGACTCGCTAATCTCCGCAGCTGGGCTACGATGGGTTGGGCTTCATCTGGCTTCTGCAGAGACTCCCTCAGCTTCTTGGCGTCGGCGCTAGATAGTTTGGCCGAAGGATCGGTAGCAAGTGCGGAGGAACCAACTATCACGGAGCGGAGGCGGACAGCCGAAAGGTAGGCTTGACGATCGACTCGAGCAGAGGGAGGACCAGTGGTTACAGTCTGCTTTTGGATCGCCCAGTCAACGGACCATATCTTGGCAAGTACATTGCCTGACGACGAGCGCGTGGACGGTTCAGGACGAGACGGTGTCGAGGACTCATGGGAATGTCCCCCATTAGACTCGATTCCGTTAACCGGATTGTGAGCATTGCCAGATTCGGATTTGGGTGCTTCGTTTGGCGCGGCACTTGCTGCGGTTTCGCCCCTCTCCCTCTTTTCATGGGCGGGCTCGTCAAGCTTAGGTGCGGTGACTTTGACGATGGGAACAGATCGAGGACTTGCGACGACTGCCGGCGTAGACGAGTACGGATTCGTCGGATCCACATCCGAGGCTTTCTTCGGACTCTTGCCATTGACGGACAATCGTTTTGAGAGAGCAGTGAACATGGTAGTTGGTGACGGTGAAGGTAGTGAAACGACAGACTGATGATCAGACCTCGAGTTTTATAGGGAATAGGGAATGATTAGGGGAGGCAGACTTGGAATACCGGATATCAATGGGGAGAAAAGGGGAAAGCACTGCTCGCCTGGAGCTGGGAGGGGTAACTATTGAGATTGGATATAGGAGAAGACGGTGAGGATATTGATCCCTTAATCACCGTCGTCATCGCAGCGCATGTCTCATGGCGGAGAGCTCAAATCGTACAAGAATACATTGCTACATTTGTTTACACCTATGTGCAACAACATCTAACTAAGTAAACTCCATGCTAGTACTGAACAGTAGGCAAGGGGGTTGTCAAAGGGCATTCAAGCGATCCGCTCTCCTGTGTAGATCCAACTCTCCTGTCGACATGGTGCATGACCAACCGCTCGCGTGGCACCGATTCTCGCGGCATCTGTCAGCTGAGGACCGCCATGGTCGATTCGAAATGACTGCAACCGCCGACATTTACTGTACATCTTGGCCATAAGCTTGCCACGCAAGCCACCAATTCGGCGTGGTTATGAACGTGCGATCGACAGATTTGAAGAGAAAATTGATGATTTGCCTTCGGGATTCTGGCTGTGTCAGGTATAACGGCGGTGTTGACATATGGCAACTTCAGTTCCTTCAGTCGGCGACAGTGGATTGCGGCGGTGGCGATGGCATGCATTGTAAGCCCGTAGTCGGTGTTCTCTGCATCGCATGGAATCGATGCGTCGTTCGGATCACTTTCGAATAAGCACGTTCGCAAATGTGGCCATGCAGCGAAGAGCGTCCTCAGCTCCACGTCGCGTGCTGTCTGCTCTCCGTTGTAGCCAATGGCGATGTGCAGATGACGTAGTTCGTGCATGCCAACGAACGGGTGAAACACTTCCGACAGTCGGATGGGAGGCATAACATCACAAAACATAGCGGTATCGCATGACAAGCGAAATGATCTCAAAGATGGTGTCTCTCGGAGCACCGTCATGACCAGGTCGAACAAAGATGTTGCTTGAACAGGTGCTTCGATCCGCAGCTCTAACCCCTCCAACCCTCGTCGCATTCGCTGTAGGGTGAGTGTAGCTTGTTCCATCGTTGAAAGCAAGGAAAGCACCCTCAGCGCTGGAAAACCGTCCCGCAGACCCATGAACAACTGATCTTGGGTTACGTATCGTCCATCGTGCTCCTCTAGACTCAGACATAACAAACGCAAGCTCGTACTCTTTGCAAGGGCAGTGAATATAAGCGGTAGTGAGAGGAACGAATATGCTCGGACTTCTTGCAATCGAGGACCAAGGCTGGCGAATGCCGCGACGATTTCGGGATCAGATTCGAAATCGGGATATCGAGTGTCCATGAGATCAAGACGTTCCAAACTTGGCAACCGGCAAACGTGCATTAGCGCTCGCTTGATCGGGTGGGCGGGTGAGGCAGTCATTGCGAGTTGGTGATTCCAATGATTGAGGCGTAGAGACTTGATAGAGGGCGATAAGAGACGAGGAACGGAATGAAGATATTCTCCGGATGCCCCAAGATGTAGCTCATCCAATACCGGAAAGAGCCATACGTTCGGTCGGCTCGCGGTCAGGACGCGTGCTAAATACTCTTCGTGTCCGTGATGCCATAGGGTTAGATTACGAATAAAGCTGGCATAATAGTCGAATCGTCGAAAGGCATCAGGGTGAACGCGAATATCTGCGTCCTAGAGAGCTGTAAATACCGACTCATGCCACGCAAATTACCCGTGACGGACCTGTCCATGCTGTAACTGACCCTTAACGTGGTCTGGAAACAAATGCAGCATAGAGACAAGCGGTGACCCGCTGAAGTCTGGCGCTTCCCACAAAAGCCGTAGGCACATGGTTGTGAAGCGCTGGGATGTACAGGCCATATTTAACAGATCCATCGGATCGTCCACCTCGCGCAAGATAGCCAGACATAGTTCTGTGATTTGCAGTGGGCGGGGAATTCCTCCTGTTCCGACTGTCATAGAACTTCGTGACGGTAAGCGAACAAGTATTGTAAGCCTAGAGGGTCCGACAGAGACGTATAAAGTAAGGAAAGAGATGAAAGGGTGCTTTTACAAGCGGATGTTCGACAACTGTCGTTCGACAAGATATGCAAAAACATCTCCTTGTGGTGCCAGGGGTCCTGCCAGTGACCTTGCGCGGCACCATCTTCCCAGAACTCCATTTCCGGATCCGTGCCTGCCCTAAACTGCACTAGGAAAAAATTCCCAAGAGATAGTATTCATGTCCAGTTACCAGAGCTGGGTGGTCACCGGTTTCTTGAGAATTTGGAACAAGAACTTCCCGTGCTCGTGACAAGCTGTTAACTGATTCTGGCCTAGGGAGATATGCCGAATATCCAATTGGCTTATGGACTTTCCTTTGTGCAGGCTTGCCCGTTAGCGGAATGTTCGGAAGCGGAACCGCATGGCACGGAAGCCTGTGATGAAAAATCTACTTCGCGCTACTTCGTTTCACTACGTCGACAAGCCCAACACGAATCAGGTAAATATCCATCATTCATGTCCGAAGTAGAGCTGTGAGCCGAAACTCTCCTTGAGCTCGGTGGTTCTAGAGAAGGCGGCATTAATATTCCGGCAGACCAATAGAACCGAGCAACCACAGCAGAGGGCATGCAGTGCATCAGTTCGCAACTTCTATAGATGGCCCAGCCTTACCTGACAGATAAGATCGCCAAAGCCAAACGAGGAATGTCTCAATTAAAGCTGACCACCTCCAACGGGTTAGCGTGCGAGAGAGGTTGCGATTCATGGTCTGCGGCAGAGCTGGAAGGCCGCGCCGGTCCACCGGTCGTCTTTGTGCTGGCGCGTGCAGCAAGTTATAGAAGTGCCTGTATATGTTGGGAACGGGAACTTGGGATGTGTCGAAGAATGTTCCCGTTCCTGCGCATGCATGAACGGGGGCGGCTGGTCCATCAGCACTTCCTCCTGAAACGACCATTTGTCCGGTGCGCATCATCAAGTTGGCATGTTTTCACCAATGTACCGCGCGGTCGACCTTCTGGTGTTGGAGAAGGACAGTGCGCCGGTTCTTTTCGGTTCTTATGAGCCGAATAATCACCCCGCGTCGCAAGGGACCTATCATGGAACCAAGCTACGTCATTCAGCACTCCTGACCCTCTCTACCATGCCTTCCGGGCAGTTCAGGTGAACTGCATCTTCGATAGACCATGATGTACATACTGCAATGGTATGCAATGATAAACTTTTCATGTCTCCAAACGTGCCCCGTGCATAGCCAGCATATCTTCTGAACTAACCCGGGTATGCGTCTTGCGATATCCTGTGCTCTAGGCAACCTTCTTTTCCCGCTCTAACATGACTAGGCAACCAGAATGCCTTTCTTGCAACACGGAAAAGGCCTTGTGTTCTATAATGATGTTCTATGATACCAGCGTCCTTACATCCACTATGGGTCGGTCTACAAAAGGTAGTCCCCTCGCCCTGCCATTGATGTAGCGGCTCTTCTCGTCACCCTCCTCAACTGCGCACCGATCTCACCGCTCACGACGGTCACGCTGATCTCTCTTCCATTAAGAGAAATCGATAGGCAATGGCTAGTCTGTCTCTTCCAGATCTTCTGCAGGCGATACAACGTCAACCTGAGGCTTTGCGGGTCCTGCAGTCCATTGTTAGCCAACCACCCTCCGAAAACACTGAACGGTCCGTACTTTTCAACGAGCATAGGTTGAAGACGCTCTCACAATGGCTTATGTCGACCAACAGACCTCCACACAGTCCCGATATCGCCTCCTTGACAGACAGGATCGGAAGTCTGGAGCAACAGCTGGCAAGACAAGGCCGTCCGAGCCGCAGGAAACGACCCCGCCGATCTGATGACCCCGACGAGACGGACCATCCTTTGAACCAACATCAAGTCGGCCATGTGAATGTAGCCGAGAAGTTTTGCGCGGATATGACCGCAGAGGAGATGAGTGTGCGCGGGACACTTCTGGTTTGCTTGCTTTCTTTAGTCAATGCCGGTTGCTCATCATCTTCCAAGCGACTCGTACGAACTGAGTTATACGCGATCATTGGCTTTGATTCCCCTCACGGTACCATGCCATGCAAAGGAGAATTCACGGTCGACGGCAAGGCTGTACCTGACTTCAACAAAAAGCTCACCGCCAAAGAGAACTACCTGATCCAGCTCCGTGCGGCAGAGGTAGTGCAGCAAATGCAGCAAGTCAGTCTTCGTTTGTCACTGTCGCGCTGATCTCTCTTACCGATACGATTCGTTGCTTCAGTCAAATCCCAACCTCATTCCACTGCACATGCAAGAAAATTGGATGTCCACCGAAACGCTGATCCGACTGGCCCAGAGTACCTGGCAACACATGAAATGGATCTGGTGAAAGCAGAACGATCATCAGTTAGCGAACCAAGCTGCTACCCATGCACGTACATCTAGGCGCGCTGAACGCCGTCGCACGGTGCGTGGTTCAGCGCGTTCGCACACCATCCAATACTAATGTTCGCTTGGTGTTTGTTCAGCGAACAGCCCAATTCAAATCCGGGGCTCTATGCTTTGCGGCAGAGCTCAACTTGGACGCCGACTTGCTTTGCCAAGAACTCATACACGAGGACTGGGTTGGGGAGGAATGCTCGGCAGCGGAGGAGGGCGAGGACCAGGAGGAGTGGGAAAACGACTTGCTGAACGGTTCTGGGTTTACTGCAGAGCAGGTTGTCGCTAACGGTATACTCCTATGGGAACTGCGCCGGCCCGTCTGGATGCATACGGCTGTAAGCACAGATAATGCTGGCGATGAAAAAGGTTGCTCACTCAATGAACCCAGTTCTGGGCATTGTACAAAACCTTCATGCATATGAAGGTTACGACCAACAAGCGACGTGCTTCCAACATCATACGAGTGGATCTAGGAAACACGTCTGCCTTGATGCCGATGGAGATGCCGTATCGATTCATGATCGATGCCGAATGGCAAGTCGTGGAGAGTGAGCACTACAAGGGTTTCCATCCAAGGGATGCACAACCTTCTTGCTTGACGGATACCATGCGAGATGAACTTCGTAATCCCGACAATGCATACATCCATACAAAATTCCGCACCACTATGTGAATAGTCTAGTGATCTAATGGAAGAGAGATCAGTGTGGCGTATGCAGTCGAGATACGGTCATTCACCAAGACCGTCCGTGCTACTTAGGCGTCAATCATCTCCCATGATGTCGACTCCACTCACATACCTTGCTCAGGCCGGTGGTAGCCCACACCGATGACCCGTCGACCTCTATCTCACACCTTGCTGCGGTTCCAGATATCATATTCGCAGGCAGCATCCAAAGTGGGAAGCCATTTTCAGGATCTTGGTACTTCCCACACTCCCAGAATCGAACCTGTAGCTCTGGACTAGTTCGTGCGGTAAGACCAGGCAACATCGGATGAAACTCAACTCACTATTTATGATATAAAACCTGATGTGAGAGTGGCCTTGACAGTGGTACAAGCCATGCGACACAGGCGAATAGGCGTTGCTGCCCGCATTGCCGATGTAGAAAGACGTCGCGTAGTTCACCGACCCAGCTCAACCCTTTCATGACCTGACAACTCACCAGGGAATCGCTCTTGTTAGCGCTATCCCCTCGCACCACTTGTACCTCTCTCCCATCCACGAGCAACGTCGAATACCGTTGAATCTGCCGAAGGAGGTAGGAAGCTTCACGCGCCGACATGTCTGTAGCTCTGTGCAGATTTAACTGCGGCTCATTACTTCCATACCAACCAAGAAGCCTGTCGTGCAGTACATCATCGGTAGAAGTATGGGTCACTTTCCCCCCGGGAATGCATTGCTGTGGAAAGATGCAGCACGGTACGCTGGCTTCTTGATGTTGACCGGCGAGGGCTGCAAGAGTACCCCTTTTAGCTGTGTCCCTGGCCCATTTTTTCAGCTCTTGTGCCACGGCACGGGCGAGTGAATCGGCTCCTTGCTTCGTCAGAAGCGTGATCTGGTATGGCGTCAGCGAGACATATGATGCAACGCAGCCGTACCAGTCTGCTGAGATGCACTTCTCTCTTGAACTCGCGACTGAACGTGACTTCGAGTTCTCCACCTCGATGATTGTTGGTATGGAAGGATTTGAGTATCTTGTTCAATCTTTCGAACAAAAAAGTCCAGAACGTGTGGACTGGGCCGATCGTGATATCTGATCAGTCATGTGTGACAGCCAATGGAATGTCGGAGTGACATTTTCGTGGCCGTAGATCTAGGTAAATAAGTCAGCTTGGTAGTCTTAATGGAAGAGAGATCAGCGTGACCGTCGCGAGCGACGTCACGCAAAATGATTGCAGCGGTTTCAAACCACCACTCACCTCTGCGAACTCTTCGAAGAATTCAGAATAGAGGTTTCGTGAACGCGTTGAGTCTTCCTCAGCAACTTCTCGATGCATCCATATCTTGAGAACAGTGCCAAGCTTCAAGAAGTTGTCTGCTGCCTTACTTGGTACTCGCTGGCTGTCTTCGCGAGCCGCTGATAGAAGGACATGAGGTAACTATAGAGGCAGCAGTGTTTATCAGGTCCAGTACCAGCCGAGTTACACAGTCAGTACGCACCGCTGTGGGACCATACAAGATGGCTAACGCTTTCCACTCGTCGGATGTTAGACTTGCTCCAGTGGGCTCACCGATCTGGCTTGGCAATCGTGCAAACCACCGTGGCATCTCGAACTGAACGAGTTTAGTGGGTAAAATTTCGGAAGGAGAGTCAATCTCACTCTTTTCAAGACCTCATGTATCTCCTGCAGTTCCCGTTTACCACCACCTGAGGTTCCGCCTCTCAAATCGGAACCTTCTTTTTTCCTCCCTTCACCCATACGGAGTACCAGAGAGTTCTTGTAACACCGAGCAAGCAGCTATGCATCGGATCCACGACGCTCATGGTGACTGGATTAAAGTAAGGAAGTCGATCGAGTTCAGACCACCGCGTTGCAAAGTTTTTGACGAACGTCGGGCGATGTTTGCTTTCCAGGTTTTGGTAGCGGTCTGCCAGCTCTTTGTGCAACTGCCCGCATCGAAGCTCATGCGGGCGCCATCCTTCTGTACCGATCTGCACACGGCCAATGAGACATTGTGTGCACGGTAGCATCCTATGACTGTGGTCTGCGAATCCGGACAGTTTGACCATAGCTGGGTGGTGGCAGACCACAGCTAGTATCACAACACGGACGTGTCTTCCTGAGATGAATTTGCTTAGATGTGCCACACATCTAGCATGAAACTCACTCACCTGTAGGGCAGGACGGGGTCCGAACTATCGTACCCTCGTTGTACAGCCAGAGCAAATCATCTACAAGAGGCTTAATGAACCGCTGAAGCTTGTCGCTATCAGGTTCTCTAGGGCCCGGTAACACCGAAATCAGCAAGAGATTATGCACACGGTACCTGTTCAAATGCGATGAGCTTAGTCTGTCACTGCAACTGTCACGCTGATCTCTCTTCCATTACACTTACCGGAGATCGGGAGGGAGATTAACGACACAGGCAGACAATGCACCAGTGGAATGACTCGCGGCCATTGCGGATCTGTTCGGATTAAACCTGACAGTCATTAGCTCCGGGCCGAATACTGCCTTCAAAGCTTACCAATCAACTGACAAGAGAAGTCCTATCCTAAGTTCCCTCTGTTCAATGGCATCTTGACAATTTTGCGGAAAGAAGTTTTGCACGTCCGTGGTTTTCATGTCTTTCCAAACACTTCCGTCTTGGATGCTTGCCAATACACCATTGGAAGTGGGCCTGTCCAAGTATGATTCACAGGCTGCTTCAACACCTGGCTGGCACAAGAAGTTGGCCAACTGAGAGGAAATGATGTCATATGAAGCCTGCAGCTGTGGTCAGAAGGAATCACCATTCTTGCTTCGCTCAAAGAGAAAGCTGGTGCAGGACATGCATTTACATTCCAACAGCACTTCATCCATGCCAGCATCACCCTCAGCACCATCTGCCACCAACTCCCAGCATTGGGGACAGAGTGTGCAAACCAGAGGAAGATCTTTTAAGCCAATCTGCCTGAAAACAGTCTCAAGGGTTCTGGGTGCTTGCTCTTCAACAGGCTTGTCACTCTTGTCCTCTACCAGGCTGCAGTGCCTGAGAATAGCATATAGGATGCAGAGCAGAAGACCACAGGTAGCATGAGGTAGCTGAAAGCATACATGCAGGAAAGTGATAGTTGGGGCGATAGCACAGATGCAGGGATTGATGTGCAATGTGCTGTACCAGTTGAAAAGGGCAAGCCTTGCAGCAGGTGGGCTTGGCGGTATGGTCATGGTTTGTTTGCATGGGAAAGTTAAGTCAGGACAGCCATCATCAAGTACATGGTCCCCTTGCAAGCCTGACCAAACCTCTTCCAAGCCAGAAGCTCCTGTGTCGAGATCAAAAGAACAATCCCGATTTGATAAGAGCATGACACTTTCATCATCATGATTCAAAGTCACCCAATCTGAGCTTTCTTGGGGATTGACAGTTTGCATTAAAGATGCTCATTGAGCCAGCTCGCAGTCATTGGTCCAGATGCCAAGTACCCCTCTTTGCTGGCTGGTGGGAACAGATCACCTGTTATGCTGTCACCAAAGATTTGTTGTAAGGGGGCATCCATTCAGTTGTACCTGCATGCGACATCTTGCACACAGACAGATTTTTGTTCCCAATTGAGTGAGCAGCTTGATGCCTATCTGCTGCTTCTGTTGCAGATGAACAGATGAGGTTGCTCTGGATGTTGACATCAGCTTGATTAGCAGTGAAAGAATCTAACAAATGAAGCACCTTTAATCCACTTCCTGACCAGCTGGTGCTGGCTTTTGCATGCAGCAACAAGGCATGCATTTGGCAGAGTGAGGCTGCACCCAGTGCACCTTTCAATATGGGGAATAGGCCATGGACAACTGGAACTGGAGCCCAAATATGAACTGCAGCATCAAGAACTGGGATTTGGGTTGCATACCAAGATGGGTGGAAAACATATGTAGCAAGGAGAGTGAGGACTTCCCCCAGCTGGGATATCAACAGACAGCCCATGTTTTGATGGAAATATAGTTTGCACCTTCTTTGATGATCAGGGTCTGATGGAAGACCAGGGATCAATATTCTCTTGGTATAATATACTAGCACAATATATAACTCATGTGATTGAACAAGTGCGATTCACAGTGCTAGGGACATACAACAGGATAATATCACAAAAGAAAGTGGGCAGTACCACATACATGGTCACAAATTCAGTCAAAAAGGCACAACCAATTCCAGCATCCTCCCATGTACAACGTGTGGCAGTCTTGATCCTTGGAATCTTGTGCATTCTCTGAGGTCAGAATGAGAGCATAAGTGTGTTTTGAGGGGTAGTGAATGATATGTTGAGCATGAGTGGCCCCTGTGGCTTCCTGCTTGCATCAAGTGTATTCATCTGCAGTCAAGACTTTGAGAGAAACATCATGTTCAAACTGCAGTCCTGTATGCTTGGACATCAATACAGTATCCATTGGAATTGCATGGAGGGCTGCAAGTGCTGCTGGGCACAGCTGAGAATGGAGCTTGTCATCACAAGCACAGTCCAGGATATGACCATGGTCTGTGTGCATGATGGTGGAGGGAAAGGCAGTGCACTTGGCTATGAAGCCAGTGGCTGCATAGCCATATGTGCTCTCAGCTGAAGATGGGGCATACTGAGGGGGGGGCTTCCCCATACACCTCATCAGATGAGGCATGGGAATGATATCCAATGCCAGTGGTAATAGAAGAGAGATCAGCATGACAGTCATGAGTGAGCTTCTTGTTATCTTCAAAGGTGTTCATGCTGGGGATGGGTGCCTGTGCCCTCCCCCCTCCTCCACCATCAACAGTGGTAAGGGAAGAGAGATCAGTGTTGACAGTTGCAAGTGAGCATCTTGTTATCTTCAAAGGTCTTCATGCTGGTGATGGGAGCGCCCCCTCCTGTTGCTCCACCTCTTCCCTCTCCACTGCCACCCACAACTCCTCCTCCATTTGGATAAGCTCTTACAGTCCTGCTCTGATAGTAGGGATTGCGGCTACTGTGGAGATGCAGGTTCAGAATTGGCATGGTACCTTGACTGCAGCCATCCAAGGCTGATGCAGTAGTAAGTGCCTCTGTGAACAATGAGAATGATGCACAACTGAATAAGACAATGCTGCTTACTGGTGGATGGTTGTGAGCGGGCATTAGTACCCTCTATGAAGCCCAGTTGGTGGGGATACACCATCTCAGGAGCGATTGGGATTCAAAATGTGTTCTGCACCTGCACATTAGCAAATGGTACAGTTAGACTAGCAGTGCAAAGTCCTACCAGATGTAAGGTCAGCTCAAGTTGATAGATGACAAGGTGTAAAATGCAAGTCAAGGTGGTTGTTGTGTTCAAGGAGAGAGGCGGTGACTGTGGTCTTTGCATCCATTTAATAGAGACATGCAGTGGCCAACTCAGCATCCATCATCCCCATGTGAAACTAGTGCCAATGTATGAGGGTTCTAGAAATAATATATTATACATATACACTGATCTACATGTTCCAGTCTCAACTGGAATACAATGCTGACATCCACTTATCCACATACAATATTGAGTTCATGAGCATGACCAATGGATTACTTGCATCAAAATGGGCATATGGGATTGCTGATGGAACCAGGCACCTGCAGAAAGATGGAATCCTGAAAGAGTGGCACAGAATATTGCACATGATGGATCCAGGTCTGTTGCCCAAAAAATTCACACTACTATGGTTTGTGTGAGTTATGAAAAGAACATGAGAATAAAAGATTATATTGATTTTTAATTGAGGTACAACTGACTGGCTTGGCAGTGTCATGTCTGGGACTGGAAACATGCATGTCTGGGCTGAGGTTGCAATCTGGCAGTCCGGATACAAACAACAGGCCTGGCCAGGTGCTTCTGCAACTGACCACTGACATCGTTTGCATGCTCTCACTCTCCCTCCCACTACGACCTCATTCTTACCATCTCTCGCTCACTCACGTCTTCTGGACCAACAACCATGTCTGGCACTGAACCAATGACCATGCATATATTGACAAGGCTTAGCCCTCTGGCTGGTAATGGTGAATTGGATGGCATCGACAACAATGAAGAACTAGGTCAAGCTTGCCTGGATATCATGTGCGCAGCTCACTTGCCAGTAGATGTGTCTATTGCTGCTAATGTGACGGTGACACCAGCCATTGATGTTATGGAGCCCTCTTTGGCAGAACACCAGGGTGTACCCAAAGGAGAACATGGTGCTATTCAGGTAGCTCTGGAGCCTAAGGACGAAGAGCAACTGGATGGCGAGCCAGAAGTCTCTTCCTCTACAAGCATTATTGATGAAGAGATGCTGCTGCTACCTCACAAAGAGGAGGCAGCGCACAATGCTGGAGATGCTCCTGCTCCATCTGTTGATTCCTCCCTCATTTCCAACACATCTGAACCCCAGCCTCTGCTCTCCCTGCATACTGCTGAGCATGATTTCCCTCAGCAGGAACACCAGCCCCAGCCCCAGCCCAAAACACATCCTCCTGTTCCCATTGTGCAAAATCCCCCCCAGCAGCAGCAAGTGCAACCTACTGCCCATAGTGCTATGGTAGTACGGATGCTGACAACAATACAAATCGAAGGCCTGCCACTATCCTTCCTATTGCTCATGGATACCCACCTACTATTTCCCAGCTGGCTCTAGAAGAACATCTCAGGGGTCTCCAGCTTGACGACATTGAGTTCTGGCTGCTGGCAGCTGAACACCTGAAGAGGGGGCTTACAGGAGATCTTGATGAGATAATGGGACCTGCAGGCAGACTTGCTATGGAGGAGAGGCAGTATTCACATTTTCCTAGGGTAAGTGATGGAAGAGAGATCAGTGTGACAGTTGCAAGCAAGTGCCGACCTGAGCTGATGAACAATGCAGGCCTCTGAAAGAAATCAAGCTCATTTGACCAACCAATGGGACACAGGCATGTCAGGAGCAAGTTCTGCACCAGAAAGACGTGCAGCAGTCACACTCACCCCAGAAGAACAGCTACAGCAAGAGATCTGCAAATGAGCTGAGCTAATGCAACAACATGCTTTTGATGCAATTGTGGATGTGGCGGACATGCAGCTTGGTGCAATCAAAGGTTGCCGGGTCTGGCCAGAGTTCTTTGCCCAGATGTATCTTTGTTACCAGTATGGATTGAGAGCAAGATGGTTGGTCCAGAGGTCTCAAGAATGGATGTGCAACATGCACATCAATTTTTTTATGTTCAATGTGTTCCTGGCTGCATATAAATGCACATGTTGGGTGCATTGCTGGGTCAGAAAGCATTCCTTACTTATTTTTACTGTAGTCCATAAGTGTCTTGGGCAACATAGTTGGATACAGGCTGATGTTTGCAGTAGTCGTCATGATAGTCTTGCTGACTGTGTACAAATGGTCTTTCCTACAGTGGGTGACTGCCTTCCTCCAGGTACAGGGGAAGGTTAACTAGAGGATGAAGTGCTCATGCTGTAGTAGTACCGTGCTGTATGTGCTGTATTAGATGCAAACATGTGCAAACAATGACACCAAAAAAATTGTAATATTGACTGAAAGATGACAGTGCCCATGACTGTCATGCTGATCTCTCTTCCACCAAAACAATAGTTTACTAGTACTACTACTCTAGTCCCACCTTTCCTGTCCTCAGTGCAGGGCAGCCCAACTGAACCCCTTGCTAGATCATTCCAGATAGTCTAACCTGCCCTGCACCGGATCATGACAGATGCCATGTTGACTAGGGTCTCCAAACAGGCCTATCATGGAGGCGAGAATAGGGCCCGTACAACGCAGTGAATGTGTCAAAATGTCACGTGCGATGGCGGGCGCAATTCGGGGTCCCCTGAACGACTCAGGTTACAGAGAAGGGCTCGGGTAAGCCAGAATCGCAAGGCATAGGCAAAACAGACTCACTCGCCCAATCTCGGTCGTTGTCGACGGCGTCCTCCTCCTTTCCCTCTTTCTCTTCATTGCTGCGAGAGTCTCTGTCTTTGAACTCCTATTCATCATGACAGACTCAATCGCTGATCCCATCTGCGTCGAAGAAACGGTCCCTCGACCAGCCAGCGAGCCCCAAGCGTCGAGTGTGGCATCTACCTCTATCACAACTGACGCGAATTCCAATATTGCGTTTGATGGAGGCGCCGAAGTTCCAGTCAGTGCAGTGCGCGCCATCCCTACCTTACTGCCGACCGTTTCCACTCCATCGATTCCTCGATCGAGGCCGGCTCGCGGTGGGGTCGGCTCGTTAAGGGGGGGTGTTCGACCTCCTGCGACGAGAATTCCGCCGAGTCTGCAAGCAAAGATGGCAGAAGTTCGTACATTTATCTCCATGTGCGTAACCCGCTAATCTTTCGATCCAGATGGCTGCAAAGTCAGGACAAGCGGCTGGAACAGCTCTTACACCCGGTATCAATGAAGCGACACGTGCATTAATGCGTACAAGCATCTCTGGACCGTCTTCTGCACCTTCACCTCCTGGTTTTATGCCTGGTCGTCGGATGAAGCCTGGTCTTAAGCTTAGCGATATTGGTGCAGGTATTAGTGGTGCGGGTCTAGGTGCGGGTCGACCCAATGTGCAGCAATTTGGAGAACCTTCGCCGTCGCGAAGACCACCTCCAAGTGGCACACCATTCGCGAACTTTAAGAAAATAGTGTGCGTCTCATGCTTGATGAGATGATTTATATCTCACCAGATGTGCTCAGTGATCCCTCAGGACGGCTCAACTTCCGAGGAAAGGCAGTGCTCCACTCGAAAGGTGTCGACTTCAGCACCGGAACCAGCTTCTCGATCAATATGTCGGAGTTGGAACTTGCAGAAGAGCTCGGACGTGGAAATTATGGTACTGTCAAGAAGGTATTACATAGACCGACTAATACTGTGATGGCTATGAAGGTGCGTGGTGATTATCAAGATGTAGAGCTCATGCTCATTGAGTCAATCAGGAAATACGACTGGAACTGGACGAGGGGAAACTGAATGCTATCATAATGGAACTCGACATTCTCCACCGTGCAATCACACCAGAGATCGTCGAGTTCTATGGCGCTTTCTTCATTGAATCCTGTGTTTACTATTGCATGGAGTACATGGATGCCGGATCACTAGATCGTTTATGTGGTGCCGGAGTGCCCGATCCAGTGCTTGCTCGAATAACACACGCAATGGTGCGCGGTCTGCGGTTCTTAAAGGACGAGTTACAAATCATACATCGAGGTTTGTCCTATTCGCGGCCAGAGGTCTCGTCTGCTCACACATCACCCTCATGTAGACGTGAAACCGACAAATGTATTGATGAACCGGAAGGGCGAGGTCAAGCTGTGCGACTTCGGCGTTTCTGGTCAATTGGAGAAGTCATTAGCGAAGACGAACATTGGCTGTCAATCATATATGGCTGTACGCTGCCTGATCATCGCCTCGGGACACGGGTGCTGACTTTGGTTTAGCCGGAGCGGATCCAAGGCGAATCACAGAACAATCTAGGCACATATACCGTGGCCTCCGACGTGTGGTCACTCGGCCTCACAATGATCGAGATGGCGATGGGCAAATATCCTTATCCACCAGAAACATACGCGAACGTGTTTGCCCAGTTAAGCGCGATCGTTCATGGACCAGCTCCTGAATTGCCTCCTGGCTATTCGGAAGAAGCTGAGGCTTTTGTTGCCATGTGCTTGCGGAAGGATGCCGCACAGCGACCCACGTATTCCGAGCTGCTGGTGCGTTATCATACAATCCACACCACATGCATACATAAACTGACTCCATGCAGGAGCAGCCATTCTTGGTTAATGATAGAACCCTTGAGGTGGACATGGTTGGCTGGGTTGCCAAGGCTATCGAATACAAGAATGCCCATCGAGTGGCTTCGTCCTCGGGGCCTGATGGTCCGCCACCATCTGCCCCAGCACCAGCACCTGAGGACTGACCATTGGGTTTGGACGCATGTGTGATCTCCCGTTATTCTTGTTGTAACACTTTAGGTCGCAAGCGAATAGGATTGTAGTACGGTATTTGGACCCTTTTGCGCTCCGCGCAGGTGGAACAATATTGGTGGTACTGAGAATAGTTGATTGAGGATCTGACGACAATCATTGTTATGTTACAACCCTGGATCTGTGCCTGTGCTATTTACGAGGCGTGAGGAGAAAGCAGTATCAAGTACAAATTTTAGACCACCAAGGAGAAAGGGGACGACGAATAGAGACAGAACTTATTCCAAAAGCATCAATTGGAGAAACGATGGCCAGTGCATGTGTCCCATCGGAGCGTCGCTATTGTGACAAGATCCGAAAACGTCCCTGTATCAATCAGCTGCATCATATTACTGGTTCTTCAAAATTTCGTGATTTTACAACTTCCTGGTTGTTCCTGAAGGACTGGCGGGTTCGTGAGCTATATTTGCAAGAAGTCCCGTTGCTGGGGCGCTGAGGGAGTGTGCCAAGGCTACGGACGGCCGAACTGAAAGAGCAGACGCGGCAAGGATGTGCAGCGCACTCGTCTCGCCATCGCTAACGGGTGAGCCTTTCGCAGTTGCAGTGACAGACGCAACTTTTGAGGAGGCAACATTGATGTGCAGCTCCGACTTTGGCCGGACGCGCCGATGCGCTGCAGACAAAGCCTGGGAGGCGACCATCTCCGCGAACACCATATTGAGGTACTCAGGCCCACGATTGCGGTCAGATCGAGGAAGATGGATCTTGTAGCTGCAGAGTTCGAATTCAGCCAAATGCGCACAGTGCAGTCGCGGGAAAAAAACGTACTGCTGAAGCAGGTTATCTTGGCGATTGCACTGTTTGTTGCAGTCCGGGTAGGGGCAGGTGAACTGCTTTTCACCCGAGTGGACACGACCATGCTACGCAGTCGTCAGGCGGGTCAATGACAACGGAGCACTTCGAAGCGCACACGTTGCAGATGACCACTTGACGTGAAAACCTTGGGGCAAGAGCTGCATCTGTATGTCTTGGTGATCCTGACGATCGGAATGGAGGGTCCAACGATGGTTGCAGGATCGATCATGGGCGGTGGGTTATCGAGGTCCGGGTTAAGGATTGACACCCTTCTACCCGACGCTGACCAGACTGAAAAAGGATCGGTGCTCATGTTGACCTCGGGACTTCACGCAAGGGTGGATGGCGGTGGTACTGCTTCAAGAGATGAGGTGAGCTGGAGGCGAAGGGGGGGGGGATTTGAGGGGATAGAACGTCAAGTTGGGTGAGGGATAAGCCGGCTAGGCGAGACGAAGATGAGAGTACAAAGGAAAGAGGCGATGACGACGGGAACGGGGGTCAAGGAAGGGGCATGACCAGTGGAAGGGTAGGGAAGGGGGGCTGGGGCATATACCTCCAGTGGATGTGATGGGAGGTGAGAACCAACCCGCACCAACTGGGGGCCACCGTAGGGGACCGTCAGGCACATCGAACAGGGGCTAGCCATAGTAATAAGTACTTTGCTCGGCCAGTGAACCCCAGTGAATCCCCAGCAAGCTTCACAACATCTGTTAATCTGGTTATTTTTGATATTTCTCTCCTTGACCCCCAAACAATAATTTCATAATTGTGCTTCGATTGCCCTTGAAAAATAAGGCAGTCAACTCCCTACGGGTCAAAACGGGCCTCGGGCTATGCTAGCCGGTTCAAGCGATCGATGTCACCCTTAGGAGCCAAGCGGGCATACCCTAAGCTTACCAGGGACCCCCCACACGCGCTATTTCAGGATATGATGCAACGATTATCGAACATCCTCCAAGAGCGCGGTCGTAAAACAATATTGCCTTGTAACATGGCAGTGCATTCTCCTCTCTAGGCATCTGACAACCCTATCGGGACTTGAAATTCTGTAGGATCGCATCAAATCTACAGCACCGTACACTCTAACGACGATGATAGCATCACCACTAAGCAGAAACCAAATGAACGCCTTCGGTGCCCGTTCCTTTTTCCAAAGTAAGCGTCCTTGTCCCCACACGCTCGGCTTGCTCGTCGGAATGAGTTATCCATATGAGGGCTTCGATAGAAGACTCGGGCAGGTCACAGAGCTCGATCAGGCTGTTCTCCACTTTCTCCGACGTTGCCTCGTCAAGTGCAGAAGTGGGTTCTTTGATAAAGAAAAGAGTGAGTCAAATGAAATGCGACAGGAGAGATACTCTCACCGTCCACCAACAAAACCACGGCGCCCGGAAGCGATACTGCCACTGCAAGGGCGATACGCTGAGCCTCTCCACCGCTCAAACCCGTCCAGTCCTTGTCCCACAAGTCGGATGTAATATTCCAGTGTTCACTCAACTTCAATGCGCTCTCGATAGCGTCTTGTTCACTAGTGTGGTATGCCTGACGTGACTTGAAAGTATGAACCGTTTTGAGGAACCCCATCGGTGTACCAGGCAACATGGATGGTCTTTGAGGAACGTAGCAGACCTTGGTTCGGTAGCTTGGGACGCCATACTGCTTAGGTGTCCTAGGATGTTGCTCAGCAACTGATTGGAGTAGAAGATAGATAACTCTGACTTTCCGAACAGGGAAATCCTCCCACTGTACACATTTAGATGGGACAAACATTTCAACAGGGTCGTTTTCCTGTGCCGGTCCAATAAGACGCACAATCAGAGGAAATGTGCGCACATAGACTCACCCGCATCCGCTAGGTCCCCGAATGATAACAACGTCTCCTTTATTCACTTCGAAACTGACGTCGTGGAAGAGCGGTTCCTTCTCATTGGGTATGGTGTACGTCAAGTTTTTGACGCTGAAAACAGCTTCAGGCATGACCAGCAGTATTAAGTGGATACAGGTATTGTTTCGAGGCTAAGGAGCTGGTAGACCTGCCTCAAAGACGGTGCAATAGTAATACAGTGTAGTTTGGCGAGTGAGATAGGACATCGAATCCGGGGTCGCGCAGGCCAGCGATCCTGCAACTTGCTATACCAAGACATTCGGAACGCGATCGCGATCACAATTGACGGAAGCAAAAATTGTGGTCTGAAGTAAGCTGTCCTATCGGGTAGTCTGGCCTGTCGTCGTATTGTCAAGTATTTCGACAATGCCATTTTATGAGATAGTATGCATTGCCGTGCATTATCCACGTAAGCTTGAACAGATTTCTATCGCGGATCTCGCTGATATCGTTTTCTTCAGAATACGTTCGTACAGGCTACTGTTTCCTACACCACACGAACCTAACACCTCTGATAGCAACATATACATGGTCTCATCAAGGCTAGCATGAAGGCCGTATTTGACGCTGGGGGAGTAGTTCGTCAATTAACGTCGGATGGAACAAAGATATTACCGCAGAGGATAAGGAGCCATCAAGCATGGCACAGTTACGGAGAGTGCGTCCATAACCCCGTTGTGCGGACTGCAATGGTTGACCATCTCATGTAGCTACTGGACAATGCGTTTTGATGCATCGCCGAAGCTCATGAAGACCGTCACATCCTCGCTCACTCAGGATCCACGGGTAATCAAGTGGACAGTGATCAAGCTCGGGACGAAGCTGGAGGATATCCTTGAACCGCCATCGAAGACAGTCCGCTGGAGACCATAACAATAGTCCATAGACATCTGTATCACATAATATCACACATTTTATTTTATTGTCATGCACTGGTATTTGACAGTCTTTTGTTGTGTGCAATCGACAAGCCCAATATTGCGCACAATCGCCGTGGGGCCTTCAGAAGTCCCGCGACGCGTAATTCAGGTGGGTTCGCGTGATGTTGAAGGCATGCGCGCATCGTCACTTCAACTCACCGTTAACCCTCACCATCCGTCTTCATCTCATTGCACACTCGTCGCGCTGGCGAACCAACAATGAAGATAAATAAGCAGCCCAAGCGGCTGGGACCAATAGTGAGCTCATTTTATGCGTTATATGCGCCAGTAGGTGACCTAACCGAATTTTCTATCTCCAGCACCCCGACGTATCGGCCCTCATCAATGCCATTCTTGCAGCTCCGAAAGACGAGCTTCCTACCCTACTCTCGACCATCCAGACATGGCAGTATCCCAGATGTGATCTTCATGCCTGGTCAGCTGTGCTGAATAAGTTCGATGAGATCCTCGAGCAAATCATCAATGACTATGAGGTCGACCAACTCCAGGTCAATGACTTCACTCCAAGCGCACGAGCACTTCTATCAGAGATCTTGAGGTTTGAAAGGCTGTTGTTGGATAACTCAACAAACAGAAAGATCTATGCGAGCTATGATGTGCGTCCTCATTCCATCTCGGCTGTTCCACGTTGGAACCGCTCGAGTCGAGGTTGACTGTTTACTGATGACTCTATCTCGCATACAGCGACTAAATGCACTCCTTTCTACCACCGACTTGGACGTTCTCGTCCTCACACTCAAGCTGTTCTTGCGTCCTGCGCAACAGTACTCCTCACAAGTCTCACTGTCGCAGTCGCTGGCTCTCTCCACCCCACGACTCTCAACTCTCTGTATGCGCTTCCCCACCGTACAGGACAACAACCTCGAGCTCGCTGCTCTTGTGTCCAGCACGGGGCCCTCATCTGAACTCGACCTCCCACAAACAGAGCTCCAGTTCAATTTCTACAAGCTGGATGATTCCCCATCCGCTGCCCAACCTGGCCTGAATACCGTGCAAATTCCCGGTTTGGCTAAAGACCCAAGGCCAACAGCCGACATCGTATCGGCGGCCATTACCAAGTATGGCGTTCCAGACGACGATCGCTTTGAGCTGTTGCACCGTGTTCGCCTTGCACAGTCCCTAGGCACCAGTGAAGCCAGGATGCAGGACCGGGAAAAGCTCGCTGTTGTCCGGCTTTTGTCTATCGCTATTTTCTGCCACACCCATGTGGAATCTATCGCACAGAACCTGATATTCTTGCCGAATCCTACCCTTATCACCAGCGTGGCTGAGTGTTTGCCTCCTCGGATCCCAGCGCCTATCCAGGTTGCCGCTCTCACTGCTCTCGATGGTCTAGCCCGGTACAAAGGCAAGATGGCAGAAGTAATGGGGGCCATCAATGCGGGTGTCAGTCATGGCATTCTGATGAGCGCATTGAGGCGAATCGTCACAGAGCTTGACAAGGCGGAGGATGGGGCAGAGCTCAGTAGCATTGGTGTGGAAGGCATTGAGCAACTGCTGAGCTTTGTCACCTATCTGGCCAGCAATTCTCAGGGGGGCAATATGATTGTTGGGGCTGGCCTGATTCCTTTGTTGGTTCAGATTATTGACAACAAGCGAACCGCCGTTCTACCTGTACGCCCTCACACTTCTATTTTTTCGTTTGTCCTGATTCTGCATTGTTAGGTTGTTCAAAAGACGATGGCCTTGGTCGACAATGTTCTTTATGGGTACACCAATGCATTCAGCATCTGGTTGAATTCTAGAGGTCTTGATGTGCTCGTTGAGCGAATCAAGTATGAAGTTGATCGTGCCGTTGCTGATTTGAGCTCTACTGAACAAGCAGACGGAGCCCCTGGTTCAATTTATGGTCAGTTAGGTTCTCTGAAACTGCATATAGTTGCTAACATGTTACAGGACGCTTGCCCTATATGCAGTCAATGGCGCTCAAGAACTTCATGAGGTCAATGCACAGGATGATGCAGTCGTCTGGAACATCCGAAGGGTTCAGGAGCCTCATCGATTCAAGTCTAAGCAAGAGTGTCAAAACCATTATGATCCACCGTAGCCTGTTTGGCCCTCATATCTTCGCACTGTGTAGGTATACTTTTACACCAGTCAGCGACATGCTGACAGTACCCGAAAGCTATAAACATCATGGCCACGTTCATTCACAACGAACCTACGTGTCTGGGTATCTTGCAGGAACAGCACATACCAGAGACATTTTACAACGCCATTGCTTTGGGGATGGAACCTGTGTTCGAGGTAAATCAATTTATAGTCGGCTGATAATGTGATGACGGCTAACTCACCTTCAGGTGGTTCAAGCTGTTCCTAATGCTCTCGGCGCGCTTTGCCTCAATCAAGCAGGTCAAGATATGCTGGCCGCTCGACCTGATATCATTCCTAGCTGGTTCAGCATTTTTTCCTCCGAGAAGCACGTGCGAGTTCTGCAAGATCGAGAAAACGCAGGAGCGATTGGGACTGTCATGGACGAGTTGATACGACATCATCCATCCCTGAAGTCCGCGGTTATGAATGCCATGAAGGGGGTATTCGACAACATCGAGCAAATGGCGGCATCTTTGCAGTCGACAGCAGGGGGTCTTGATAGCTATCGTCTAAAGCCCGTTCCCGACTCCGATCAGGGCAAAGAGAAAGCATCGGCATTGAACGGTGGCCTATCATCTACCCTCGAGCTATCAGAGCCCAATACACCAATGGCGGAGGTGTCTCCTGCAGGCCAGGGTGTATCAGACAATCCTGTGGTCATGTCGATCGACGTTCTCGGTCGCTTTATGGACGGTCTTTTCCAGCATACACCACACGTTCGCGATTTTATCAACAAAGCTGACGGCGTTGAGCGCGTCTGCAAGCTGTACACTCTGCCTTGTTTACCGGAGGAGTTTGCCTCTTCGTCTGCTGCTGAAGCACTCGTAGGTGCATTGCGACTCATGGCTGAGGTAAACCCACAAGTCACCCTTGTGAAAGTCCATGAACAAGTACGCGCCAGCCTTCTCGCTACCGAGGAATTTTGGTCTTCTCCCCAAGAAGCATCCAAGTTAGCGCAGATGGCGTCGATATCTGCGGAGGATGAGCTGAGCAAGGCGAACGAAACCTTTCGACAATTCGTGGTCCTACTCGGTCGTCTTACTTTCATGGCCGACGTTTATGCCAGCATCAGTTTTTCGCATGGGCGTTCAGCTACAACATATCTCCAAACACTTGCCTCGGGGAACGATACCAGCTTTCTGGAAGACTTGGGCTCCCTCCACCGATGCTGCATACTGGAAAATGTGCTCCTGAAAGCGAGCTGGGCTCCGTTGACGGAAGCCAAAGAGACCAGCATCACAAACACTGCTGATGTTGGTTCTGCCACTCAGCCCATAAGGGAAGAAGTCGCTGTCGAAGAACAGCTGGATGTTGAAGCTCCAGATTCCGTCGTGGTCGGCGAAGGTGCTCAGAGCCCACAGGAGGCTAACAGGAAAGCTATCAAGCACTTGATGCGACATATCCCCCTGACTTTAACAACGTTTTTCCAAGGTGCGCTTTTTCAGTTTTGGACTGCTGTCATCTAACCCGTCTATAGCAATCGTAAAAATGTTTCTGTACAGTCGTCGTAACGTGGACATGGCTCAAAAAAAGCAAGCTGCTGCCACAGCATCAGCAATCGCCCGGATTCTGGTCCAACATTTAAAGTGGCGACCTAGTGACGACTTCCTGGCGTCGCCTATGTACAGCACTTACGTAACAGTCATGCTTGGCCTGGTGACTATATTGTTTTTCGATGGTGCGTTTCTCCATTCGCGGGAATGGTAACGTGTACTAATGTAGGGTTAGAGCGGACGTCGCAAAATAATCTTCAGACTATGCTGGTGATTCATTTCCGTGAATCCGGTGGGCTCAACGCCATTTTCGACATCTGTCGCTCTTGGGTAACACGAGGCGCTCAGTTACTTGCTGGCGAGAAGACTCAAGAAGCCCAGCGGGATCTTGTTCACGTTTTTGGCGGTCTCAAGGTTGCCTTGAATCTGTTCGAAGCATTGGTCGCTTCCAAGCCACTTTTCGACTCTGGTCAGACCACGTTACTCATCACGCGTGACAAGAGACCGGGTGACAAGGATTACTTCGAGCCGCATGACTTTCTCATCAAACTTCGTCTGGAAATTCTCCCAATTTGTCTGGAAATGTGGGATGCACCTTGGTCAGTAACACATGCGGAGGAATCTGGGGCTTTTGCCCCACCATTGGGTGTTATAAAGTCTATCGTGCGCATCATGCAGCATATCATGGAAGGTGATGGCGAGGAACGACGAGTAGAGCCACCGATCAACTCTAGCAGTCTGAACTGGGCAGCTGGTTTGTTCGGCCTCGGGGCCCCGCGTCCCGAGGTAGTTCCAAACGAAAACCGAGTCCAGCAACTCATAGACATGGGCTTCCCACGTTCTGCCGTCGAGAGAGCGCTGCGGCGCACAAACAATAACGTGTCTGCTGCTACGGAATACTTGCTCACGCATCCCTCTGCGCTGCAACCTGAACCTGCACAACCGCCCGCAGTTGAACCCGCACCTGTTCCTCAGGCGCAAGAAGACGTGGACATGGAAAATGCTGATGTTGCAATAGCGGAAGGTGATATGCCCATCGAGATTGAGGAAGTTGTTCCTCATGAAGATCCGACAAGAAGTGGCACCTCAGAAGGTGTTCCAGTTGTTGATATGTCCGAAGATGAGATACCGGCAATGGAGCCGCGTGTCGCCCGCGAAGAAAGCGACCATGCGAACGATGTAAATGATTCGACAACCGCCCCAGCCGAACATACAGTGCCGGTTCGAAATTACAAGCAAGAACTGGACTTACTCAGGGCAGCCATCGAGCCGAAGTATCCGAAGCGCGCCATGCTTATCGCCGATGCTCACGATTCCCTCGTCTTTGAGCTAAAGAGTGCATTCATCAGTGCTGATGACGACTATCACAGGATGGCATTCGATGCCGTCCTGGAAGACATCAAGCGTTTCGATCCAGACGCGACATCAAATGAGCATTCGCTGTCGGTTCGCTGCCATCTACTTGCCTTGGTTCTCAACCAACCGTCTCCAAGTCACAGCGCAGCACTTCATGATAAAATCGTGCCTGCAGGTGCCCTTATTCTTCAACTGTTACAGAATGCAGCACTCTCATCAGATTCTGAGATTCTTCCAAAATGGCTTAGCCCAGCGTTACTTGGCATTGAAGCTGTCCTGATATTTGGCAACGATTTTGTGGAGGCAAAACTGCCCGACAATGACGACCCCATCCAACAACCATCAATTCACTCCGGCCCAGATTTCTCTGCAACCTATGAGCAACTGTTCCCACTGTGTACAGAGCTGTTGGGCAACAGCCATTTGACTCGTGATGGTCTCATCTCGATATTGAGATTACTAGTCTTGATTACCCGTCAGCGCACATATGCGGCCACTTTCCTAGCCATGGGTGGCCTTTCGCTTCTATTGGGACGTTTCAAAGCACCGACGAAAGATCAGTTTGGATGTCAGGTGTATCTGATGCTCATTTTGAGGCATCTTGTGGAGGACGAAGCTGTACTGCAAACCGCGATGAAGGATGCTGTGGTCGACTGGTTCCATCAACCTCGTAATCGGGTCGTGGATGCTTCTACTCTTCTCAAGAATGTGTACATGGTTGCTCTTCGCGATCCAGAGCTCTTTTTGGATGAAGCAACCTCATTGTGTCAGTTGCAGAGTCCCAATACTACTGGCGGTAGCCATCACGTCTCCTTACGTCCAACACCGAAATTCAAGTCTTCACATACTGATGAGAATACGGACTCAAACGACGAATTGTTCAGAGTGGCACCTTCATGCGAATCGCTCGAGACGGTGGTGTCATATCTGATTGAGGAATTGCTTCAAGTGGACAGGGCGAGTTCAGCTGCTACAACGGTCAACGTCGACAGCAAGGCTGATAAGGTGAGGGAGGCGATTGTAGCGGACGTTATTGAAGGACCACAAGCTAGAAATTCAGCTTCAGATCCACCGGAACACGTCTACTTGTGCGAGCTGATGTCATGGTTGACAGAGCTCGTCACCTCATACGCCGGCTGCAAGATTGCCTTTGTCAATCACGGGAGAAGACGGCCGGGGAAGGAAGTCGTCACCACACCGGCCAAACATAAACCGACTGTGCTGAATCTCATGCTCCAAGACCTACTCTTCGCGGGGAGCCTGAATCCGAAACCTGCTGCAGATATGCAGTATCGCTTGACATCCGAGATTGGCATCTGGGCAATGAGCTTAATAACGGCTCTGTGTCGAGATGAGTTTCCGGCTCACGAAGGGAAAGACGCCCATCCAGATTTGACTGCGGTGCGAAAGGCTGTGTTGGATGCCATCACGAAAGCCTTCCGGGACACCATGGTTATCGACAATCAAGAGATCAGATATGATAAGTTACGTGCCCTTGCAGACCTCTGTCATCACCTTCTTGGAGTCCGTCCAGGAACGACCAGCAAGCTGGACGATGCTGCTGTTCACATTGCGAAGCTGATGCTGGAAAAGAATTTTGTCAGCATGCTCACAAGCAGTCTTGCAGAGGTCGATCTCAACTACCCACACATCAAAACGCTCATCAATGCAATCCTTCGCCCGCTGGAACAGTTGTAAGTGCGTGTTTTTGTGCACATGGCATACATTGACACTCTGAAGAACACGAGTTGCCATAAAAATGGGACGAGCTTCGGACAAGGAGCGAGACAAAGATCATACAGCATCGAGTCCGCATATGATAAGTGAACAATTGGCGGCTGTATCTCGCGAAGAGACACCGGATCTCTACCGTAATTCGGCTCTTGGAATGTAAGCACCAAGCGCATAGTTACTTTCTCTGCTAATTTAACCTGTAGGTTTGGTGGCGTGAGTACATCGCAGGAAGAGATGGTCCAGATCGTGTCTAACTGAGTACATAATAGGAAATGGAAGAGGTGTATGAAGAAGGTGACCTTCACGATGAAGAAGAGGACGACGAGGAAGGGCAGATGGAGGTCGAGTTTGTTGATGGGGATAGTGAGGGTTCAGACCTCGACGACGAAGATGAAATCGATGATGATGAGGACGAAGGTGATGAGGACGAGCAGATGGGTGATGAGAGCGCCGCTTCCGAAGAAGAATGGGAAGACGACAATGGAGACGAGGACGAGGGGATGATCGGAGACGAGGAGGGTACGGAGGACGAGGAGGAGTCTGTGGAAGGGGATGAGGAGGCCGAAGACGAAGAAGAGGCAATGATGTGGGAGGTGCGAAGGAAAATATTGGTTAGGACGCGCACCCTAACTTATTTTTCTATAGGAGAATGCAGAGGGCCTGCCAAATCCGGAGGACGGTGAAGGTGAGGACGATGATGAACCTGGTATCCGTAAGCGGCCCGAATTTAGCGTTGTTGACCTGTCCTCATTTTTCTAACCTCAGCTGTGCAAATGATAGATGAGGACATCCTTCCAAACGATGAAGACGATGGCTCGGAAGTCGCAGAGTACGTTTGCGTCAGCATCCAGATGGGCGACTACTAATACGCTAGCTAGTTTTAATGTCGCTGAAGAGATTGGTCTCTTAGAACCGCAGTATCTGGAGCTCGGTTCCGAACGCCGGGGTGGGTGGCGTCCAGCCCTCCAAGCGCTCCAGGCCACCGCGGCAGGAGGGGAGCCCCCTCTATTATTCCCCCCCATACGTAGAGGACGAGTGGTGGTGGATGCAAGCGAAGATGATCTCATTGGGAGATCTCGCAACTCCCGAAACGGCGCCTTTGACTTCCCACATCCTTTACTGGTGGATCCTATGGGCAGTCACTCGCAGGCTTCTAGCCAGGGCCGCACCTCCCAACGACGCGGTCGGAATCATGCGGTTTTCGATGCTAATGGGCTCCTGGTTAATCCGGCACTTGAAACCTTGGGAGATGCGGTCAATATGTTAGGCCAGCTTCTCACCCGTGGTCACGGGGAACCTTCGGAAGCGGAGTTCTCTGGTCCCCTAGCTGCTTTGTTTGGAGCCAATCGGGACAATAGCCGGCATCATTCTGCCCGACGCCATCTTCACAGCCACGTCAGTTTGGCAACGCAACGGCAGGAACGCGAGCGATCTCTGCTCGATGAAGATGATTTTGGTGCCACTTCAAGCATTCACCGATGGCAGGAAGAGGCTGCCTTGGCGCAAGGGCATCTCGCTGTTGACCGTGCCCAGAAGCTCAGCAATCACCTTATCCTACGGCTCCTTCCCGCTGCACGGGAAGTCGCAGCCCAAGAAGCTGCAGCCGCGGAGAAAGCGCGACTGGAAGAAGAAAGAAAGGCTGAAGAGGCGAGGAAGGCAGAAGCAGAAAAAGAAACAGAAGCGAATGCTGTTCAGATGGACAACATCGACGGCGCTGAGCCTAGTCATGAAGATGCCCGCGGTGAAGCTACAGATCGAACAAGCCGACACGAAGAGATCCTCCCGAACGGCCCGTCTGACGATACCTTAGCAGCCCCCCACGAAGGTGATATGGCCGTTGAAGAAGCTGTTCTCATCACAGCTGAGGCAGAGCATGACCGGTCTCAAGAGCCTCTCACAAGCACACAAGACGACAACGTTGTTGCCAGTGATTCTGCTGAGGAAGGGAGGGTTGAAGAGACCATGCCGGGCACCTCCGCTCCGGGTCCCCGTGTCACTGTTACCGTACACGGAAATCCTGTTGACATCACAGACACCGGTATCGATCCAACTTTCCTGGAGGCTTTGCCAGATGACATGCGCGAAGAAGTTCTTAACCAACATTTCCGAGAGCAACGCACTACAATCCCTCAAGAGCTGCCTCCGGGGTCTGCCATCAGTGCCGAATTCTTGGATGCGCTCCCGCCAGATATCCGAGCTGAGATTCTGCAGCAAGACGCGGCCGAACAACGTCGTGCTGTCCGAGAAGCCGCAGCCGCAGCCGCCAACGCTATAACGAGTACGGTTGGGCCAGTGGACATGGATGCAGCAACATTCCTTGCTACTTTGGATCCGCAGCTACGTTCAGTTGTATTATTGGAGCAGGATGATGTCCTGTTGCAAACATTGCCCTCATCCATTGTCGCCGAAGCGAACGACTTACGAGCTTTGCAGAGGGAGTTGATGCGACAGCGCGGTGCCTCTGTGCGGGCCCCACGGACAACTGCGGCAGATCCATCCGAGCCCACCAGTCACAAGAAGACTGCACGGGATGCGATCCAGCTCCTGGATAGGACCGGCATCGCCGTACTGGTTCGTCTTCTGTTCTACCCACAGCTCCTTCGCAAGAATTATCTCCATAAAATTCTGGTCAATATCTGCGAGAACGGAAAGACCCGGGGAGAGCTCATTAACCTGTTGCTAAATATTTTGCAAGATGGAACGGGGGACTTGGCTGCAGTCGACAAAGCATTCGCACAATTGAGTGTTCGAACTGCGAAGAGTCCAACCTCCCCGAAGTCGGCAACGAAGCACAAAACGCAGCACGAGCTTCCTGGTATTTCATTCTCCCTACCTCCGCTTTCGGGAGAGAATGTTGCCGGCTTGGTCGCGCAGCGGTCGATCGAAGCTCTGTCATATATCGTGAACGCCAATGAGCAAGCTGCAATTGTCTTCCTTATGGAGCACGAGACGCCTTTGGGATTGCGACGCCCAGCCTCAAAGAAAGGTAAAGGTAAAGAGAAGCAGAGTACTTCGACGAAGTACCCCATTGTTGTGCTGTTAGGCCTGCTCGACCGTCCGGCAATGCTCAGCACCGGCTCACTGATGGATGGTGTTGCAGCGTTGCTGGCCCTCATCACACGACCTCTCACCTCACTGGAAAGCAAAGTCGCCCAGTCGTCTTCTGCTGGCGCTGCTGCTGTTGAGGATCTTTCCCGTACCACGAACTCGGAAGGAGCCGTCAATACTGGGGCTGTGGATGACGGCATTGTGACCGATAGAGGTTTGACTTACAGTTTGAGTCAATCTATTCAACAAATTCGTGTAGGTACTGCAGCACCCACTGCACCTGGCGAGCCCGAGAAGCCGGCAGAGGAGAGTGTACCTACGCCACTCCTCCCCCATCCTCCACAAATTCCTAATCACATCCTACGACTTATCGTCAACATCCTCACCGTCGGCGAGTGCAGCAGTCGCACATTCCAGCAGACACTCGCCCTGATCTCCCACCTCTCCTACTTACCGGAGGCGAAAGATGTGATTGCTTCGGAGCTGAAGACTCGGGCACAGAGCTTGGGATTGAGTCTTCTCTCGGACCTTGATGATTTGGACAAAGTTCTAGAAGACCCAGTTGCTGACGACGAGAGGCGCAATGCCGTCGTAGCCAAGTTTTCACCCGCTTCTTCGGATCAGGCGAAGCTTCTTCGGATCCTCAAGACGATAGACTACATGTTCCAAGTCAGGAAGACATCAACGTCGAACATGCAAAATGCAGCCCCTACAGGTGGAGACGGAAACACGACTACCGTCGCTCCTGTTATGCCTGAAGCAACAGAATCAGACAAAGTTTATGGAATCTATGAAGGGTTCCATTTCACACCGTTATGGAAGAGGTTGGGAGATTGTCTGGCTAATGTCGAAGACCAGACGAACACCGAACATATCGCAACTGTTCTTCTTCCACTGATCGAATCACTAATGGTAGTGTGCAAGTATGTCGCCCCAAAAAGTGCTGGTAACAGCGCGGTTCGACTTGTACGGGGCTCCATGTCGCCTCAATCGCCACTCACGCCTCGAGAATCAATGGAGGACCTTTTCGTCGGTTTCACCGATGCGCACCGCAAGATGCTCAATGTCATGGTTCGCAGCAATCCATCCTTGATGAGTGGGTCATTTGCCCTTCTTGTGCAGAACCCTCGCGTGCTGGACTTCGACAACAAGCGGAACTATTTCAATCAACAACTGCACAAGCGTCCTCACAGCAGGGAGCTTCATCAGACATTACAACTTAACATCCGCCGGGCACGTGTATTCGAGGACTCGTTCCAATACCTTCAACGCAAAACCGGGGATCAAATCAAATACGGCAAGCTGAGTATTCGTTTCTATGATGAAGAGGGCGTAGATGCTGGAGGCGTGACGAGGGAATGGTTCCAAATCCTTGCTCGTCAAATGTTCAACCCGGACTACGCCTTATTCCAACCTTGTGCCGCAGACCGACTCACGTACCAGCCGAACCGAGCCTCCTGGATTAACCCAGAGCATCTTCTGTTCTTCAAATTTGTCGGACGCATCATCGGAAAAGCGATTTACGACGGCAGACTGCTGGATGCTCACTTCGCAAGATCCTTCTACCGTCAGCTGCTGGGGAAGCCAGTTGACTACCGAGATGTAGAATGGGTTGATCCGGAGTACTACAATAGCCTGTGCTGGATTTTGGAGAATGACCCTGCTGTGCTTGACCTGACCTTCAGTGTAGAAGCGGATGAGGTGCGTTGATTGTTCACTCTATCAAAATGGAGAGCTGACCGTCTTTGCCACTAGTTCGGTCAGATGAAGATGATCCCGCTGAAGTCAGACGGCGAGAAGATGCCTGTCACTAACGAAAATAAGCGGGAATACGTCCAGCTCGCCGCGCAGCATCGTCTTGTCACATCCATCAAGGATCAGATTGAGCACCTGCTGTTAGGATTCTTCGAGATCATCCCTAAGGACCTCATCACAATTGTGAGTGACATGTGGTCGATTGAAGGCACGAAGTCCTGACACATACGTTAGTTCAATGAGCAGGAAGTGGAGCTGCTGATTTCTGGAACGCCTGATATTGATGTGGATGAGTGGCGGGCAGCCACAGACTACAATGGCTATGTTCCTTCAGATCCAGTCATTGTCTGGTGGTGGCGAGCGCTCAAGTCCTTTAGTCGCGAAGAGCGTGCCAAGATGCTAGCCTTCGTGACTGGTACCTCTCGTGTGCCCTTGGATGGCTTCAACGCACTCCAAGGCGTGCAGGGCGTGCAACGGTTCTCCATCCACAGAGCGTATGGTGATCCGGATCGCCTGCCCCAAGCGCATACATGCTTCAACCAGAGTGAGCAAACGCGAAAATTTGATGAAGTCTTCATTTCCCTAACTCGCGTTCCTAGTTGACCTACCGTCATACACATCGTATGACAAACTGCGTACTCAGCTCCTTTTAGCAATCAACGAGGGAGGAGAAGGGTTTGGGTACGTATTGGCAGTCCGTCCTGTTGGCTCTCCTTATTGACATGATCATCCGTAGATTTGCCTAAACGCTTGCATATTTTCTCTCTATCATTGGTTCCGACCCGTGCATTGCAACTGTGCCCCTCTTTTCAGCTCGCAAATCCCGCATGTGTAATACCCTCCCAATTCGCATTTTTGCTCCATTGTGTAGTACTTTGCCGGTAGTCTTTTGCCGTTATTGAATCCCATGCCGAAAAACGAGGGTGCATCCCTATTGCGCTAATGACAGGGTGAATGAGGAAGAGGGAGAGTCGGGACATGTCAGGGTCGTGGTCCATGCTGTGAATCATGATTCTATGAAAATTCCGATGATATTCTCTGGTTTTAAGGAAGTAATCAGAGAGCAGGAGGAGACAGATGAAGGGGTTGCAACGTGCATTATAGATCTGGAGTATTCGTTTTTAGGGCGGGAGAAACGATGCGGGAGCGGCACTCTGATTGATGGCGCCTCGATGACCGTTGGCTCCGTCCTTAGTCTGTGTTTTGTATCTAACAACGACACACCACCCTCACACCGGTCCATCGCGTCCACACCGCAATAGAATACACCCACAGCCTATCAGCGAATCCTAAAGAGCACCGACTGCTTCGTATTCTCTCCTTGTTCCCTTCCTTCATTCTTGTTGGTTTACTCTTCCCTTTATCTTCGACCAAGTCGACGAAGACACCCTCATTTTTGTCCAAAATGGCTCCTTTCACGGGAATGGAGACCATCGGTGCGTCCCATCCTCAGTGTCCATCCTACGTTCAGCAGATCTCACCCACTCACTCCAGCATCTCGCAAAGCGCGTTTAGCACTCAAGACCTCCCCCGCAAAATCTCCCAGCCGGTCACCAAGTGCGCGACCAGAAGCGTTGCCCCTCCCGCCTCTTTTAGAATCCTCGGCAGAGGGCAAGTCGCGACCTTCGTCCGATGTATCCGAACTTAACACTCCTGAGCTGAAGGCATCCTCAGTATCGCAAGCGTCATCCTTTACCACCGCTGACACGACTGCAACATCTGCGACGTCTCTCGAGTCTCTCCTGACGCCGAGTGATACCACCGTAGGGCATGTCGTAATGGCGGAGCCGCAGAGTGCAAAGGAGGATACGATCGATCTGACGGAAGTTTCTCTGGAAGACGATCTGGAGAATGAGCGGTTCTCCAACGTTGCTCTACACACGCCCTCGCTTCCCCCTTCCACCCCGGATCCCAACTCTGCAGCCTCCCGCTCCACATGGCGGAACTCGATCGGAACGACATCAAGTGCCAATGGACCGGGACAGAAGAGCCCATCATCCCGCGAATCCAAGCGGGCGACGATGGCTTCCATCCCGCCTCAGCGTACCGCCTCCACGACCAACTTTGACTTCACTCTTGCACGACTCAACCTCCAGCGAGAGGCGCAGCAGAGTGACCCAAACGCGCGTCGCGCGAGCATGCAAGGGCATTTACGGCTCAAAGAGGGGTTTAATAAGGTGCATGAGGCACAGGAGAAGCTTGATGAGCACGAGGAGATCGACTGGGATTTCTGGGGAGAGATCATGGCCGATTACGAGCATGTTGCTAGGACGAAAGCAAAGCAATTATCCGAGGCGATTCAGAAGGGCATACCTGGTGCGTTGAGAGGGACAATCTGGGAGCTGATGTGAGTCTGTCTGGCAAGTTCCCTTTTCCTTGCTGACATCGTCCAGGTCCGCTTCGAAGGATATGATGCTAGAACAGGTATATGCAGAGTTGCTCAAAGAGAGCAGTCCACATGAGAAGAGTATCCTCCGCGACCTTGGCCGGACATTCCCAAACCACGAGTACTTCCAGGATGTGCAGGGTATCGGTCAGGAGAACTTGTTCAACGTCGTCAAGGCCTATTCGCTGTATGACCCCGAGGTAGGGTATTGTCAGGGCATGCCGTTCGTTGTGGCCGCTCTCCTTCTAAACGTGGGTGCGCATATATGGACCTGTGACTCAATCTAACACACTCTGCCAGATGCCGGATGAAGAAGCATTCTGCGTGCTGATACGGCTGATGAAGTCGTATGACCTTCGGGGTCATTTCCTGCCCGAAATGCCAGGTCTGCAGCTTAGGCTGTACCAATTTGACCGACTAGTGGAGGAATTGTTGCCCTTACTGCACCAGCATTTCGTCCGACAGGGCGTCAAGTCCAGCATGTACTGCAGCCAGTGGTTCCTCACACTATTCAGTTATCGGTTAGTCCAAGCTCAGTTGGGGATGGCGCAGCTGACAGCGCATACAGATTCCCTCTGGACATGGTGTTCCGCATATTTGACATCATCTTCGCCACTGGCATTGAAGCCATCTTCGGTTTCGCCATTGCACTGCTGGAGAAGAATGAAGACGTTCTCCTCAGCCTAAAGTTCGACCAAATCCTAGACTACATGAAAACGGGCCTGTTCGACACCTACAAGGTGTACGAGTCTCCCGTCTCACCGTCTGAGAGGCCACCAACTCGATATCGAGCAGACGACTTTGTGCAAGACGCCTTCCAGGTGAAGGTCAGCCCGTTCATGCTCGATACATATGCAGCAGAATACGAGGAGCTGCTGCGACAGCAGAACAAGCATTTGGTCGAGATGGACACTCTGAGGAACGTGAATAGGCACTTGTCTGCACAAGTGTAAGTGCAGCTGCGTTGTGGATCCGAGGCTTTCTCTCATTGTTCATTGTTTGTACAGCAAAACACTGGAGTCGTCCTTGGCCCAGCTCAACACTGAGCACTGCGACCTCGTAGTACGTTATACTTACAGCATACCTTTTATAGGAGGCTAATTGATATGCAGAAACAATTCGTCATGATCAAGCTTGAAAAAGAAGAAATGGAGTCAGAACTCGTCAAATACAAGATGCTATACGCCGAGACCATGCTCGCTAACGAAGACGCGCGCTCGTCGAGCCGGATATCATTCCTCAGTAAAAGAAGCCGTTGACATCTTGCCACACATTGCATAGCTTAGCCGACGGGCTCGGCATACACTCATTGGATCATACCCTTTCGGACCATACCTTGTATCTCGCGATAATCTTGCACACGTTCATACTCATCAAGTTGCTTTCATGTATGCTCTCGTAGCGCATCACTGTCTCCATATCACAATCCAGCTTGTCATGCACGACCGCTTTCACAAAACACACGATTCGTAGGAACGGGTTATTGATTGGTTAAAGGACTGTCGTACAAAGCCAGAGGAAATCATTAAGCAAGCTTGGGGTAAAGAAAGTGTAGCAGGTGTGGTATCGGCAGTGCATGGGGTTACAGCCCGAGAAAACCATCCTCGCAAGAAAGATTCCCAGTAGCCAAAAATATAAGAATGGTCAAATGATACAAATGGAAACGGTCTCAAGCCGTTCGCAAGGAAGCCAAAAATTAGAATACATCCTGTGAATGTGGGCAATTGGTATTCGTGTGACCGAAAGTCTCGCAATCGTCGCAGTATGGCTCTGAGGAGATCGAAATGTGGTTTGTACCGCCATTCATTTGCGGGCAGTTTGTGAACTCGTGGCCACGTCCACCACAAAGGTCACATATGAGAGCATCGGAGATGCTAGATGCTTCTCGGGTAGAGTGGGAGGAATCTGCGGAACGGGAGGGTTGACTCTGTGCGCGAGACAATTTGTCCTTCAGCTGCTTCACCTGACCCTCCAGGTTAGCAATATTCCGTGTGTAGTCATCTTCCTCGTAGATCTTGGACTCAATGAGCGACTCATAATCGGCCATCTCCTTGTTGAGCTATATTGGAGGATATGAGGTGCCATTTGTCTGCGTAAAGCTGAGTGACTTACGTGACGGATGGTTGACTCCTTTTCTTTCAGTTTGTCGTTGAGTTGACGCAATTCAGCCTAGATATATTCAGTAAGCGCCGCTTAGCATAAAAAGGCAATCATACAGCATGCTTGGTCTTCAGCTCAGACGTGGACGCATCTGTCGAAGCACCGGATACTTCTCCAGACTCTTGGGCAAGCGCTTGCTCCTCCTGCAGGATAGTCCGCTCAACAGCTTCTTCCAGTGTTTTGATTTCCTGTCTGGAGTTTGAGTAGAGCAACGGGAACAATGAGTGGTAATATTGACCTCTTTCAGCTCTTCCGCATCTGATGAGAGGACCTTATTATCAGCCTCGAGCACCTTCTTCTGGGATGCGAGAGCAGCATTCTCCTTCTGCAACTCTTGAATCATGTGCCTGGTATACAAGTCAGCTGACGGCATATAGTGGCATGACGTGTGCGTACTTGAGGCCCTTGATCTGATCGCGAAGTTCCTTCTCAGGATCTGCTGTTGATCTCCGAGACTTGGAGGTATCCGAGCTGTATGATTCGCGCCGACGTTCAGCGGGTGGTCCAAGAGAAGCACTCTCATGCTTTTCCGAGTCAGAACGAGGTCAATGTGTGCATATCTATTAGCTCACCTCAGCCTTCTCTTTCTCCATAGCCTCCTTTCTCGCCCGCAGCTCACCAATGGTCCGCGCAGCGACTTCGGCGTCTTGTTTAAGAGTTTCGCAAAGCGCGAGAGCCTCGTCCTTGGCACGCTGTGTCCCTTCAAGCTGTTGCTTGAGCTGAGAAAGCTCTTCAACCTCCTGCGCAGAAGGCTTTGCAATTTGTCCCGCCTCCCGAAGCTCCGTGCGATCCTAATTTTGCATTAACATAGTGAACGTAAAATAAAAAACAATAGCTTGCTTACGGAAACTTCTCTGCGCAAAGATTCAATCTCCGCGCGCGCATTCTCCAAGGCTTCATCACTTTCTGCGAGGGCAATCTCCAACTCTCCGATGCGGTTGCGAGCGATGTCCTCTGCCTTCTTGACCTCCTCGATATCTTGACCGATCTTTTCCAGCTCTTTTCTTGCGTTCACTTCTTGATCTTTGGCTTTCTGAATGCGTGCTCGATAGGCATCCTCCTGCTTTAGGCGATCTGCCTGTATATCTTCCAGTTGATCTTCCAGCTTCGAAATGCGAGATTGGTAGTGAGCAACCTGTTCACGCAATGCCTCGTTGTCGATCTGTGTGACCGTTTCTGCTTGCTGGGCCGCAGCGGCTGGCACGCCAGTTTCGGAGACCTTACGAAGCTCTTCTTCGAGTTTCTGGATGTTCTGCTCGAGTTCGTAACGATCAGCCTCATGTGCGGACTTGTGCTCTTCATAGAAGGCGATTGTTTCCTGCGCTCGCCGTGTCAGATAGCAAAGAAAGAAACGGCGCGTGTTCATACCTGTCCCGCTGTCCTGAGCTCCTCCACTTGCAAGAGGAGATCCTCGCGCTCTTCATTTGCCTGCTGGACAAGCAGCTCTACTCTCCTCTCAAGTTCTTGGACATGTTCGATCTTTTCGTCTCGTTCCTTCTCGACCTCCGACATACGCTTCTTGAACGTGTCCATCTCGCTAAGCAGCTCTGCAGCTTTCTTTTCTGCTTCATCAACCCTTTCATCAGCTGCGGATAAGACATCGGCTGCCTGCTCTTTCTCAGCCTCTCGAAGAGCCACCTGCTCCTGGACTTTTCCTTCCATCTCCTGAAGCTTCGCCCGCACCTGACTGAGTGCATCCTCAGACGTGTCGAGCTTGTGCTGGAGGTCCGCAATGAGAGCCTGGGAAGCTGCAGATTTTGTAGGACTAGGCGCGGAAGATCTCGCTGCATCGGCCCTTAACCGCTTGTTCTCCTGCTCCAGCATGTCGATGCGATCGGGAAGTCTGACGGAACTACGCAACGCGAGGGGCGAATCGTCCATAAAGGCGGCCGCAGAACCAGGCGGGGTGCTTTGTCCGGGAGACCGGCCGACACCAAGGTCATCAGTCATGAGCTTGGCGACACGATTCTGGAAAGCGCGTCTTCCGGATTCGAGGTGCCTCTCCTCTGGAGTAGTAATTTCCTCTTCTTGGAGGCTGGTATTTGCGCTTGTGCTAGCAGCGCTGAGAGCAGGTAATGTCAGCGGGGGCGACATTGGAACTGACAGGTCAGCGGTCCTCGGCTTCGCCTTCGGCGTCGGTCCGCCCATGCCCAAGCTCTGCCGCGCACGTGGGGTTGGAAGACCGAATGACTGTCTCCCTGAGGATTTTGGTGTCGAGGGCGGTCGGTTGGGACTGCGCATTGGGCTTTCGGGAATACTTTCTGGTTGCCTAGCAAGGTCTGCCAGCCCTGCTTCTCTCAGCTGCTGCGCTGTCATTCCCAGGAATTTGCTAGCTCGGGAACCAGCAGAGACGCGACTGGCAGCAGCAGCAGCTTGGACACGGGAGCGGAAGCCTGAGGGAGTCTCGGGTTCAGGAGTAGGTGGTTCATTGAAAGGCGTGACGCGTCCTGCCCGACTCGTCACAGAGGCAGAAGAGGGAGGTCGAGCATAGGTTGGTGCGGGGACGGATAGCTTGTCGGCCAAAATGAACACGCCCATGTTGGGAGCACAGGTGAAGTAACGCCGTCTGCCCGTATCCTCAGTACGTCATTCTTTGAATCTTAAGGTACATGCTCACCCATCGACAGATCCGTCGTTCTTCCCCTTTCCCGCAAAGCCTGGGAGCAACTCAACTCCAGCCCAAATTCCATCCCTAAAGTGCACTTCACCAAGATACTGCAACGTGCCCTCCCATCCCTTGTTATCCAAACGGACCCTGTCGCCTACTTCAAAAGGTCTCCCGGTCCGGCTCGCGCTGCGGTCCCATGTCTGACCTAAGCGAGAGGTGCTTCGTGCGGTTGTACCAATCGACTGTCTGCTTTCTGGACGACGCTGACTTGGATATGCTGATGGCGCAGAACGAAGGGGTTGACCAGTAGTAGAGGGTGTTCTGGCACGCGACCCAATAGCAGGGGTCTGTAGTGGTGTCGAATATGCAGTCTGGAACGAATTGGGGGATTCAGCATCGGGTATCTGAAGACGCGTCGACGTGTATGATGCCTGAGAGGCAGAAGATGGTGGTCGAGGAGGTCGCAGAGTCGATGCGGTTAGCATACTGGGCCGCGGTCCAATGGACTTGCGAGGTGCAGGAGTTCGCTCAAGAGCGGGTTCAGCATGAGCAAGGTTTCCGTTGGTATAGTCCGACGGATTCCTCGCTTTTACCGCAGCCGCCAGAGAAGAGACCATTATGGTGTCGTCGTCGTCCTTGCTCAACGACGGACGAGAGCCGCCAGACACTGAGGAACGCGGTCGTCCTGGCATAGGTATGCCTGTGCCTCGCCCTGGGAGGGGCAGACCAGATACCCTCGGGGCACGATTCGCGGTTGGAATGCCAGACATGTCGTGGGTATTCGGCGTCAAAATAGGGTTGTTGATGATCGACGTCGGTCGCGTGAGCGTCGACGCTGTTGAGTCCCAGGTAATGAAAGGTATCGCAACCTTCCTCCCAGTCGACTTGAAAGAAACTTAGAAAGGGTAAAATATAGCTGAGGAGGAAGGGAAAGAATTGGTATTGACAATCTTTCGAAAGTCAGAACGCCTACAAGACGCAAACGGACTCAAAGTCAGCATGGTTCGCGAAGAACACGACGCGTCCCCTCTCACCCTGAGGTCATGCGGGTTGAGTGCAGTTGTTGATGACAATGAGAAGATAGTTTATATGGGGTATATCTTATGACAATCGTAGGTAACATACACGGCTACAACACAACTGACTAGTCAAGCACATCCCACTCTGCTAAACCCCCTACTAGAACTCCTATCGAGACCATCAGGCCGAAGTAGTTGACAACGTGTACCCCAATCTTCGGCATCGCCAGCGCATATCCCAGAGCGAGACAAGAGTGAACTGCCCAGGTGAGGGCGACGACAGGGATGGTAGCCGCGATCGTCCCGTGTGCAATGAAAGGATGGGACATGATGAGTGTGAGTCCGAAGCTCAGGAGCAGCGAGTCGAGCCATTGTATAGAAACAATAATTGGTGGGATATCCTACGAATCATCTTCGTCAGAGAACATATAGGTAGCATGACGTGTATTTACCGGGAACGGTATACCATATATGTCCTCCAGCTCCAGCCTTGCTTTCAGCGCAGCGAGACGACTCAGCTCAACATCCAATAGTGCTTCGTAGTGATCGTCCGATACGCCCTCGGTCAAGGACAGCCCTTGAGGGGTATCAGTCGATGCAGAGGTGATAATCTCGCCTGCGCGATACCCGGACCATGGTGCAGCCGAAAGATTGTCATCTGCGCCAGGCAGGGGACCTTCCTTGTATTGGTACAGGTTGAGGTAATTCTGGTAGATGCCACAAGTCACATCACCCAAAGCCCATCCAAAGGCAAGCCTGATCGCAGTTAGATATGAACAGCGATAAAGCTGGAAGGACACTCACCACAGCACGTCGATGAGAGTAGGATGTCCGATTTGATGGAGGACGAAAACAGCGGTGTATCGTGCTAGTTCTTTGATCGCAGTATGTATCAAAGTCGAAAATCCTTCTACCACATATTCTGACCACTCATTTGGAGGCAGGCAGACAGTCAAAAGATCAAATAATCGAAATAACGGCGGTCCGAGATGGTGGCTGATAGACCAGAAAGAAAGTGCGACCAAGATGGCTAAAATATTTGGTTTGCGGCTGTGCGGATGTGGAACGACCAGAAGAGCTATCGCTGTAACGACAAACTCTAGTACTGATAAGGTCGGCACTAAGCAGAAGTTGCGCAATAGATGGTTGAAAGAGACTAGCACGAGGGTCATGAGGTATGTCCTGCGGTGGAAGAACTGAACTGACAGGAAGGTTGCACAGGCTCTTCAGGAATGGGTATAGTGACAGCCAACGGTCGGTGGAGTTGGCGTGCACTCGATCGCTGATAGGCGCATGAATATCCCTCTTGCACGTACTTTTCGGAGAGCACTTACGAATGATGTCGTAACTGGCGTTTGACTGTCGATTACCGGCCCGGTTGAAGTTGAAGGTCGATCCATTTGTTCTGTTGAAGGTGCCTGTATTTTCCTAAGCTGCGGGCCAGGTGCGAACAAGCTGGAAGAAGCGCCTGTCAGGTTTAGTACAGTATCCGCTAATGTGCCGTCATAGGACCCTTTGAGGCTTGGGGGCTCGTTTCACGACCCTGAAATATAGAGGATGTTAGACGCTGGCACCTCGAGAAAGAAAAGTAGGTGCAGGATTGCACTGAAAACCTCACGTCATTCACCGTTTATCACTCATTCTAACCCCACGAGCTGTAAAGCATTACCATGAGGCAAGCCCCGGGGTCCGCACTTTCCCTTGTGGTGGCAGAAGCTCGAAGACTCATCAACTGCAAATGTCACACATCCCGGAAAACGGGGGGCAAAGGAATATGGCCAATTTCCAGGAGTACAAAACGATTTTACTATACAGAGCGACAAATCCGGTGATGCACCATCCGAGAAGGACAATTGAACAAAGATGCATGGTAAGTCGGAGAAACAATAGCCCAAGAGGTAGATGGTCAAGAGGAGCATTCATAAGATCATCGTGTAATAGGATCCAAAAACAGCATAATCCACGGTACAGAGAGAATATGGCAAAAGGATACCATGGGTATGAGGGCCAAAATGCCAAGCTTCGGGCGTTGTTCCCAGAAGAGCTGAATGGCTGGCTGGGGAGGGCTGGATGGATTACCTCGAAGCTTCCGCGACCTGGCTAGCCACAGCGGCAAGACCGTGTAAGTCTGTTGTTGATTTCAGTGGGGTCGGCGGTGTTACCAGTGATAATGAGTCAATTCGACGGCGCTTTCGAGATGTAGGTTCATCTGCATAGTCAGTTGGATGAAAAAGGCCTCATGGGCAAAAAAAAACATACTGTCTTCGTGACCTCTTTTTTCGTTCAAGCTGTCAGGTGAAGGGATTCCAACGGATAGGACTTGCCCCGCAGTCACATACACGCTACTCTGTGCTGATTCCTCTCCTCTCTCTAAATCACCCCCACTCTCTATGTCACTTGCTGGAGCGATTGGGAGGGGCAGTCCCGCTAGCAGTAGCACTGCACTTGACACGTCTGTCGCCTGACGCATTGCAATGATCGCATCTCGGATATAGATCTGGCCCCGTTTTCTATCTTCTTTCGGCAGATGAACCTGAAAACTGCAAGTTTGAATCAGAACAGTTTTCCTGGACAGGGATAAACACGCACTGTTGCACGAGATTGTCGTCCCTGTTGCATTTCTTATAGCATTTTGGATATGGGCATATAAAAGGCTTGTCGCCTGTATGGACTTTTATATGCCGTCTGAGATGCCCTGATATGCTGGATGAGCACAGTCCAAAGGTGAGAGGAGTATAAGTCACAGACCACTCGTCGTAAACGCCTTATCACACTGGCTGCATACATACTTCCTTTTGGCTAGGGCCTCAGCACGTACCATATCCTGAGTTCTCTGGGGCATGGCGGCTGGCGGAGAAAGGCTGCCGGTAGTGAATGGTGACTTGGGTGACTTCGGCGGGCTTGGGAGAGATGGGCCTGGATCGTCTTCTTGTGGGCTGTAATTGAGCGAATCTGTAGCCGACTCCGGTGGACCGGCATGCGGGCTCTCAGGGTTGAGCAGCGCGATCTCTCGACCAGAGGCAGTATACGAAGTGAAGGGTTGTCGATCTCCCATGTATTGATCGCGTCTTGAAGACGACGAGTGCAAGATACGGGTAGAGAGCAAAGGTGGTGGTTGGAACAGGAGGGGTACGTTGAACCGCCCTCTCGAGACTCAGAGATGGTTAGCCGAAGTTGGTAGGCTCCGGCTCAACGGGCTCACAGCCAGCACGACCCTGACGGCCCTTCCCTGAAAGTGTTGGGAGCGGGACCCCGAGACACGTGTTCTTATTGCACCCGCACCGCTCCGCATGCGGGACGTTAAGCCTTCCGGCCGCACGCCCGGTGCCGACCAAACAATGAATACAATTACGTGATCGACGGGTGTCAAACTCTGTTGAGATGAACTGCGTTTCTCACGTACAGGAACATCGCCCAACCGATGTACGAGCAAAGCCGAGTCGATTACCAAACTTACCCCCAGGAAAGGAAAGCCATGCGGGACAAGGAACGGAATATAGAACAGCCCCGTGCCCTGAACTCCCTAGGTGCACACAATCATGGGGAATGTCAGACAAGGCCTAGCTCGGTAGAGAATGTCGATACATGTAAGAGGTACTGTTAGACAAATGACTTCACGACATACGCGGACTCCGAGGTAATGACTGTGTGAAAGAGTGTGGTCTTCATTCGCGTGACATGTTAATGTATGCTCTCCGCCGGTGGCAAGACAACGAGACGGCGGGTTGCCGGTGTATTCGACTGCTGCTGTCCGTGTTCCTCATCCATCTCCGATCGCTTATGCAAATCGTCCCGAGGGAGATGAAAGGGGCGGACAAGTCTGCATGGAAGAGCAAGGACGTCCGCGTGACAACCTCCCTAAACGACCTCCAGCAATCGAACACACTAGAATGTACCCGTACTCACAAGTGTTGCCGACCCGTAGAGCATGCTACCCTAGAAACATTAGGGCGTGGCGAGCACTAAACTAAGCGAAGGTTGCCCAGAGGAAGAAGAATTAGACGAAAATGCCCGAGACAAGTCGGCTGCACAGGTCGGTGGCACCAGAGGATTATCACGATACAGCCAAGTAACATCGGGAATACTGGAATGTCGCTACATTGTTGGGAGAAGTCGGGCGGTTTACCCATGCGGAAACATCCCTGAGACGACAGGGGTGTGTATTATCCCGAACGTCACCGCGAGGGCGCGAACCAGTCTTGGGCTTCCCTCATGGGGGGATGCGCAGAGATCCATGTGAACTCGAAGGTGTGAGGAGAAATTGAAGTCCAGCTTAGGGATGCACATGAGTCGGGACAGGAGAGCGCATGATGGGAGAACGTACGCTGAACGGGTGTTCTATCCTCACCCTTGAGAATTAGGGGCTGTGAAAAGGTGGACGTGTCAGTACATCCGGGTTTCAGGACACGCAATCCGGAATCCGTAATTCGGATAGATATCCGTATTCCGTATTCCGGCCTCGGCTGTGCAAGGGTCTGGCCGGTTCTCCGGCCAGATCCTTGGCACAAATCTGGTAGATAGTTTTATTATGTAATATTACTAATTAATTAATTTTTGTTTCATATCCACACAACACATCACTGATATTATCTTCCCACATTAACACCATCACTATCACCATCACCATCATCTATCTACTCTTATGGAAATCTCTCAGCTTCTCTCTCAGCTCCTTGATGTTCAACAAGTGCTTACTGGTGTCTCTGTGGAGCAAATGTTGTCATTCTTGGCTTTAGCTTGACATCTTCAAACAAGAATTGCCTGGCAGGAAGTCCATACACTCACCCAACCAGCAACTCCTCCTCTTACTCTTCCCAACACTGTGGTGTCTTTCCTGAGTCAGGTGCTTGACTTGCAGGATGCTCAAATCATGGCACTTTGGCAATCTCTCAACCAGGTCCTTTGGAATCCTGCCAGAGACATCACAGCCCTCACTCAACTATTGTTGGATGATTTCACACCCTTTCAGGCCTATGCACACCTTACTGAACTCAGTAAGTGTCAGGGCACCAGCTCATTGCTTGGTCAAGAGACATGACTAAGCCTTTATGACATGGAAGTAGCTGGTATACCTTGGCA